TTGCTCTCGCCTCCTGACCGAAACGCGTACAATACCACCTCTTGCACCTAGCTTGGATTTTGAGACGAGATTCAACGGGTACTCAGGCTCCTTATTGCTCCCTGAAATTTGGCGAGACTTCGCGAAACTTTCAAGTTGAGGCTCCTTTGTGTCTTCACTAGTCATATTCTTGGCGTCCATAGGATCTACCTAACTGACAAACTGGCTATCTAGCCTGGGTAATGAAATGTTGCCGACCTTGACCGACCGTTCCTCGTCGCCTACTAGAGACCTGCGAATCCGGCAGATGAAGTTCAATAGATCAGGTCGATCCTATGTAACCCCTCCATCACTGGAATTTTGTGCAGGACTCGATGGTAGATTCAATTTCCGGCAGAAAGACAACTACCTTCCTCAGCTGGCACTAGATTTTGGCAGACCACAACCCTCATTCCTCGGTAGGACTACACACCAGGTGCAATGGAGTACCTTGCTTAGCAAACGTGGATCCACATGCTAGCTCTTTTATGTGCAGACTTATGGCGCCAACTTTTCGAGTGGGAGCAGGAGTCAACGGATCCGTGCTAGCTCTTTTTTTTGGCAGACTTATTGCGAAAATTTGAGTGGGAGCAGGAGTCAACGGATCCGTGCTAGCCTCATCTTTTGGCAGACTTGCGAAACTTTCGAGTGGGAGGCGGAGTCAGCGGATACGTGCTGGCATCCTTTTTGGCAGATTATGCGAAAATTTGAGTGGAAGCAGGAGTCAAGGATCCGTGCTAGCCTCCTTTTGGCAGCTCCTTTGGCAGATTTGGAACTTTTGAGTGGAGCAGGAGTCAAAGGATCCGGCTAGCCTCCTTTTGGCAGACTTATGCGAAATTTCGAGTGGGAGAAGAGTCAACCGATCCGTGCTAGCCTTTTTTGGAGATTATTGCAAACTTCGATGGGAAGCAGGAGTCAGCGGATCCGTGCTGCTTCCTTTTGGGCAGACTTGCGAAACTTTTGAGTGGGAGCAGGAGTCAACGGATCCGTCTAGCCTCCTTTTGGGCAGACTATTGCGAAACTTTTGAGTGGAGCAGAGTCACAGATCGTGCTGCCTCCTTTTTGGCAGCCTCCTTTTTGGCAGATTATTGCGAAATTTCGAGTGGGAGCAGGAGTCAACGATCCGTGCTAGCCTCTTTTTTGGCAGCTTATTGCAAAAATTTCGAGTTGGAATCATACTCCGTCAAACTGGATCCATGCTAGCCTCCTTTTTGGCATTTGCGAAACTTCCGAGTGGGAGCAGGAGTCAACGGATCCGTGCTAGCCTCCTTTTTGGCAGACTTGCGCGAATTCCGTGCAGTTCTTTGGCAGGTGTCAACTGATCCATGCTAACCTCCTTTTTGGCACTTGCGAAACTTTCGAGTGGGAGCAGGAGTCAACAGGATCCATGCTGCCTCCTTTTTGGTTTGTCGGTAGGAGCTCCAAAATACCAAGTCAACGGAAATAAGGCTTCTGCTAGCTTGGATTTTGGCAGACCAACCTCTCTCTCGATAGGAGCTACCAGCGCACGGCCGACAGCCTCCTGCTAGCTTGGATTGGCACACTCTCTCACCAGTCACGTCAGGCTCTCTGCTAGCTTGGATTGGCAGACCCAACCCTCTTCGGTAGTAGTACCAGCGCACGGCGGAAAGGCTCTCTGCTAAGCTTGTTTGGCACACCACATCCTTCGCCGGTAGGAGCTACCAGAACAACGAGTCAAACAGACCAAAGCTCTCTGCTAGCTTGGGTTTCGGCAGACAACATCCTTCCTCAGTAGGAGCTACCAACACACAGCCGAAACACTTTGCTGGCCTAGATTTTGGCAGACACATCCTCCTCCGGTAAGGAGCTACCGCACAGGTCAATGAATGCCTTGCTAGCCTCCATATTCGAGTCAACTAATCGATGCTAGCCTCCATTTTGGCAGACTGAGAAACTGTCGAGAGGGAGTCAAATCGAGTCGACGGATCCATGCTACCTTCTTTTTTGGCATACTTGCAAAAATTTCGAGTGGGAGTCAATATTCGAGTGAACAGATCCATGCTAGCCTCATTTTTGGCAGACTGACTGACGAAAATGTCGGGTGCATGGGAACCAATATTTCGTGCATGGGAATCAATATTTCGTTGGGATACAGCAGCCCCTGTTCATCAGGAGCTACGGACTGTTTGGCTCTCTGGACGGATCTGGCAGCTCAAATCCCGGAGCTCCTACCAGATTCAAGATCCACCAGATTGCATGATCCTGGTGAAAGCAAAAACAATGAAACACAGGATCGAACCCAGTACCTTGCCAAGCACTTATCCAGCTAAGCTATATCTTTGCTTAAGTTTTAAATATATATTGAATATATTAATCATGCGATAAGTTACCCATTTGTGACATAGAATAATGAGCCCAAAAATCAGTTAGTTCAAGCTGAAATTAAAGGAAACTTATTACGTTAAGCTATGGCAAACTCGCCGTTTACTGTATTCTATGGCTATTAGCAAATATAATTCGGAAGGGCACTATCGTGATATGACTTTAGGAACGCTCATCACTAATGCGCCTAGTGAGCTGAATATCCTTTTGCAAACATAGTACTCGTGTGGCATAAATAGAAAAAATGTATGCATCTTGGAATAACAACCCCACAATGTAAATTCCTCAGCCTCCTGCAATGCTAGATAGCAGTGCTTTGAGCAGCTTCGAATAGGCAGTAGTGCACCAGTAGTTTGCGTGACTAGAATACAAAAATTTAGCAACTCCATGTCAAAAGAATCACCATCAATGCCAAAAGATATCTAGCTTGCCAAGAAGATTTGAGGTGGATGATATTATATATATAGACCTGATAGTTAATAAAACTATAGTGAGGCGATATATTTCTTCTTTGGTGCGTTCTTTCGTGCATACACATATGTCTTTTGTCGGTGCGGCTTGTCCGTTTTTTGTTTCCATGAGGGCCTAATTGTTTCCTTTTCGTGCACTTTGTATGTGACAATTTCTCTCACAAGGCCCGTTAAATTATGGTTATAATTTGTATATAGTATACATTATGATAGTAGTATACCTGGTCTGTGCAAGGATCGAATCATGCGCCTGCCCTCCCTGTCATGCCAACTTGGGTCACATACATTCTGCGGCTGGTTTGAACTAATTACTTAGCCAAAACTCTGGCAGATCACTCTGCGCTTTCTGTAGAGTGAAACTCAGAGCAAATTCATTGTTTGGAAGAGTTTTTCGTTTCCAGTGGAGTTGTTCGAGTGAGGTGACAGCTCGATGTGATAGTATCCCATGTTCAGGTCTAGACTAGTAGCGTCTTGAATCCGTCTAGATTCAAGAGCATGTCCGTATTTTTGGGATAGGATAAGGCTTCCGCTTAATCCTTTTGTTCAGTTCCCGGAAATCAGAGATGAATCTGACAGATCCATCTTTCTTGGAATGATAAAAGTTGGTGCCGCCACTCGGAACGATTCACCTTCTTGAGTACTCTGCCTCGCAGAGACGTTCAACTCCATCTTAAGAGTGTTGGTATGGACACGTGGAATAGGATAAGCCCTGCATGATAGGGTTTAGCATCAGGAGAAGTTCTACTTCGTAGTCGTCCACTGCCACTTTCCTAAAGTACCATCGAATAGGTCAGATACTTCGTCAGTAAGGAATGAACTGTTCTTCTCTTCCTTGTTTACTGATCTTGACTTTGGCAAACCTGCCTTAGTCAGCTTGTTCGTATTTCGCATCAAAATCTTCTTGAGACATCGCACTGTCATCAAAGCAGTAGGATCAGGAATGAAAAGTTTCTCTTCTTCATTGGTGTCGCTGTCTTCATAGGAATAGATGCCGTCCCATTCCACTGACATGGTAGTGAAATCGAACTTGAATCCTAAGTCAGAGAGAATGTCTCGACCTATGATCATGTCATAGCCCCCAAGCTCTTGGTGACGTGTAAATCCCACTGATAATTCTATCTTCGTGAATTCAGGAATCATGAATGCACCTTTGCACTTCGTGCTGGTGTTTAATTCTCTGCAGGGGTAGTCCACATTTGTTGGACGCCCCCAAGATCCTTCATGCGTAATTTCTTAGCATGAGTTTGAGCAATCAAGGTTCCGGATGCTCCTGTATCCAGTAAGCAACGGAGTGTAACGGTTTTTGGTTTCCCTTTTTCTCGCTTGTTAAATCTAAACTAGACGATGGGTTTGAGGTCTCTTGTCTTGCGACGTTTACGAGGTGGTTGGCCACGGACGAGGTTAACGATGCTAAATAGATCATCAGAGTCTAGTTGAGCAGCTCTAGGCAATCATCTAATTTCCGTAGTGTTCATCAGTTGCAAAAATTCTTGTTTACTAGTTAGTGAGATACTTCATCACTTTGGTATGAGAAATCGAACATGGTTCCGTTGAGTCATCATCCTGGCCTAATCCTCAGATAGAGATTTCTCCATCCAAGTGATTGAAATTGATAGAGGAGTTGTCCTCATTGTCAGAGTCTTCTGATTTGCGCTTGGCAACATGGTTGCGAAGTTTGCAAGTGGTTGCACGAGTATCGTCGATCTGCATCACGGTCAACAATACGCCCAAACGAACACAGCATTATTCTATTTTTATTCATGGGTCTGTCGGGAACTGGCCCTGATGCGTCTACCGATATTGAAGAGAAAGAGGCCAGCGCCGCACCAATGCCATCACTCAGTCAAGCTTGGGGCTTTGCAAATAAGAGCATGCGCAGAGCCTGTAATACTGCTTTGAAGAACAACAGTTTTTTTGATACTCTTGTGGATGGTATCAGAAAAGATGCTGAAACAAAGAAAAGATGCAAGAGCGGCACTCCAGCAAGAGGGCAAATCATGCAATCAGATGACGTGGACGGCTTCCTTTCTCCTGACTCTATTGTCATAGGGAGAACATTCAAACGGCGTGATATGAAAGCAACTCCAACACTTGAGGCAGAGATAGACAATCTAGCTTTGGAGTCTCCAGAAACACCCACGGCTATGAGGTTTTTTGGCTTTGGCGAACAAGAGACTGGTGCAAATGATGGCATTGGTGGAGAGCAGCGTCGCACACAACTTGACTTTGGATCTCCGTTCACTGAACAATCAGCTGTCAGCCGCTTTGCTTCAGGAGGTTTTGGATCACCGCTTGTGGAAGCGATCCATGAAGAAGATGAGGATTCTGCAGTTGCAACGACCGAAAACAGTTTCCATATTGGGACTCAAACTGACTTGAAATCGAGGTTAGAGGCAGAAATCAGAGACCATTGCATTAGTAGAGACTGCGAAGAAGAGATCTGCCGGGCCCTTTACCACCTCTTTCAGAGCAAAGCTGTACCGATTAGTCGGTCATCGACAACAGATGAGAATGAGGTTTTGACAATTCGTCAGGTTCGCAAAGGCTCCAGCATCAAAATCCTTCGAATTAAAGAGAGCCGACACAACACCAAGAAAGACATCCGAGGAAGGAAACTTAAGCGGAAAGCTAGATTGGTGGAAACGCTGTTTGCCAACTTGGATGCGTCTCACAATGAGATTGTATCAATGATAAAAATCATTGGGAAGAATTATTCACTCCGTGTCTTGGAGGAAGAAGAGTGTTGTTTGAGTATCGAACAATGTGCTGCCTTGATGCAATATCTCCCAGTGACTGCTCGAGGAGTCGAACGGCTTGCACGGTTCTTTAAGACTACGTTGCCGACCTTTGGAGCGCAGTTATTTCCCACCATGCTCCGAAAGAAGCTCGCAGCTTTTGCTCTTGAATCGTTCAGCCTGCAGCTTGGCTTTGAGCTTGTCTCTCTTGAGATCAGAGGAGAAAAGCGCAACAAAAAGTGTCTTCATGTTTGGGTGAAAGAACCTGCGATTGTGATCGAGTCTCTCACACAGAGTGCTATTGTTGCTGGCAAGTTTGAAGACTCGCTGACGTTTAGTAAGCACAAGGACGAGTTGATTGTTGTCCAAGGCTCAGATCGTGGTGGTGATATGACACTTTGCTTGGTCCGTGTTGCCAACAGAACCAAGGGTAATGCTCCCCAATACTGCATTCCTCTTGCGTTTTATGAATATGGGAAGGAGTGTTACAGCAACCTGCAAAAAACAATCTTTCACGCCAGTAAACCAACGGGAGAGTTCCTTCAAAAGATGCTAGACGGCCGTCTTCAAATCATTATTGTTGAGGTTGAAGACAACAGAAGTGTGGATGCCCAGTGTCGAATTGTGGAATGCGATTCCATTTTGACGATCACTCGAGTAGCAGACGGCATGCACAACACACTGCGTTTGCCATCTTCAACGGAATCCGAAATGCTACCATCTTTTTCAATTTTCAATAGAACTGAAACAGTGCAACAACTCGACAATGAGAGCCAACACAACAAGCAGTACTTGCAGTTGATGGGAAAGCCAATCGATGGAGAAACCGAATACCAAGGTTTTGCGCTCACCAATAGCTTTGGTCGTGACATCATTCAAACAAAATTCAGAGAAAGTCTTCGAGGCAGACCAACAAGTCAGGTGCGCATAAAATGCCTCCAAATCAGATGTTTCACAGCTGATGATATTAAATGTAACACTTGTCTCATGGGGCAAGGAACTGCAGGTGTGATGGCGCCTTGTACAATGTGTGTTGGTAGAAAGAAAGACTTTGGCCGATACTTGACACGACCACTGAACCAGCAACCACCTCTCCGACAATACGAAAATTCGAATCCAATATTGTATGAAGCTTTTGTTGCCGATGCTGGTGGACGAGCTGATTGGGTACGAGCTACTTCGACAGGACAGGCCAAGACTTTGAAACTTCGATACCACAGTGTGGTACACCAACCACTGCTCAACACTCCACCAGAGCTGAACACTGGTTCAGGCATGCACGTATCGAGTGGCTTGCTCACCCACTGTACTACCAAAATGTTGGAAGCACTGGGCAAGATCGATGGACAAGTCCCATGGCTAGGGAAACTCTCTGGTTTGGTACGTGAAGCAAAACATTTCGTTGGCACAGCTGTGAAAGAGGCCGAACGATTCCGAAAGAAAGATGCAAAGCTTCGAAAAGATATGGAGACAGCAGAGTCGCTAACAACAATGGCAAATCAGATTGATTTGATCCAGAAAGAGCGGCTTGAAATTTCGAGTCAGCTTGTTGCTTTGACAAAGGCTACAGAATCAGCCAAGCTCTTTGTCGAAAAGGGCAACGACTTCATGGCAGGCCTTTCAAAGAAGACAAAGAATCGGATCATTGGTCCTGCAACATATTGTTTCAGAAAGGCGTACGAAATCGATGGGAGAGTGGCATTCCGAGTTGAGAATAGTGGATTTGAGCTCTCAAACGGTGATGGTCTCCGAGTACTTGAACGTCGACATGCCATCAGTCAGCGGATGGGGCGACTCTTTCCCAATGATCGGCAGCTCCAATTGCAAGTTGAAAGCCTCATGAATCACTACTGTGGATTGGCAGAGTTACTCTACGAGATATCAACGATGATGAAATCACAGCGGAAGTGGTCTGAAAGAGCGGCATCTCGGTTTGAAACTATTACTCGACAATACGCAGAACGTTGGTTGGAGTTCATTGCAAAGACTGGAGATGCACCAAGCGCTAACAGTGATGAGATAACTGTTTTCAATAAGCTTCATGTTCTGAGATCTCACTTGGCACCGTTTGCAATTGCTAACCAAATGCTTGGCCGGTGCTCCGAAGAAGGTTTTGAATCAGCGCATAAGTGTATTGAATCCATCATGCATCCATTGGTCTGCATGACAAGCACTGAAACAAGGGCCTACACAATATTTAAAAGGATTATGCTCCAGTGTCGTCCGGAAATCGAGGCAATTCTTCGCGAAATTGAAGAACGGTTTACAGGCAAGAAGCGGGCTCCTTATACAAAGACGTCGCGGGCACTCAAATCATCCGACAATGCTCTATCAGCAGCCTCTGAGCAACACTCCCAGACCCTCCCAGAAGAATTCATTCACTCGATCAATGGATATATTATCAAGGAGGGGTGGAAAGATCACTTCGAATTCATCTGCATGAGTAAGGTTCCTGCATCATGGTCAGATCCATTCTCATCGGACGAAAGCCTTGGTGGTGTTTATCGCGCCAATGCCGACTATATCTAACCTAACGCACCCAAAGTTATAGCACTGTTGTCTTAGACCAACAAATGTATTCTTTTGCCCCGAAATCTACTCGTACCGTCATTTGTGGTTCCTAGACAACTGTAATTACAAAGAGGGCACGTTGTATGGTGGCAATGCCACCACACAAAACTCAAATACAGACCTAAAATCTCTTATTTTTTGTTATCTTTCAATGTAACATAGTACCCATAGGACACACAAGGGCTCGTGGTGACTTCGGCGGCTCGGATATGGGTCAAAAAGACCTCAGGCGACGGCATCTTCCATCATTGTGGCAGTTTCGCAGTCCAGGACCTTTTGAGTTTCGTCACAAAATAATATTGCAGGAATGGGCTTGCACGCCGGGCAGCTAATGCCCAACTGCCCACCCCATGAACCGATGTGCGGTCCAGGCACGCTCTAGCTAGCACTAGTCTTCTGTACCTCCCAAAAATAATTCAAGAGATTCAAGCTATTATAGTAGGACTTCTTTACCTAAATAGTCCTTGTCATCAAATAAGCTCACAAACATTAATAAAGTGGGGAAGTATCTCTCATGAAGGTTGCTCTCCAATAGCACTGGGAACTGCAACAGGCCAGCACAGAGCTCACACCTCTGAGAATGTCTCAACACAAAACAAGGCATTGCACTTAGAATGCTCCTTAGAACGCTCCAGCTTCAGCGAGCTCCAAATCCTCAGCAGCCATGACATCATAGACACACTGGTCCTTCAAGTCTCCCCAATGCTCACAGGCCTCCTTGGCATCTTCCATGGAAATGGTGGATTCACCCAGACGGCGGCGTCCTTCTCTTTCAGCTCCAGGCATACTGCATTTCACTGGGTGCTGGGGGAATCTGTTTGTCTGGAAGAGCTTGGGTTCTGTTTCAAGGACTTGCCATTCATCGCCAAAGGCATCAGGATCAGTCATGACAGTTCCATTTCGAGACAGCAACTTGCCAGTTCCAAACTCTCCCAAGAGACCTTGGCTGTCACGGTACTCGTCAAAGCTAGCACCCACAGTCTTGACACTGACCAGGTCCTTGAAAGATTGAATGACAATCTGCTTTCCCTCTCCAAGCTCAATGGTGAAAACATCTTGCTTGGAGTTGACCTTCTCGTGGTGGACAGTGTATCTGTCAAGTTTCTCTGAGTCCAGATCTGCATTGGAGATGCCATCCAACATGTAGCTACCATATTCACCAACCTCCAAAACACTGTCTCCAATTTGAACAGCAGCAGACTCAATGAAAGAGTACTGGTATCGAGCCTTGGTTCGAATGTGGATCGCCAATCCAGTTCCATGTCCAAACTTGGGGCTGTCGACAAAAACCAAGTCACACTCTCCATGGAAATCAAACCACTTGCCAGCCCAGGACTTGAAGTGAGGGTCACCAGTGCCAGCACCATCACCATCACCATCACCATCACCATCAGTATTTGTTTCACAAGAAGTGAAGATAATAGACCAAGAATTAAGCGTTCCTGTGTCACCACTAGCATCATCATTGATGTCTAGTGTCCAGTAACCCGTTGATTGCTGGCCATTGAAAGTAGAAAGAGCCTCCTCTGGTCGAACCTCTAGTCCATCTTGATTGCAAAGGTTATTGGAGCTACCAGCTCCACTGAGACTTTGGGTAGCGGAATCATCAAAAGTAACGACAAGATCATCACTGGACCCACAATCATCATATTGAAGCTTAATCACATCAACAGGGTCATCTGTTGGGTCTGGTCCATCCATGGTGAGATCAATCTCCAAGTCAGAAGTCCAAGTGTGGGTAATGTCCACTGAAACGTCGACATCACAGATATCAAAGCTGACATCTACAAAGATGCTGTCACTAACGCTGCCCTGAGTGCCAGATCCTGGGATCGCCAAGTTAGGGGAAGAAGTGTATGTAACAGTAGTCTGAGCCTTGGAAGAAGACAAGCTGCCAAGGAGGGAAACGGCAATCAAAGAAATCATCATGAGGACTGTGGAAGTTGGGTATTGTGGCAAGAGTATCGAAAGTGGGTTCCTGAGTTTTTATGAGACCACGAGATGCTAGAAAGGATTTGGGCCGCAAAAGTGACAGGTATCGTGCACAGTGCACAGCTACACGAGTTTTTGTTTTAGGAGGAAGTGTTGAGACCAACTCCGAAAGGTAACTACTAGTATCCCAAGAGTTGCCACGCTGAAACGCTCGTAAACATTGCATAGCCACAATGATGTTTTGGGCCTGAAGTGAAGTCCCCAGTGGTCTGTATATATCATCCTTTCCTACTTAGCCACAAGCAACCAGCAGGAGGCCATCATGATTTATTTCAGCTGGTACCAGTACCGGACCGGTTCTCGCCAAGATGCATGCATGCACCGCCACAATCGTTTTCGATTTGAACTATAATAACTAACAGACGATCGACTCGACTTGCTGCTGCAAGTGAGAGTTGTTTCGTTGCGACAGACGCCCGAGGTCGCAGCTAGCTGGGGATACCTACGGTGAACGGCAGGACCGGACCGGACGGCTGGCGAAGGGTCGCGACTGCAGGCCCCACCGCTCGAGCTCGCTTGGAAACCATACGGTGGCGAAGACAGATCACCTTGGTGGGTGATGTACGGTAGCTATCACAGCTCGATCCACTTGATGGAATCGTGCTGTAGCCAGCAAAGCTTAACAACAGGTTTTCTGCTGCCTACCGCCGAAGGGGAGAGCGTTACCAGCTGCTGCTATGCGAGTGATGGTGCTTTTGTACGAGCACGCATCGTTGCGTTGCATTTGATCCATCCCCACCAGCTGTCATCTTCCAATCCAAGATTCTTTGCAGTCCGATGTTCTCTTCGAAGAGAGGAGAGGTGACATACGAGGTCGTATCGGTCGATGGTGGTACTATACAAATACTGGCCACACAGGGCTCAGCCATCGTCACAAAGAACAGCTAATTGTCAAATAAAATCATGCTCCAGCTCAAGTTACGTTATCATACACAGGTTATGCATTGCGAACCATTCTTCTGTATTCAATTTTGCCATGAATTGCTCCTTAGACTGTAAGCTCATTGGGTTGGTTCCATGAGTGGCTCCTTCTCTTCCTTCGTTCGGACTGTTTCTTCCGTGTGGGATTCGGCTGTGTCTTCCGTTTGCTTCACCTTTGGTCTCGCTTCCAGAACCTCTTCGGCCGAGGGCGACGCGGGTTGATTACTTTGCTGTTGCTGATTGTCGGGATCTTTTGCTGGCAAATCCTCCTCCCGCTCTTCTGGTTGCGTTTCTTTGTCGTCATCGTCGTCATCGGATTGTTGTCGACTTTGTACCAACAACAAATCCGTTTCGTCATTATCGACCACCACCCCCAACTGCTGTTCTCGCTCGGCTTCTTCGGCCATGACTAGAAATTCTCGACATTGTTTGGTGACATTGGTGAGTTCGAATTTCTTTTGTTCCAATGAGGCAATGATGCGTTGGCAGTCTTTAATGCTCTTGAGTATGGTCAAATGAACGTCCACTACCTTGCCAAGCGCTTCCTTGTTCTTTTGTTGTTTTTCCAGTTTCTCCGGGTGCTCGGTATTATTGGTGTGGCTTGTTGTTGCTGATGTGCTATCGTTGTTTTGGTTGTTGCTGCTATTCAAATGCTCATCTTGCTCTTTCAAGAGTTGCTGATATTTGCGAATTCGAATCGACAAGAATTCTTCCTTTCCCTCCAACGTCGTGAGCGTTGTATTGGCTTGAGTTAATTCCACCTCGATTTTGGACAGCATCTCCTCCACATTCTCGCCGCCTTGTTCCGCGTCGCCCGGATCGTTGAGGGTTTCCACAATCTTTTGCGTCAAGGATTGCCGCGTCACGGCGTCCATCGATTCCGTCTGCGTCTTTAAATCACGCGACGAATAGCGTTGTTTGCAGTAGTCCCAAAGAGACCACATTGTGCTGGCGTTAGAAGTATTTATTCAGGTGTAGCAGAGATGGAGGGTAGTAGAAGTAGTTTTGCTTCCTTTTTATGAGCACGATCGATGATGGAGCCTCGACACTCGACACACCACGACTTGTTGGCAGCACGACTTTAGCAGCGTTCGCTTCTCTTTCAACAAGAGCTAACTCTGCTGACGCCCAAGCAAGACAATGAGAGCGAAACCGACAATCAGTGGTACTGTAGCTACTAGCTAGCTAGCAAGATTGATACCCGTGGATGTGCAACAAGACGAGACCTCACCAATTACGGTACTTCTTGGTGGCAATGTGGCAATGCTCTCTGGATTCTTGGGTTGTGGATTCGAATGATTCTGGAGCTTCGTCCGACGCAAACCTGAAATAATAATGCAGAGCAGAAATCAATAAATCTTTCAGTGGTGCCTCGGACTCTAGAAAGCTGGACCACCTGCTGCATTGATTGGCAATGCAGATAGATAGAAGGACTTCTAAAGGTATACCATAAGCTAGTACGTTCATGAAAATGGCTATCCTTGGGATCAGAGACATGTGGCAATTCTGCTCCGAATGGCCAATTAGAAGAGGCTCTCAAGCTGGCTTGTGAATTGGGTATCCTTGGGATGAAAACACATGATCCCGTGTGTGTTGAACATTGTGGGGGTGGCATTGGAACTATTGGCGTGGCGCAGAGCTCATGCGCATGGCTGTCCTTGGGATTCGTGGTCAAGATAGCAGTGTTGCTGCTGGATATGGATGTGGTGAATCGAATCCTAAGTTATTCCCATTAGAGCGGCTGCACGTGGAAGCCCAGCTATGCAGCATAGCTGGGTCGTCAACCTGCATTGTTGCCGCATCCTCCTTCCATGGTCTACTTTAGCTTCCTTCATGCCTTGGAAGTATGTGCGCCCGCTCAACTTACTAGTGTTTTACTGAATTCAGGGCGATACAAGTGCCAGAAAAAGGTGGCGTTGTGGGGTGTGGTTAGATTATGTATTGGAAGGCCCTGTAGCACAAGCCTGGGCCTTGAGAGAAATAGATGATAATACTAATGTATGTGTGAAAGAACAACGAGGAATAGAAGACGAATCCATAGTATGCAATAGTCATGCAGCCATGACAATCCACTCGTCGCACTGATAGTTAGAAAAAGTCTCCGAGGACTTCATCGACTGTGTCCGCTGCCTGAGCCCATTCCACTTCCGCCTGATCGTTACGTTCGTTGGGGATGGGGGCAGTGGGAGCCGAAAATGCCAAGGGAATGGACTTTTGAGTCTGCGTGCGGGGACGGGCGTTCGAATCACCGTGAACATCCGGATCCACAAACCACCCAAAGTCTCCTTCGGGGGTATCCTGAGAAGAAGTGACGACCTTGCGGGGCAAATCATCCGTCGACTTGCTCCGATCGAGTTGAAAGGACAAGGATGCACTCACTGTGGCAGGAAGGTCCTTGGGCTTGGTCAGGATCATCGACGAATGCCTGCACTTGAAGGGGGAAACTACCACCGAACCAGCAGACATCAGATTGGCCAAGGAGGGGCCACATCGTTGCAGGGATTTGGTGGCAGAAACTAGGCGACGCTTTGCAAGGTTGTGTTCACTCTTGATGGATGCCATGGATTCCGAGTTGAAGGTGGTAGCTCTAAGGGTATCCGCCTTGGCGTCATTCAGATCTTCCTTGGGGTTGTTGGCAGCAATATCTCCAAAGAGGCCTTGTAGAAAGGCCGAATTGTAGGATGTCACGGAAAACTTTGGGTGGCTGGATTCTTCTTCTTCTTCTTCTTCTTGGCCTCTCTCAGCTTGTCGTTTCCTCAACGATATGGAGGATACCCGTTCCTGGGCATTGCCACCACCAGCACCCAACCCTAGAGAGGTTGGCACGAACAGGGCATCACTATCATCATCATCTCCAGAGCACTCATTAACTGGCTGCTGGTTGTTGTCGCTGATCACGTTGGCCGACATGAGCCTTTGCAGCGAGAGCAGCAATCACTCAAGGTTTTAGCGTCCCAGACAAGGGGTCTTGTTTTGTTTGTTGTTTTTATAGCAATACAGAGTAGATAATTTGTGAAAGTAGCGTTCTGTAGCGTTACTGAAGCTTGTAGCAAAATAATAGTAGCAAAGGTAGATTGAGTTGGTTGTAGATATATAGAATCGCAGGAAAGATACCAGAATGGAAATCAAAAGTCTCAAGGAGTAGGATGGTTGGGCGGAATAGTAATGACGGTGCCCCTGTTAACCAGATCCTACAAGATGAGACTGATGACTACCTCTCGAAGTTATCTCTCGACGATTCTTTTGGACTTGTCGTGGCCCGACGACTAAAAGCCACAACAACAACAAACAAAGAAGCAAAACTTGCAACTATGATAGCTTCGACGACCCCAGTTGCACTGCCTTCTTCACAGAGTTTGTACTGTATTTGTCCCTTCTCGTCCAGGGAAGAGGGAAGAGGAAGAAAAGGACAAGCTGTGATGGATGTGTGGGTCAACACGTACTCGTCGGTGCTTCCTCCTTGGAAAGAGGATCTTAACCGCCCTGCCACGCACTTCCGTAACAGATGCCATCAGCGAATGAAAGCTCTTTCTGGAGCATTTTCCCATCTCCCGAAAGGCAGAATCCAGTTTGATTGGATCCAGCGTAAAAGCATTCGGTCCACATCACAGCACGATCATCCAACCAAAGTGTCCAAAGCCTGGAAGCAGTTCCAACACCCCCTTTCTCTTGAAAAACTCTATCATTCCATGCCTCACAGATCAAGAACAATGCCATCAACCAATCAACGAGACTTGGATCCACGAACAAACAACGTGGTCCAACTCTTGTGACAACCACACCCATACTTTTCCACAGAGTAAAGTTGACCCGCCTGCTCCTGGGAATACAAGGATGCTATCGAAGACGAAAGCTGTTGGTGCCAATTGCGCGAAGACGAAGTTGTGCAGAAGGCGATTCACTCTCCAGATACCTTCTCGTCTAGCTAGCTAGCTACTGCTGAGCTAGCTAGCTAGTAGCCAGAAAACTGATGGCATAGAATTTGGAAAGATGGCTGCTCGGCGAAAGCAACAATCAGACCCTCGAGGCGGGTTGGTGATTTTCCGTGAGCTTCAGTTTACAGCTCACCGTACCCAGTCCGGAAGCACCTATGGCACACTCCGTTGTGACAAAGGTTTCCAGAGCGGGTCCTCAGGGGTACCAAGTTGGTGGTGCATTGTAGTAGTAGGTGAAACTACCGGTATGTGAAAGGCAGGTAGCACTGTAGGAATGTACATGTAGGATTGGTGGTGGCTGGGTCGGCACTGGTTTTGGGGGGCTCGGCAGTGGTGCGGCTGCGGGACTACCGGTACGGGTACCTACATACCGTACCTACATACCAGTACATGCTGTACCCCTATAGCTGCTGTGGGCACACCAGCGCGCTTTCTTGGCTCAGCTAAGAGTGTGGGGCTTGCAAGCAGTGCTCCTTTGGGTGATCCAGCATGAGTGCTTCGTTTGTTCATGTTGCTTTTTGGGGTCGTGAACGCCCGCATACTAGTATTCTAAATTAAGAAAAGATTGCTGCTTGTACGTGCACTCCTACAGGCGCAATGTGTTTCGGGGTCTACCGGTACGACGGTATGTTATGTTCATTGCATCTATGGTTGACCGTTGTTGTTGTTGTTGTCGTTGCCATCAAGCACACCGGCAGTAGCATCGTCATCATCATTGTTCAGCAGCTCTACATAGTCTCCTTCGCCTTGTGGCCTCACAGTGGAGAAGAGTTTGCACACAAAGCCCAAAGCGGCCAGAGTTCCGACAGACCCACACAGCAGAAAGGCCCCACACGAGATCAGTAGCATCTTTCCAAAGTAAAGCATATGGGCAGTGAAGTAGGTGTCTTCATGGATTTCCAAAGTGCTCACCCAGACAATGGAATACGCAAAGATGTAAAAGCCAATGCTTCCCGCACAGAAAAAGGCTGGCCACCACCAAATGTGATTCTCCCCGTTGAGGCGGTGATACACAAACAGCACCGTTACTTGCGCGCTGATAATCATGACAATGGTATAGACGATCAGGGCAAAGCCAAAGGTCCAGTAGTATTGTTGCATAAATAGGTTGGTCATGATGAAGAAAAGCTCAACGTACACGGCAGCAAACGGGACGACCCCCACCCACAGGACGGCGACAATTGGAACCTTCCAAGCGGCACAATACGGGGATACGCCGGTGAAGACGAGATACAGCACATCCAAGAAGCACCCATGGCGACACGATGGAGGAGGTATGTCTCGAGCAAGAGAAGATGTTGTCGTCGGAAAGTCCTCAAGGTTGGGTGCGGCTGCATTGTAACCCTTTTCCATTCCATGCTTCGTCAGGACATACCCGATCAAGCATGACACACCTACCGTGACAAGTACACTCGGAATGGACGGTTTCGTAAATGCTGGAGAGAACAGGCTGAAGACTGCACTGACCGCAAACACCATTCCCGGAAAGATTGTTGTGGTAAGCCAGGCTTGTTCCTTGCAGTCTTTGCCTCCTCCAAAGTTTCGGTAGAGTCGCCCACTCACATACCCACCGACAGGGCAGCCCAAGACGGTATAGGCTGTCCAAGCGGCCATCACAAATGATCCCCGTTTCACTGGAGAGACAATGTTCAACGTTGCCAAGACCAGGACCAGCAATCCGGTAATGGCCAGCTGGATTCCAGTGCCAACCATGGCACAAAATAAAAAGGGCATTGTTTGAGGAGGCCGGAACACATCACCATGGAGGGATTTCCATCCTTTGCGATCATCGTCGTCATCATGGCTGCCTTGTGACCTGCCTCTGGAAGCTGCAACATCTCGTTTCAGATTCTTGACAAGGATACAAGAGACGACGACCGAGAGGAATAGGACCACAAGAGTGGAATTGACAATGGAATAGATGTGGACTTGGGGCGGGACAAAGTAGTCTTCTGTGAGATAGACAACCCATCTGGAGTCCGATGCAACATCAGATTCCTGCCAAGTGACATCATAGGTGTACAAAATGGGTTCTCCTGGCTTGACGATTTGAACGGTCTCGACATAGTCTTGGTTGATGAACTCAGAATTAAGATCGGATGGACAGGTCTTGAGTTCTTTGAGGAAACCTTCAGTGCTGATGCCATCCCATTCAAATCCAGGGGGGAAGCCATGCTTGACAGAGGTTGGTTCCACCCCAAATCCCACAATCCTGTATCCATCCTCCCTAACGTGGTAGTCAATGTAAAGTTTGACATGATTGAATACATAGGCGTCATTTTCATTCGTGTCAATGAACCCAATGGGAAAGCCACCAGCATAGTGCTTTTGCATAACTCCACGGCTGACCGCTACATTGGCGGCTGGCATGTCATCTACCTTCCAATTGTTATGATATCCATGATGGACGTAATATGAAAGCTTCTCTGCGTCGTCACTAGTGAGTCTGATCTGGCAAAGCTTTTTACAGCGAACTTCCTTGAGCACTTGGATTTCGTAGGCAGAGTTCTCTTCCTGCTTGCCCCCAACGACGCCTTCGATTGGGCGGCAGAAGGGTAGGCGGTAATAGTTGGCATCCGCCTGCGTATGAACTGAAGTGATGGGGCTGACCTTCAAAGGGAGGTCGTCAGCTGTTTTTGGTTATACATTGCATTAATAAAAGATGGGATGAGAGGCTTCCAGGAATTGGTTTTGTTTCCTCCACCAAGCTGTTCGCTTACCTCGTTGATAGGATTTTGGGTTGAAATATTCCACAGAAAACAGGGAAGCATTGGCTACTTGCACAGCAAACAGCGCGGAGAGAGAGAATACTAAGAGAGTCACCCAGCGCTGCGGAACTAATGGAGATGGAGGCCTCATCGTTTTGTGGTTTCTGGATAGGTGCCCTCCTTGTGATTTGCGGTTCGGATCCGATTCTGATTCGATTCAATCACCACGAAGTATCGACCAAGCAAAAACGACCTGAATACTGTCTGTTAGGAACAAAGATTCTCTGCTTGCTTTGCTTTTGATACCAAACCAGGTTTACAATCACACTCTTGAAGTAGGAATAAGAGATCAAGTCCAATATGTTGTTTGAGACGTTGTGGGAGGAGTTGATTGATGTTCCGGTTGTTGCCTTTCGCTGGCTCTTTGCAAAACGGGGGCACGACTGGGATTCTGTCTTAGGGTTGAGACTTACTTATTAAAAGATTTGGATCTTTTGGCATTCTCATGTCTGAACGGTATCTTTTTCGTTGAAGACCAATCTCCACAAAAGACAAGACAAAAGACACTTTGTTGGCTTCATTATCTTAGCTGTTGTCGACGGAAACAGTAATACTGTACTCAGCAAGGCCAGCACAATCAGCGTGGAAGCCATGAGGACTCTGTGGGCTTTGCTCGTCTTTTTATCGGTCGCTCGATCGTTCTCGGTCAATCTGCCAATATCACGGTGGCATTTGGTATCTCTGAATATACCCACTCAGACTACAAGTACTAATAACAATGGACAGCCATTCCGATCCGCAGGGCCTTTGACGTCGGTGGGATCGGCATCGGTAGCAGCCGAAAACGCAGATGATGGTGATGATGATAAGAAGAAAGAGATGAGTGCCTTTCGCGCCAAACTGTCGAAAGTGTTGAGCAATGTCCGAGCGGCTCCCTTTGCCTTTTCCATTGTGACATTTATTCTGGGTTGGGCACTGGGTGGCCGATCGGCCATTTCCTCGTCTGCCTCCCGACCCGTCCGAACGGCAGCACGCCAATATCCCATTATTGCCACCATTCTGTTGGTTGTGGCCATACGAGATACCTGGTCGCTGATTCCCGCTTGGGCCAAAAAGAACATTCGAAAGCTCCGAGGAACAGTCACGGGCAACAAAGATGATGTGGATACCGACGATCCCGATGATTTGACATCCCTTGCATCGATGTCGCTCAAACTACGGACGCTCTTTCAACAAGGAAAGGAACGCTTTGCAAAGGCAGGAGTTACCTATGACAATCCAATTATGGTTTTCTTGGCAACCATTCACTTGATGAACCAAGCCAAAGAACAACTCGCCGATCGTCGCGATGCCATGTACCAAACTTCCGGTCCTCTGGTCGACAATCCCAAAGAAGTCCTACAGGGCATGGATGAATACTTTGAGTTTGCCGATTGGGCGTATGATGAATTGCCCGAAGGACAAACCTTGAAAGGAAACCTAGAAGCCAAGGGATACAGTCTCTTGAGACATGAAAAGACGGCCCTGCCGGGACATGTGGCGCATTATGTGGCTGTCTCGAACGAACGAAAAGAAGCATTGATCGGTGTCAAGGGGACCTCCAATTTTGAGGACATGTTGACAGATTGTGTTGGAAACGTTGTCAAATACAACTTTGGAGAAGGCAAATCCTTTGTGGAAGGAGGTCGCGAGGAAATCAACTGTCACGAGGGAATACTCTTGTCCTCCCGACGACTGGCAGATGATCTCATGACGTTTGTCGAGTCAGTGTTGTTGCCTTCTGGATACACAATCAAAGTCACGGGTCACAGTCTTGGGGCGGGTGTGGCGGTCATTTTCGCCATGATCCTCCGATCACGCATCGCCGCCTTGAGGAATGACAGCACGTGTAGTAAACTGCAAGTGTTGGCATTTGCATCACCGCCCATTTTGGATTACAAGGCATCACGTCACTGTGAATCCTTCGTGACAACCTTCGTAAACAACTCCGATATTGTACCTCGATGTTCCTTGTCCCATTTGATCCTTCTCATGCAGTTCATGAAACCGGTCAAGAACAAACTGGACGCCGAGGGCCTCAATCCGCAAGATGTCAAGTCGATGACCGCCTTTGCCAAATTTCTGTCGCGAGGCAAGCAAGATAAAATGCTCTTGTCGGGAGAGGAGATCCGTAATGGTATCCAAGTTGCTCTCGAAGGATCCAAAATTGACGACCCAGAGCACTTGTATGTGGCCGGTAAGGTAGTTCACATGTTTGATGAATGGAGCAAGGAAGGCTACGGCGACAGAAGTGATTATGAAACCGTCGACAAGGACTTTGATGAGTCCAAGAAGGTTGCCACTGCCGAAAAGATCTATGTGGCAGATGCAAGCGCTACAGTACTTCGAATCATTGAGATTGACGACAGAATGATGACGGATCACATGTCACCTGGATACCGTGCGTCCATCAAGTCACTCTTGGCCAAAGCGGACAATCTGAGCCCTGCATTCTAGAGGATGCAGACAGAAGAAAACTGCCAGCTAGAGTATTGCAAAAAGCCCTATCGATTGGACCGATGGTGCTGCTCCTTGTGAAAATCGGCTACAAGCACTACCGTATCGGTGCGTCTGCAACTAAAGCAGCCATGACAATCATGGTGGGGATGATCGCATCCCCACTATGCATGTAGAGAGAAAATGTTGGTACTCTATCAAACTTCGATACGTCTAGCATTGTTTCTGTAGCATGTATATTAGGAAGAGTATACTAGTGGGAGTTATCGTGACTCTCGGGTTCGTCTAGGATTCGCACACGCGAGTTCTTGCTCAATATGTAAAGATCAGATCTCCTAGCTAGGTCGGCTTCGACCTGTCGTACGTTGAAGGCATTGTAGTCCTCTTTCTGCCGCTAAAAGCCTGCATTCCTCTGATGCTCGTTGCCAGCTAGTAACTCACAATGCAGCCCGCTTGCACCTTTCCTGCTTTCCCTCATAAAGCCAGTTTCCCTCATAAGCGAAGACTTGTCAGCTCAAAGATCTAGCCGATCTGTTCATCCCGCCGTTGCCTTCTCTACATCGTGCGTTGCCTTCTCTACATCGTGCGTTGCATTCTCCACATGCACTGGAAAGCTGGTACTGCAAGATGTGGTCTTCAAGTCAATGCTGCTTGTGTTGGTTCGGCTCGCAGTGTGCTGTTCCGACCGTCGAAGGTATTCTTTAATGTCGTGAACAGAACCGAGGCAGTGATTGGAACGCATTGAAGTCCTGGAAACAACCGAGGTAAAGCGCATGGAACGACTATCCGCACCCCGGTACACCCCGAGCCCTTCACCCGGTTCATTTGCAAACTTATCCAGTACGGAGCTTGGATCGTTGCTCTCTTTGTTGTTGTTTCCGTTTTCACGAGATCTTTGCCACTGCAAAAACTTGAGCGTGTATGATATTTTGGGGACGAAAATGAGCAACAGTATCGCCAAGCTCGTAAAGGTAACAATCAGAGTGATGACAACGTAGTGTGCTTGAGGAATCTCGTAGAGTAGCCCGATGATTGGGATGCCTGTGAGCCATGATTGCAACAGGCACAGCATGATGAGGCCAATCCATCTACTTTCACTGTATTGGGTGTGCATGTGTCTGGTTCGGAATGCCAGGACATTGGCGTTGAGGACCGCCGCCACGTTGATTGCTGCCAGTGCCAAGATGTAGGGTATGGCACCCCCGATACTATCGTCCGCGACGCGGCAACTGCCCGCCGAAGATACGACTCGATTCCATGGATCGGTGCCGTCGTCGACTTTACGGACAAACTTGAGCGGCGCCATGATTGTCCAGCAGACCAATACCACCAAGTTTAACCCCATCATCACCATGTAGGGTATCAAGACGTCTTTTGTTTTCAGTACGAGCATCGAAAACGCAGGGCACTTCGATGCAGTTGATCAATGCGTCTCATTTTGCTGGCCAAAGCCGTAAATGCCGTGACAAAACCAATCGATCCCAACCAGGGTTGCGCCATGCACGCCGCGTCGGTAGCTTGTTGACTATAATGCTGATCATCCATGGAGAGAGGAATCAAGATGGATCCCAGAATCAATGTCCCCACGGACACCATCATGAGGTAGAACGGCTGCGATGCTATTACCACTTTGACGTTTCGATTGACAAAGGTCCAAACAGTGAATCCAATACTCAATCCGGCAATGAGTGCAAAGCAGCAATATCCCAGTATTCGTAGTTGACCAATGTAATTCTTATTGACCGTAATGGGCGGTAAGGAAGGAGGCGGATTGGAAGTTCCATCGTGAAAGACAAATCTGGTCGCTTCATCCAGATAAAGCATATCCCAGTCGGTCAGTTCTTGATTGGGTGTCAAGACAATGACTTCGGGAGTGTCAAATTTGACCATTTGCGACGTTTCATTGAGGTTGGGCAGGACGTTCAAAATGGCATAGGAGAATCGCAGGGGATCTCGCGACTTGGTTGCCGGATCCAACTGTACATTGCCCGATGCCCCTTCAAAGGTGGCATTGATAATCGCTTGTATATGAGTCTCACCGTCCAATGACGTGACTTGTTCTGACTGTTGCTTCTGCATCATGGCCGCACAAGCTCCCAGCCCCATACTAATGACAGTATCATAGGCAAAATGCGCCGTGGAACCTGGATCGTTGTCTTGAAAGAACCAGGGTCCCGCTTCGAAACAATTGTCGACCCCACGAATGGTGGGCATTTTTTGGTTGAAATGAACCGTAGCATCCGCGGTATTGTCCTGCCACGCTTGGGCGAATCGATCGTATCCCGGTGAATTGGGTTTGGCCCCAAATTCGGGCAGGACGGCCATGCCTTGAATGGCGTGTGCGAGTGCGGCATCGCTTTCATCCGTCATGTTCAAGTGCAGATTGCCAAAGTAACTGGTACTAATGCCGAGCATCCAAAAGTATCCATCCGCATCTTGTCCCGCAATGCCCAGTTCGACGGCTTGTCGCATGACGGGATCGAGATGATCGCTAAAGAATACCATGAGAACATGTCGAACACCATTCTGTTTGACTTTTGATAGTTGTTGCTGAATGTCTTTTGGATCGGGTGGAAAGGCAATGGGGAATCCAATGGCGGTGGTGCCGTACACTTCTGCCTCTTTTTGAAAGGCTTGATGATAGTGATTGCCAAAGGCGTCGTTAATGTACAAGACATTGACATGTGTCGTTTGGACGACTTGTTTGAGAAAGCGCATGGCCCCTTTGGCGGCGGCATCATCGGCAGGAACAACCCGACCGAACAAGGGATACTTGAATGCATCGTTGAGTTCGGGAGATGTGGCGGTAAAGCTCATTTGTGGCAATCCGTAGGCTCCCGAGACAATGGACGATGGACCCGTGCTGCTGCTGGTGCGGGCTCCAATGACGGCACACGGAGGAATGTTGTTGTCGTTGTTGTTGTGGATGGTCGTGTTGTTGTTGTTGGTATCATCTTGATCATTGATACTAGTAGTAGAAGAGGAAGAAGAAGGAGTCAACAACCGCGTCAATTCCTTGACAATCACCGGAGGTGTGTATTGAGAATCGAGGAATGTGGCACTGAGTTTGAGTGGACAGCGTTCTTGAATGTCTTGTATCTCTGGCACGACCGTTCCGAGTCCATTGTTAAAGTGATGAATGGCCATTTCCGTGGCGACGAGTTCCTTGTAGATTTTGGAGGCTTGCTTGAAATCGCAGCTGCCGGTAGCACGGGAGAATCCCAGAAATGTGGCCAAATGACACAGAGGAAATGACGTTTCTTTGTCTTCTATCGCTTCCGCATGAGGATGATAGTGCACCAGATCGAGATTGCCATGGCGTTCCACAGTGCTGCTGGGATCTAACCGTCTCTGTTCGTAGTAGCCGTAGGAAGACGGATCGTTATTTGTGCTGATGGTGATGTCCTCTTCATTTGCAACCACGGACAGTGACAGCAGCAACGGTAGCAGAAACAGGGGTATCCTTCGCATCGTGGAGTGAGTGTTTGTTGCAACAATCTGCAATGAGATAACGAGAATAGATATTTGGGTAGCCTATTAGGGATGTGTGGACAGCAAGGTCTAAACCCAGCAAAGGGAGATGGCGCGGATGTACGATACTTTGTGTTTGCCTCTTGCTTGGGCTACTCGTCGAGTGGCCGAATGAATCGAATCTCAAATAGCTTCTCAAATCTCCCATCGGTACGTGCATTGCTTTGGTTCGAGTGACGAGTCAGCGGAAAGAGCTTGGAACGTCAACTTCGTGACATTCTGAAGTCGTCATCACGGATTGATGAGCGTAAGAAGACTGTTGAAGTCGGGCGCTAAGCAGTCATTGTTCACCTGTTTGTTTAACGAAATGAGCCACTACTTCACTTGAAACACGTTACGTGATTTAATAACAGCTTGAATTGCATAAATCTTGGTGCACTGCATCTTTTGAAGAAGCACTTGAAGAGAAGTTCACAGCTCAGCAAATAATGCAAACTACTTAGAACATACATAGAGTTAAGGATAAAATCAAGATCTTTTGGGGACCTTTGTCCTCCATCCAATCGCCACTTTGATATCTTGCCATTGGCCGTCGACCTTTCTCTACTACTGTTATCTATTGCTATCTATCTGCCATGATGATGTCCCTTCGAGTATCTACTGCTGCTTCCCTGGCCCGTCGAAGACTGCCGGGTGGTCGAATTCCGTTGCTAATATCCACCAGGATACCCTCTCCTCGTTGCTTTTCCGCCAGTGCTACTACCGAGCCTACCAATAACAGTGATATCATTGATTGTGACAGCAAGGACGTCTTGAATGCCCATCACGGCCTGGATTTATCGGATCCCTACTGCAATGTCTCGGAACACATTGCGTCTCGAGTGGGAGTCAATCTCCACCATCGAACGAATCATCCTCTCTGTACCATCAAGGAACTGATTCATGACTATTGGAATACCACTAATAGTGACAACAACAATAAATTCGAATTGATTCAAAATCTCCATCCCGTCGTTTCGACCAACGCCAATTTTGACTTGCTCCGCATTCCTCAAGATCACGTCAGTCGGCAAAAGACGGACACGTACTATTTGAATCCAACGACTGTGTTACGATGTCACACCAGTGCCCATCAAGTCGACCTCTTGAAGCAACACAAACGACAATTCTTGGTCACGGGAGATGTCTATCGACGAGATGAAATTGATGCCTCGCATTATCCCGTCTTTCATCAAATGGAAGGTGTCAAGTTGTTTGATACATCCGACAATACAGAAGAATCAATTCAGGCCGATTTGCAACACGGTCTCGAAGGCATGGCCAAGGCACTCTTTGGCGCCGACACGCCGGTCCGATGGGTCGATGCCTACTTTCCCTTTACCCATCCATCGCTCGAATTGGAAGTCTACTATCAAGACGACTGGTTGGAAGTATTGGGATGTGGAGTGATTCATCCCGATATTATTCAAAATGCCGGAATGGACCCTTCACAAACATCGGGATGGGCATTTGGATTGGGATTGGAACGATTGGCCATGGTCTTGTTTGCGATACCCGATATTCGACTCTTTTGGTCCACCGACCAACGATTTCATAAACAGTTTCAAGCTGGAACAATCAACACGTTTCAACCCTATTCCAAATATCCACCGTGTCTCAAGGACATGTCTTTTTGGTTGGCTCCAGACGCCAACGCATTTTGTGAAAATGACTTGTCCGAAGTCGTGCGAGAAGTGGCAGGAGATTTGGTGGAACAATTGACATTGATTGATTCCTTTGTGCATCCCAAAACACAACGCACCAGTCATTGCTATCGCATCACCTACCGATCCATGGATCGATCACTCACCAATCAAGAGATTGACGCGCTACAAGAGCAAGTACGAACGTTGACACAGGATCGATTGGGAGTCGAGTTGCGATGATGATGATAATATTAATGACGATGATAATGCTGTGTTGCACTGATGAGTGTGTTGGTTGGCTCGTTTCTCGAAATGCTACCTTGCGCTAGTGCAAGTGGAGGTATGGTACTCAAGCGACAATCAATGAAAGAGAAGATTGAGACATAAAGCTGGCTCTGGGCGGTCTTCGATGAATAAATAGCCTGAGGGAAAGCTGCGCCGAGTTGGCTCCTCAAGTGTACAAATCAACTATTTTTAACTTCTAGACGTGTTTCACATCATTTGTACTTCAAGTCAGCCCTACTTTAGATTCAGTACCTATCGTACCTAATAATGTGCATAAAAGGCATCCATCAACGCATCCACATTGAATTTGAACTCTCCAAAACGCTCGGTGGGCGGTCCCTGTGGTAAACTCTTGACCCAACGTTGCACATCGAGCACATCTTGTTGGTACTGTTGCTCGAGTCGTTGTTGTTGCCTGTTGTTGCCGGCCAGTTTTTCTTTTTGACTCTTGGCTGTGATTTCTTCATCCGTCATGAACACCAAATCAGAATCATTGTCGGCGGTCGCCATAATGGCCTTTGGATTCTTTTTCTTGGGCGGTGGTTTGGTAGTAGCTAATTTGGTGGAAGACCGATCCGTCAACATTAAATGACGTTCGGGCGATGCCACGGATTCCTTGACTTCTGGCACCACTTCTCCCCACGGCGTGGCTCCGTCATTGGAAAAAAAGGGAGTCAATACTTCCGGATCGCTGCCGCCAGCAGCAGCTGCGTTACCACCAGAATGAAACAAATGTTGCAATCGACTGGTGGGTGGCGGTGGTGCCAATGTGGCCGTATTGGAATTCAAAAAGTTACCGCCCACAATATGAAAATGATGTGGATCCATGCCCTGAAATCCTTCTTCCGAGAATACGTGTGGGTTACCGTCGTATTCAATTTTTCGTCCGAGAATTCGTTCATTGGCTTGAAACATTTCTTCTTCGCTCCATCGATTTTCCGCCCCAACAGCTGCCAAGCCCGTGACCAAGAGCGGATCGTCTTGTCGTACTTTGCCACGAGACCCTTGTTTTTTGCGGTCGCCGCGATTGGGTGTCTTGCGATTAGTCGTATTACTGTCTTGTCCTTTGCGACCGGGTGTCTTGTTGCTTTTGAGAGGCGTATTGTTGTTATTTTGTTTGTTATTGTTGGTGGGTGTGGCCTGTCGTTGTTGCTGCTGCTGTTGAATTATTTGTTTGGGATTGGATTTGGCCCGTTGATTGGACTTGTCGCGTCCCTTTTTGGGTGTTTTGTTGTTGTGCACGTTCCGTTTGATCCATCGACGAACTTTGGGTAGAATGGGGAGAACGGCATAGTTTCGTTTGGGGACCTTTTCCAAGGGATGCCATTCGACCGCCGCAATTTCCTTGCGCACGACCGGTCCAAAGGGAAATTCCTCGGGGACACCATGACAAATGTAATAGGTTCGATGCTTGCCACCATCTTCGGTAAAGGCAACGGCATCCTTTTCTTGCAACGGATGTTTCCACGTTGTTGTTGTGGCATGTTGTTGCTGTTGTTGTGTCAGTCCCAACCGACAATTGACATCAAATCCCGTTTCTTCGTACGTCTCTCGTGTCGCCGCGTCAATGCCTTCTTCTCCTTGATTGATCTTGCCCGCGGGGAACGTCCACGATTTGCTATTGTAATCTTGACACAGCACAATCTTGGTACAATCCACATTCAACAGAATACACCCATACGTGGAGATTTTGCGCTTGTACTTGGAGAATTTATCCCACATGGCGGGAAATTGGGCAATTTGCAGGAGCGGCGAAAATTGAAACATTTCCACGGCAAACGGTTTCAAATGCTTGAACCGCGGCAACAGCGATTCTTGTTGTGCGGCTTGTTGTTGATCGCAAATCCAATCTTCGTAAAACCACCATGCCTGTTCAATCTGGAACAAAATACGATCGGCCGTGGCCAATTCTTCCGATGGTAAATTTAGGAGAAAGCGGGTGTGCACATCTTCCAACGCATCTTGAAAGGCTTGTAGCACAGCAGGATCATCAATCTCACTGACTGGACTGTGCCAGTTCGGTAGAGTAGCACTTGTAGTAGCAGTGTTGCTCGTCATTTTATTAGTAATAACTATGGTCTACTTGCAATAATAGTATGTCAATGAAGGATCTTTGGGGGGTGTTATCCAAGTGCGCGATCTGTTCGACCATCGTTGTCTCTTTCATGCATGATCATGCTTCTTTCCTGTCGCTGCGATAGGATCCAAAAAACAGCCTTAACCCTACGTACAAGCGCGCGTGATGAGGTGCGGTCGGCCAGATTTTGGCGATGCAAGTTTCATTGTCCAACCGACCATCTTCCGCGGAACAACTCCCACAACCCAAGCAAGGAAGAACTCCCTCCATTCGCTTGAGAATCGAATCTCAAGATCAACCAAACATCATTACATCAGCATCATATCATCATAAAAGAGAGCTATCATATCAAATCAAATCATATCACTCAATTTCATTGCACTGTATCAGCACCACCATGGGAGTTCTCACCATTTACCTTGACAAATGCACCAACCTGCCCAATGCGGATCTCATGACTGCCAGTGATCCTTATGTTCGCTTTGAATTGGAACAGGACAATTGGGTGAGTGTGTGAACAGCGCATGATGCTATGCCTGTCAGCATAGCACTGGGTGCCAGAGTCGAGGCATATCTTTGCTTTGCTTTTGCTTTTGCTTTGCTTTGCTTTGCTTTGCTTTGCTTTCGTATTCATTCATTCGCTGACCCTTTCTTCCTTTGCTTTTTCTTTTTGTGATATACCTTGTATAAATCATACATCCTATGGCATCAGATCAAGGATGTGGATTACGGATTTCAAAAGTCGAGTATCAAGAACGACAATCTCAATCCAGTCTACGGAGAATCCTTCACCTTTAACATCCCCACGCTCGACAATATGGTATTGACCTGCAAGATCAAAGATGATGATACCGGTAGTTTTGATGATAAGTTGGGATGGTGCAAAATCAATTTGGAAAAGTTGGGATTGACGGAAACTCCCATGGAAATTGACCGTGTGGTCGACAGAAATGTGATTACCGCCAATGGAAAGATCTTTTTGAAGCTTTCCTACAAAGCCTAGAGTGCAGTTGTCGTTCAGTTGCATGGTGTTGCTGGAAGAGAAAGCAAGTATATATATTACCCATAGAATGGACTTTTTTGAAAAAAAGATGTTGAGATCTCTGCGGTGTGGTGGGATCCCAGAGGTGCATATTATTTGAGAGAGAAATGTGATGCCGTGCTCTTAGGGATTGGAATGCCTCGGGGCTCTTTGCAGTGTCATTGGTTCCTCTTTCAGAGTACAAGTGGCAGGTTAGAAGTTGGAGTTCAACTCGGAAGTGAAGTTTAGCTTCCAGATAGATTCCAATCAATAGGCGAGTGTCTACAATGAGATTAGGTAGCCAGTCGACATTGTAGTTGACAAACTACGTGGCCTCGGGAGACCAAACAAGAAACTAACTGGCTCTTGGGAATTGGGACCTAGCTAGCTATAGATACTGAAGTACTAGTATGCCCATGATCCCAAGGGGCAGCAAGAATTGGCAACCTAGCCAGAAATTCTGCAGTGCGCAAAGGAGAATGACAAGGAGGATCAAGGTACCACATCATTCATGGTGATGTGGGCTGTGCAAATAGCTGGCTTCTAGCTTGAATTTCATGCAGAGAAATAATTTGACTTTCATTCCGTGTATACTAGCCCGAACCTACCGTAGTGTACAATGCTAGCCAGTAGCCACAACAACTGGCTTGACACGGCAAATCTGGCTAGTTTTATCCCTTAGCGCTGCTACCGTTATTTCTCCAACTCTCTGGATAGAGATTTCCCCTTTCAGAGATCCTTGATGGTTGGTTGGTTCCTTGGATGGACCACCTTCCAATAATTGTTGACCAATGCAGCGCAACGTGCTGTTGGTGTGCAGCTCCTGCATGTTGTCTTGTTGTCTTGGTTGGAATCCTCCTACGTGCGGCCTTCAGTTCAGTTCTCACGCCAAAGAAGGTGGATACCAATAGGTATAATTCCCTCCTCTATGGAGTACATACCGCAATCCAAAGTAATGATTGTCGTTGACATGCACGTGATCAATGTAGGCACAAATATCCGGATGCATCAGACACGTCGATTGCATGACCAGTTGATCTTCACCGATAAACATGTCCCGATCGAGGAATTCCTGCAGCGTGTCCATGAAATACTGTTCGAATTGTATAAATGTATCGGCATATCCCGCAAAGATGCTTCCGGAATGATAAAAATGATGTTTTTGTGTGTACTTGTTGTTCCAAATTCTTGCAGGTGGCACATTGAGGGGATGATGGGCCAAGAAGAGCATGCGATTTCGTGGAATGGTTTCGATACGTGCCACCATGGTTTTGTGATTGTAATTTCGATCGCGAAAACATCCCATATCGGACCAGACAAAGACTTGACTGTTGAAGAAATTGTGTCGAATGGCTTCGGTGACCCACCAGGATTTGGAGAGCCAAATCCAAAAGACAAAATAAGATCGATGGATGCGTTTCTCTCGGTCAATATCCAGTTGCCATTGCCAAAAGGATGCATTGTAATTTTTGGCCAATGGTACTTGATCCACTTCCATGGGGATAATGACCGTCCGATCGAGCGCGTGTTGTCGTAATTCCTTGATTTCGGGAATCAAAGCGGGGGAGAGGAAGATAACCATGGGATCTTCGAGGCTGAGCATATTTTTCATCCATTTGGCGTAGTTATTGGAGGAATGCTTGGACTTGACTTGGAAATAGGCAGTCACCACCGTCTGAGGAGCCGTGACCAGTGTGTCGGTGAATTTGACAATTTGGGATTCGTCATAATATGTTTTTGACGATGATGTTGTTGTGGATTGTTGTCCTTTTTTGGTGGATAATAGCTGCTGCAGTTTTGCTTGTCCTTCCGTAACCTGTCTCTGTACAGTGACTTGAATGGCAGACGAATCTTTTTCGGAGGTGGGTGAAAACAGAGTGGGAATAATATTATTGGCTTGAGGAAGCTGTCGGTAACATGCCAGTGCCACCAGAGAAAAGGACAGTACTGCAAGGAATCTGGGGCTCTTGGTCGGTGTTCTGCTCGATCTGCTCGTTGTTCTTCTATTTATTCGGGCCATGGTGATAATAGCTGGCCACGAGAGACGGTACTACTAGTCTTCGGGAGACGGTCTCTCAATTGTTACATATAGATTGTAAGGTTACCGGTTGCCGGCTGTCCACCATCCACCAGGTGCTGTTGTTGCTTGGAGTGGCAATGACAATTCCTCGACCCCGAAGAAGTCAGGTATTGTTCTATGCAATGGGGTAAATATTTACAAAACTGTCCTAAAGTTTACCGCATCTACTCGATAAGATCCGTCTAAGGTACATTAACCTTTTGGAATCGCGGGAGAAGGTTCTGCTTTCTTGGGTTATTCCGCTCAGCCGACTTAGTTTTGCTATCACTCTGATTGTCACACCGCACACCGTGACCATGGCACATGCAGCGGCCCTCTCGAAGTTCACTATCAGCTCCTCATTCACCAAACAGCGTACAGTAGATTCGATTCATCGCCGCAGTAGTGTAGTCTGTGATTGATGCCCATGCCAGTAATAACTGCAAACTGTGCCGACCAATAGCACCGTGCTTGGGCGCTTTTCCGTAGCATCGACAGTCGAGTAGAAGGACCTGTTCTTGGTGTGGAGGTGAAGGAGATTTGCTGTCACAGTTCTTACAATCAAGACCAGCACCATGCCTCCTCCAAAGAAATACTTTGCTTTGGCCAAGAAGCTGTTTGAGATGGCCCGAGCTGGATTTGGCGTGTACAGTTATTGGTATCATCAAAGGAAGCAACACTATAATCGACAGCTGGACCAACAGCAGCGACAAGAACAACGGAGAAAGCGACGACGACAGGTGGAGGAAATCTCCTCCTCGGAAGAAGACGATGATGAGTCACAACAACACCACCACGAGTCAAAACGACGACGGCTAGTAGATACTCCCGTCACTACTCGTGCGCCAACGTCTCTTGCTGCCAAACAAACATGGCGACAAGTCTCGCTGGATTCGTGGGATGAACTCATGCAGATGCGCCAACGGCAAGTGATAGACGCGGATCAGCAGCAGCAACAACAACAACTCGAACAGGATGGAATCATGATTCCCAGGCAACGCTTTTCAGAAGGAACTAGAGTACGAAAAGTACGTCCGTCCATTGGCTCATCATCAGAACACGGCAGCTTTTGCCGTCTACCTCTAGTGATATTTCTATTGATGTTGCTATTACCTTACAATCCACCTTTTTTCTAACGATTCTCATCATTGTTCTTATCCCTCCTTTATTTCAGCATTTTCCCGGAGAAGGCTGGTTCGAAGGATGCGTGCACAGTGTCAGATGGGCGGGTGGGGACAATGCTTCGATTATGGACGATCCGGATGTTCCACAAAATGTAGTACTACCACCCACACCGCAATGGATTTACAAACTCGAATTGGACAATGGCCGGTGGGACTTGGTCAACGAAGCAGCATTGGCCGATATTGCCATTCCAGACGGCAATTCTCACGATCCTTCACTCTATTCTTTTTTGGAATTCTTGGCGCTGTGGGAACGATTGGGAGCCGAACGAATCGAAAAAACGAGCACCGTACGAAGGGCCAATTCCAGGGTGGAAACGGGAGATTCCGATACACAACAAAATGCACAATATGGACGTATTTTGCCGCAGGCGACGGATGTACGTATACTAGTAGTTGGATAGTATTCCTTGTTTCTTCTTGGGAAAGCGCGGCTCACTCTAAATTCATTCATTCATTCATCCATCTACAACAGCTTGTCTTTCACATACTGCGATTGAAGCGAACGGATATCTTTCTCGATGTTGGACACGGGATTGGTAACTTTTGCTTGCAAGCTGCCTATTGCAGAGGTTGCGAAGCCAGAGGGATTGAAGTCGTACGAGATAGATTCAATGTCAGTCAACAATTTGCTGCCAAATTGGAACAAATGTCTCTCGAGACCGATGGGGAAAGGGTGAGTGAACGATATGATCTGATATTATGGCGGAGTAGTAGAGTGTACACCCATGATGCGCAATCTCATCATCATCGTTGCATGACAACCACCCTTTGGTATAACAGTTTCGCAAACCAGGTAAAGTGTTGTTGAGGCATGGGGACCTGGCGGATCATGCGAATCACAATTGGCTTGCTAGAGCCAACAAGGTGGTGGTCAACAACTTTAATGGAGTTTTTGCAGAACGAATGGTTACCCAGACCGCGTCGCAGTGGCATCTTGACCACTACATTGCGGGCTTGTTTGCATCCATGCACGAGGGATCTATTCTGGTTTCGTTATCAGATCTGCAGTTGGGACCATCCCGTAGAGAAGTCAACCGGTGGAGGCAAGACAACAATCTACAGCCCAGTCCCAATGCTTCCTTTTTTGAGGTCGTCAAGGTGGAGCTGGGAGAGGCAGGACAAGTGTTCTCGTGGTCAACTTCCTGCAAGGCACCCGCTGTGGCGTATCTGTATAGGCGCGTCAGGCAAGATCCAAATCTTCGCACGGCTTGCACCTTGTGCTGCAACATTCAGTGCAAGCATAGCAAACTGGGAACTCCAATTCCAGCGGTGGCTCTCAATAGAGAAGGCAAAGCTGTGGTCGGGACATGCGAATGCAAAATGACACTGCGGTCAAACAGACGAGTGCCACACATTACCGTCGCGGAATATCTGAGCTCACGAGAGTATCGGGAATGGGGACGATAGTAATCCATCATGACACTTTATTTTTTGTGAACGCCACACTATTCAGTCTAGCTAGTGCAGTACTGGTACCAGGTACTCGTGATGACATAGACGGAACCATCGACAGAATAGCAGCAAGTTTATCAAAAACATCATCTCTTCTATTGTACCGGTTGTAGTACCGTATCTACCCTTCACTCATTTGGGCTTCGCTCATATCAGGTGCCCAAAGACACATCTGAAACCAAGCGCTACATCCGAGAGGTCGGGTATTGGAGCGAAGGTGTTTTCCTTGCTGTTGACTCTCTTCACAGCTTCGCGCAAAAGCCTGTCAAAAATCGGAAGCGGGGTCCCAATGGCGCACCAAAAGTGATAGCCCTTGCATGGCTTTGCAACAGCAGGGAAGAAGGTGTGGAAGGCTGTAGTGCATTGATACTGAAGGGAAGTCCATGAAAACGCGATATGTGAGCAGCATGCCGCCATTGTGATGCCGCAGTGAGCGATGGGCGTGACTCGACTCGACGCTCAATTCTATAGATCTCCATTCTTTGCTTTGCTTACCTTCGCAAGGTACAGAATCGTCTTGTAGCAATCAAGCTCCACTGAGGGACTCAGCGCACCATCGGTCGCTGCTTGCACATCAACGGGTGCTCCTACATCGCTACCAGAGTCGCCGACGCCAAAGGCTTCACGCCGCCTTTGGTTGCACCGAAGGACACACTCGACCACAACCTTGAAGTCCCTCCTATCACTGTCGCACACGGTTACCAACGATACAAGAATCTCAGAAAGATCTTGGTGGTCCCAGACGCTCGTGTGAAATCCTTGCAAGTTGTACCTAGAAAGGAGCGGGAAATCATCAAAGGGGTCAATCGCTCCAACTTCGCCGGACACGTCCAATGCTTGATGATCCAACGACGAAGCAAAGAGACCCGAAAGAATCTTTGCTCCACTATGACAACCTCTTTCAGCGGCAGTTCTTTCCCAGGCGGCAAACGCAATGAAGTGCTTCGGAGATGAGTCGCCAATAATAGGGAGAGGAAGTGGGAGATTGAATCTGGCGCAGTACCAGAAAAGATTATAGAAAACTTCTGGATCCAGCTCTTTGAGACGCTCTCTGGAAAGAACTTCTTCCCCCATTTCGTCAATGTATCGTTCTGCGCGCCACCAGAAGAGAAGCAAGAGCAAACGTGAGGTGCGGGAAGTCTGGCCAAAAGCCCAGAGAGTATAAAGGAAAGACTCACCCAAGGCGCATCGTAATGTTGCAGGGCTGATGTACGTTACGAAGGAACACCCCTTCTTGCCAGGATCAATGTAGGGACCAACTTGCGGTGGGAGGCCTGCAAAATCAGCATCGTTGATGTTCTGAGGGCTTGGGTCGTTCAGCTCCAGTGCTTCCTCCAATGACATCTCTCGGTATCCAAGCATCGGAATGATCATATATCCGCAACGTGGACAGCCTACAGCAGCTGCATCGCTGTCGCCACCCAAGGAATCCCAACCCGCCTGCACTTCTTCCTCCAGAGGAATGTAACCGCAACTGTCGCAGGCACAAGTCCTGGACCACAGCGCGACCAGCCTGACACCCTCAGACCCAACGTCCTGCAAGGATGTTGCAGACGACCGCATACCGATGTTGCTAGGAACAAAAGATGACGACACGACGACCGGAAGCCACGACCTGTGTCGCTTCCTGTAACGCTCGTCTGCTGCTGATGACGCTTTCTTCCTGTCGGACGGTGGCGCCTTTTGAGGACCGGCATTGGGCGATTTGGGGTTGCCTGGTCGTTCGGAACTGGGACTATATTTCTGTCGCCATCGCCTTCCGGCACTTTCAAGCTCGCCCAAGTTCCCATCCATTGCAAACAGCGAGGAGTCGAAATTGGCACCCAAACCACTTGTGCTGCTTCTACGACTCATGCCTGACCCACGAACCATGGACATGGATTCTGACACCTCTACACCAATGCCGTCACTTTCCGGTAACTCAGCCGCTGCGCGTTTCGAGTAGCCCTCGGCCAGAGCGCGAGTGTATTGTCCCAGGGTCACTGCACTGGGGAAAATGCCATCAGAACGAAGTAAGCCAAACAACTTGACCAGTTCCACTCTTCGATCGGAGGTTGTCCTTCCGCATGCTACAATGAGAGCTCGATAGGCAGCCTCGTCAGGAACGATTCTTTGCTTGTGCCTGAGTATCCGCAATGCACCGAGCGCCCGCAAGAGGTATCTTGATTGTTGGTCAGGCGATAGGTCAGCTTGTGACACTTGTGAAGGTACGCATAAAAGCCATGCTCCTAGAAAGTGGGAGCCCTACGCCGTACGGATACACATGCAACGTGAGCCTTGGGCCTGGCGATTGAGACGAATGGGTACCGAGAACAAATCATGGACAACTTACCATTAACTTGGGTAGTTGCCACTGAGAAGAAGCGAGGAGCAAATCGATAGAGCATGCATGGATGGAGCACAAAAACGATGAAAATCAGTATCGTGCTGGTACGAGGGTTGTCACTTGGAAACTTGTCGCATCTCGCACTTACCTGACATCGTTTCTGCGTATGGAACCCTCGGTGTGTGGTGGCCGCCTTCTTGCGGCGATTCGCTTCTTCAATCTCTCGTTCACTGCGGGCAAGTGAAGGGTTTGGAGCCTTCTTGGACATCTCAACCAGCCAGGAATCCGGTTCACGAGGAAGAAAAAGTCCCTTGTTGAGTCGGTGGGGGAAACAAGGGTTTCCCTCCACGCAATAGATAAATTGCACTCCGGCAGGCAAACCAGCTCTCGGTGGAGCCGTGACGATATCACCAGTCGCAGTGACGATAGACTCCGCATTTTTCAGAGACGCAACCTCGCTGATGTCTCTAGGATCCCTTCTACTACCGCTCAAGTCAGTTGCCCCGCTAAGTGAGGGCTTGGCAAAGGGATAGGAACCTGAATCAATATCACTGTCAGCGTCAAACCGGCTTGTTTCTTCGACGCTGCTTCTGTCTGTTGAAAGCATTGATTGGTCGTGAAGATTGGGTCGAGCTGAGGAGCTTTCGTTGTACGGTGCCGCGGCACTCTGGTCCACGAGGAGACTATAAAGCATATGAGGCTGGGTTTGATCGGGAGATACAACTGTTTCCACATCGCCTCCAAGTCTTCCGTACGGCACTGGCGAAGAATGATATTCTGTCAGGCATTCGTCAAACATGAGGCAGTGAACGTCACTGTCTTCTGTCCGCCGTTGAATGAATGACTGGAACAGCTGAGTTGATACCAACGAGTTCAGGTAAGCCATGTTCTCTTTTGGCGCTGAAGCAAGAAATGCCTGGGAGATGCAGGAAAAGCGATATGTGAGCGGCATGCTGTCATAATGATGGCGTTGTGACGGGCGTGACACGCAATTTTGTTTTTACCTGTGTATCAAACCACTCGTTGCCGGAGATTAGAAAGTCTGCATCCGGCACAACCAGAAAACGTTCATATCCTCGTAGGACAGAACAGAAAAACCGAAGAAATGCATCCCGAATGGCCCGGTCATCTAAAGCTTCTCTCGATTCATGGTGCTCGGGCATGAGATCAAAGTCGTCGGCTTCAACCAAACCAGGTGGCAGTGACGCGTCAAACGCAGAATCCACCAGCGAGTCAAGAGGCTCCTGGCCTGGAATGATGTCGGCATCTCGGCAGAGTGTTTCTAGCTCGGATACCAGCATGGAGCGAGCCCCTGGGGGCATTACTTGCCAGGCACCCGTGAGCACTTCGAATCTACATGTAGAATGTACCAAGGGTCAGGTCGGGACTTTTTTTCTTGGGAGACGCAAAACAAACAAATACCGATCGTACCGATTTCCACTGCAGTCCATACTCCCCGAATCAAGGTCTACGAAGATGCTATCCTCAGGAGGAGTCTTCCTTACGGTAGCGGCCAACCCATCAGGGCATCCATCGTCATGGATGCCGACAAAAATTGCCCCTGGGAACTCCAGACACGACATGAACGGCTCGGTAAGACGAGGTACGTAGGGCGCACACAATTCGAAAGGAAATAGAAGGGATCTCAGCAACTCGCAAGCGTCCAAGACAAGAGACGGTCGAGAGGACATGACGATCACCTGTGAAGCAGTTGATGGGAAAGGATGCAAAAGGAGGGCGATGAGAAAATCAGTTGGACGAAATCATTTCTAGGCCAGCACGGAGGAGTCTTACCTTTCGTTCCAGAGCAAGAAGTCCAAGAACAATTGTGACAATGGTAGATACATCCAAGCAAGCCACGAGCCGCTGATACGGAAGGTCCATGAGCGGAAAGTCTTTCGAAGGTGGCAATGACATGATCATCGGCTGATTCAAGGCGGGAAGGGGAACGACAACGTTCGGACCCCCAGGCTTAGGCACAGGAACTGTGAGGAGAAGATGCGATAGACATCTTTCCAATGGCAAGTCTGACGATGACCCCGATAAGATATGCAAGTGAGAAAGAAACCTCCTAAAGGCTGTCCAGAAAGGATACCTGCTGACCAAGCAGATAGTTTTGTTTTCGAACGTTGTCATGGAATCAAAGCTTGTCAGAATCCCATTGTCGCTTTCATTGTCATCTTCCTCGTCTTCATCAAACTGTACAAACTTCTCTTCTTCTTCCTGAGAAATTAGCTCGGCGTCGTCGCTGCAATAAAGACCACCTTGCATTCGTCGTTTCCTCCGCTCCACCTTTTCGCAGTATCGTCGATGCGCCAAGCATGTACGACGTCGTTTCTCCGACATTTCAGATAACTGAGCAACCTTTTTCCGTGTCAATGGTTCCATGAAGGAAACACACGACACGTAAATGGAATCACCACGTTCGTTCTTGACCACAAACCCATAGTATTCGGGCAAGGGAGCGTCGCAAAACTTGGCTCGATAAAGTCTACAACCTGTCGGATAGCAAAACATGGGGAGTTCTTCCTCGGGAAGGGGTAAACCCTTGTAGTTTTTGAGAGGGAATCGATCCAAAACCTTCGTCGCAAAAGCCATGTCGGCAAATCCAATAGGACAGTTTCGCTTGACCAGAATCGCTGGAGATCCCAACGATTTCTTGACCTCTTTGACGAAGCTATTCTTTTTGGATTGAACGGTACCCACCAGCTCGCCTGGATGCGGTATGGAACTGTTGTCGCCTTTTCGGGCAACCAGCCAGCCAGTAGAGGATAAGAGGCTAAACTCTTCATCGTCATCCTCCATCATAATGTCATCTGAGTAATCAATCTGCTCTTGTGGCAAGACCGCCATTCCAGCCTTGTCACAAAAGGACACTGCTAAATCAATAATGCCCGGATCTTCATGATACCTCTCTTCTTCGCCTGTCCGTTGATGTCGTACGGCAAGAATCGGGACATACCACCATTTCTCTTCCGCGTGATAGAAGGGATGGTGATGCTGTTGTTGGGCTTCCTCGTGTTGCTCTTCCTCACTGGGGATATCTGTAAAGAGCTTGGGTACAAATGGCTTTGGTTCTTTCGTACTTGTATCGCCAGCTTGTCTCTTGGTGGGTGATGCATCCGGCTGTGGCTGTACCGGTGAGTTGGGAGCTGAAAACGAGCCTGCAACATAGGCTTCTACGGCTTCATCGGCGGAACTATTCATAGAAGCAATGTCGGGGTATTGTGGCGGCTGCTGGGTATCCTCTTCTTGCGCCCCAGCAGCTGCTTCTCTCCGTCGTTGTCCATGCGACGGAGACGCCAACAGTACCGTCTTTTGCCTCAAGACTCCATCATGGGCTTCGCTGTTGCTGTTGTTGTTTGTGGACCTTGGAACGTAGACTACTTTGAAGGCTTCTGGAAAAGACCATCGATCATATCCATCGGGAAGGGGCACTGCCGTGCCCAAGTCGACGCGTTCAAAATCTTCCTGTTGATGATGATGGTGACTGCCTTCCGGATCGGCATCTTGTTGTTGGGATCGAAATAAGACATGCCCCGCCGCCGCCGCCACTCGTCCCGCCAATCCTGTACTGCTTCCCGGCGGCGTGGTGGGCATGACATTGACATGCGGGGGTCGCAAAGTGGCTTCTCGTGGTAATCGCACGTAGAATAGTTTCAAGTCTGCCACGGCTGGGACATGATCTTTGTCGGGTGTCCTTCGTTTGTATCCGAGGTAAAACTTTAACGAATGATGGTGATGATGTCGAGCATTATGCCGAATAGAATAATGATGCTGATTGTGGTGGTTGCCATTCCAGCGTTTCCAACTGGATTCGACCTTGCGTCGTAGCCCCTTTAGCGATGCCGCCGAGGAAGAGACACTGGCGGTACTTCCTTGATTGAGTTCGGATGCCGCCTCTTCCCACTGCAGAATGGTGGAGTACACTTGATCCCGGAGCCCCCCCGAAGCATCTAGATTGGCGTCAAAAATGTAGCTGTCATTGTTTTGTTGTTGATGTTGTCTATTCGCCGGCTGGTTCCATGGAAACGATGATGAGGTAGTATGGTCCAATATTGTTCCTTGTGAAAAGGATGTGGAAAGAGCTGGTCCAGCCCCTGCCATAGGGGATGGTCCATTGTTATTGGGACTCCACTGTGCATGGTGCATGTTCTGATGTAGATTCTTTTGTGGTGGATTGGTTTTGGCTAGAATGGCAAAGCCATCAATTTCAGAAGGTGGCAGAGAATTTGTGTGTCCGTGTTTGTAGGTTGCATCCGATGCGGATATAATGGTGGTGGCGACAGTGGTAGCCTCGGAATGAGAGGATGGAGACGGCATGATGCTCGGTGGCTGTTGTGGTTGTGCATGATGTCGGACCCTTGAGGATGCCAAGGAATCGACGGTGTGGACATCCGTATCTATGGAGGGCGTCAATAGAATGGAAGATGCCGGTGCCACAGAAGCAGGTGGATGATGTACAAAACGTTCACGATGAGTCAAAATGCTGACATCAATGATTTCTCTGTAGAATCGTTCCATGAGAGCAGCCTGATCTTCCTGATTGGGATCTTCCTGTTGTTGCTGTTGTGACTGATTGGGAGGAGCATCATTGGATTCTTCTCCTCCTTCTTGTTGCTGCTGCAACATCATTTCTTGCTGCTGTTGCTGTTCCCGCTGTTTCTGGGAGTGTTTCCAGAGTAAATCATCCCCCACTCCCAGAATGGTAAAGTAATCGGCCACTCCTCCTCGACGCTTCTTGGATCGATTATTCTTCTTGCTATTGGTTGATGATGCAGCACCATTGCCATTGGAGGAAGAGGCAGAGGTGTCATGGCTCTTGGATTGACTCAAGTCACCCATCTTCTAGCTAGCCACGCCTTGCTTTTTTAAATGAAATGATTTGAGCTGTAGTGAGTGATGATGGATGGTGACAGACAGCCCAACGAAGGAAACAGAGTTGTCTACAGGAAAGGCGAGAATAAATAACAGTCGAGTTCCTCCAGCGCTCAGACCACCACAACGGCTCAGTCTCGTTCGTGATAATAGTATAAGCTCTACCGCTACTCCACAGACATGCAGACCCAACCACCAACGCCAAGGCTCCTTCATTTATTTGGGTTCTGTCGGAGTAATGATGGTCGTAATGCACTCCACAAAACGTCTCCAACTTAGCCCTAATCTTACCCAGGAAGAAGGGGGGGATCTTCTTTGCAGGGGGTCGCATTGGCGGGGGTCGATGGATCCTGGATCCAGGAAGATATCAAGATCAAGTGAGAACAGACAGAGACCAGACTATCCTGCCCACAGCAGTCGTAGAAGTCTCTCAAGGCTTCAACAACCTCGACGATGATGATGACAACGGCATCCAGCAGCAGCAGCTCCGTCACCCGATGGATGGCCATGGTGCCGCCTCTCTTGCTGATATTGCTGCTAAGTAGCGATCCGGTCTCGGCCTTTGGATCAAACCCGTCCTCCTTGCTACCTCCCAGATCCAGAACCTCTTCCACAACTGCCCTCCACAATAACAATAAACTCGACAAGGGATTCAACTTGTTGGAAATTGCTTCTTCTGTGGTGCCACAGGGAAGGATTGTCTCTACGGTCAAGGAATCTTGGAAGTTTGGATGGCAACGCATGATGGCAGAATTGGCACCTCAAGACAAAGACGGACGGTATACCCGACCCTCCTACAGTTTCGAAAACTTTATTGGAAAGACACCCTCCTTTCCCGATGAACCTGGGAGGTATCATCTCTACGTGGGAAATCCATGTCCAGTAAGTATCTTACACGTATGGCGGAGTGCATTGATGGATTTGACTATTGGTTCATCTCAACCCCGTGGTCTATCACTACGTTGACCTCCCGTTCTGCTACATACAGTGGTGCCACAGAGCTCGTTTGGTTGTCAACATTCTGGGATTTGACAGCCAAGAGATTAGCGTCACCCAACTGGTCGATGATCCTGTCAAGGCCAGCCGGGGAGGATGGGTCTTCTCCGAGCAAGATCAGGATCCACTCTATGGATGCAAAGATCTCAGAGAATTATACGACAAACTGTCTCCCACGGGATCCTTCAAAGGACGGTGCACAGCACCCCTCTTGGTCGACAAGAAAACCAAACGAGCCGTATCCAATGAATCCAGTGATATCGTCCGAATGCTCAGTGCAGCTACCTTTGGTCGAAAAGAAGACGATAGTAGTAGTAAACTCGACTTGTATCCTCCCGCACTGACCACCGAGATTGATGCCACCAATGAATGGGTCTATCGACTCCTCAACAATGGATGTTATCGATGTGGATTTGCCACCACACAACTCGCCTACGATGAAGCGTCCAGAGATGTCCGAGAAGGACTGCGACGGTGCGAAGAAATCCTTGCGAAACAAGACTATTTGTGCCAACTACAATTCACCGAAGCCGATTTGCGATTGTTGCCCACCATTCTACGATTCGATGGAGCATATGCACCACTCTTCAAGGCGGGGGGCACGCACTTGCGAATACGATCCGATTATCCCAATGTGCATGCTTGGTTGAAACGGTGTTGGGCCATGCCGGGGGTCCCAGAGTCGATTGATTTGGCCGATGCGACGGGATCTTACTACAAACAACTGTTCCCTTTGAATCCAGGTGGGATTCTGCCAACTCCCGTGACACCCCAAGATTTGGGGTTGGAATAAAGCTAAGCGCTACATGTATGTCTTTCGTTCTATAGAATCTGCTTGCTAGGTAGGGGTACTTTAGAAGTAGAGCTATGAGAACATCGTTCGCACAACAAGATATACATTGATACTGCAGGTACCAGGTACCGGTACGAGTAGAAGGCAAGCCACAGCGAGTTCCTGGCTAAATTGGTGCGGTTTGTTTTGACGAAGCGGTTGCTATCGAGTACAAAGAAAGCGCATTCTGAGTCGTGGATACTCGGGATTTGCTTTGGATCTTTCACTCGATGCATGGACAGGACGACAGGACCAGCGAAGGAGGCAACAACGCCACAACCCCAAGGGGAAGAAGAGAGGAAGCCCAAGCTAGTATTACTGAGTGACGATGAGTGATGATTTCTCGGAAAAGTTCTTTCAATATGTCGATGAACGGAAGGGGCTCTACATTGAACGATTGGCGGAAGCCGTGGGGTGAGTCTATTCACAAAAGGATTTTTTGATGGGTATACCTTTTGCAGCCTTTTCATTTTTGTTTTGTACCTCTTCTACCTTGTTTCTGTAGCATCCCTTCTGTTTCTTCGGAACTGGATACTCATTTGCCCGACATTGTCAAAATGATGACTTGGACCAAAGAACACGCCGATCGATTGGGAGCCAAGACTACCTTGCTACCCAACCCTGCGGCAACACCTGAGAGACCCTTGCCACCGATCTTGCTGGGCGAATTTCACGTGGATCCTGCCAAGAAAACGGTCTGTGTATATGGGCATTTGGATGTACAGCCAGCCAAAAAGGAGGATGGTTGGGACACGGATCCCTTTGTTCTGACCGAGAAAGACGGCAAACTCTACGGAAGAGGGAGCACTGATGACAAGGGCCCAGCATTGTCATGGCTATGGGTTGTTGAGGCCCATCGCGAGCTCGGAGTGGAGCTACCCGTCAATTTGAAGATCTTATACGAAGGAATGGAGGAGTTTGGCAGTGACGGGCTCTTTGAATGCATTAAAGAAGAAGCCAAGGAGGGAAAGTTTTTGGATGATGTGGTACGTTGCTCAAAGACCTTTTTCCCACTCGACTGGCTGTCTCTCTTTATTGTGACACTGTACTTATTGCATCCTCCCTTCGTGTCAAGGATTTCTTTTGTATCTCAGATAATTATTGGCTAGGCAAGACAAAGCCATGCCTAACTTACGGTCTACGGGGCATAGCCTACTTTGAGTTGCAAGTACAAGGGTGTGAACAGGATTTGCATTCGGGTGAGTGGATATCGACTTCCTTGTGGTGTGGCAATGAGAATGTATCTGATTGGGTTTCGCTTTTGCACAGGTGTCCTTGGAGGAACAGTCCACGAAGCAATGACGGACGTTATCAAACTCATGGGCACCTTGGTGGATAGCAATGGCAAGATATTGGTGAAAGGTGTCATGGATGACGTTGCGCCGGTCACGCCAGAAGAGGAAGCATTGTACGACAATATTGAGTTTGACATGGAAGCTTACAAGGAGGAAAGCAAAGTTAGTTCAGTCAGCAATAAACTTCTTCACCCGGACAAAAAGTCGCTGCTGATGCATCGATGGCGATATCCAACGCTGTCTTTGCACGGAATCGAAGGGGCCTTTTCTGGCCCAGGAGCCAAAACTGTCATACCCTCGAGGGTTATTGGGAAATTCTCCTTGAGACTGGTTCCCGATCAAAAGGCTGCCCAAATTGAATCGGTTGTCAAGGAGCACGTCGAGGCCGAGTTTGCCAAGGTGAGACAAATTGAATACAGTATCTGAATTGCGATGCGAGATTGCTACATTACCAGCGCGGCGCTCTTACACGTGGCTTGCCTCTACTTACCGTGCGGATAGTTGGGCTCTCCGAACAAAATGTCGATCAAGATGTCCCATGGAGCCAAGGCATGGCTCTCTTCACCAAACCATCCCAATTTCCAAGCTGCCTCAAAAGCCACAGAACGGGTCCATGGTATGCCACCCGATTTGACCCGAGAAGGAGGATCCATCCCCATTACCAGCGCAATTGAAGATGCTACTGGCATGAATGTACTGCTCCTGCCGATTGGAGCTTGCGACGACATGGCACACTCACAGAATGAAAAGTACAACATTCCCAATCTCACGAATGGTATCAAGGTATGTGCAATACTGTGCTGCCCTATGGATTTTTGTTTCGCCTTCGACATCAAGAGACTTGCTCATGCATCCTCGATCATTTCTCTGTATGTTACCAAAGGTGCTAGGGGTCTATTTGCACGAAGTAGCAAAGATCGAAGGTCCGAAGCCAAGTACATGCAAATGCGTCCCTCTCACGGAAGAAGAGCTGATGGTTCCTGGGGCTTTTATGAAAGGTTTCCGTTGCAAGTGCGAGATCTAGCTACTAGTATGCTGCTTTTCGTGGTCCCCTACAACAAGATTGCTTCGTAGGCAATGCCAATCAATTCGAACTATAGTAGCTACTCTAGAAGACACCACGAAATCACTACAAAGATGATGTTATTTCCTTTCTTGTTAGAAGGATTTGATCACAAACGTTGCAAAGGTGTGCAATCTTCTTCGAGTTTAGTGGCACGGCTTCCATTTCAATGCCGACTCAATCCAAACACAATCAAGCATTAGTCGTTCGATTCGATTCTATCTTTGTAAACAAACAATCTGGAATGGCGGGATCACATGAATATCCGAAGTCTTCCTTTCCGTAGGCACAACGAGAGAGTTGCTTGCTCAGTTCATGCGAGCTCGCTTGTGTGGTTTGTAGGAGTGGGTTCCTTTCCGTCGGCCGAGAGCTGCAAAGTCGAACCAAAAGTTAAGCCCGAGCCGCCACCGTTCAAGTTGGACGTGTTGGAGATGTCCGAGTTGGGGAAAGGGGCGTTACCGCCCTGCTGCGCTCCGCCGCCAACTGCGATTGGGTTGCTGCGATTGCTGCTGAATCCACCGAATCCACCGCCTGGGGCCATGTCGGCACTTGGGACATCCGAAGAGAGACCCTTGTTTGCTCCAGGAGTCGTAGGGGCCGTCGCGGCAGGAGCACTCTGTGTTGCGGCGGCTGGAACAGCTGCTGTCGGGCGAAGGTTGCCATTTCCGACCTGCCCGATCAAGCTGATTGCCTTGGCCTGGCGCTCTTTGCAAGATTGAATGACTTGACGCCAATTCTTGGCCTCGAGCTCTCTCTGTTGAGCTGTACGTAACGTCTGTTCTGCCTTGCTAGTTTCGTTCGAAGCATACTGCTCCAGCTCAAACGCCTTTTGCTCCATGATCGTCACCATTTGATTCGTCATTTCTATTTCGTGCTCCTCCTCAGTCAATGATGGACCACCAAGTAGGATGCGTGCCTCCTAATAGGAGACGCGGGAAGAAACGATTAATTATGTGAGCTGTCAAATGTGTCGTGATTGGCGCGACAAAATCTCCTTTACATACCTGCACGACAGAAACATTGGCATCGCTACCAGCCCTGAAGACCTTCGTTCCATAGGCTTGGAAGGCTCCAGAGAGCTCTTCAGGACCCGAACAACGATACGTATAGAGCTGTTCGGTAGTCGGAATCAGCGAAGTTTCAATCGGAGCTCCAGTCGATTGTGGCAACGGCTGCGGCTGCTGCTGTACCATCTGCCCATACTGCGGCTGAAAGCTTTGGGCGTACAGCTGCGCAGGATAGCCAAGACTCGTCGGCGCTGGCGAAGGTGGAACACCGTACATCGGAACACCGTGTCCAAAATGCGGAGCAAGTGATGGTTGCATAGGCACACTACCAACAGTCGCCCCAGCAACGCCCGATGCGGCGAAGTACGTCACCCCGCCATGTGTAGAAGGCCCAAACCCAGCGTGGTACATGCCAGGGGTGGCTTGTAGAGGAGTACCTAGTAGAGTGTTCGCGCTGGACATTTTCTGTTGTCTGTGCTTCTGCTTGAATTTGGACCAGGTGGAGCTGAAATTGTGTCGCTGGCGAGAGTCTCCAGCTTCTTTGTCCAACTCGAGAGCTTCTTTGAGAGCCGGGAACTTTGCTTCCAGCTGTGCAACGTTGAGATCCAAGAGATGCCGTGCTCCTTCTTCGATCTGTGCTTTGATCGGTTGAAAGGCGGTGTAAGTGTGCGAAGGCATTGTGACAAGAAAGCGAGGGAAAGATTCAATCTCTGGTCACGAAATTTGCAACAAAAGGCTTTGATGGGATCCACAAGCTTCAAGACGAGGGCAAGAGGGACAAGTCAAAGAAGAAAAGAAAGAGGGTGTGGCTTTTTCCGAGCGGCCGAAGAATGAAGGGTGAACGCCTTCACAAATAAATGAGATCGAAGGAGGTGTTTCAAACGACCATTTTGCCAAGTTCGAGCGCCGGCCTGCAATTTACTCCCTCGTTCAATCCGCGGAGATCCGCACTGCGACTGTCACTCGTCACTCGATTGAGTCGCGACAGTAGCCGTACTAGCTAGCGCCGCGGTACCGTACTAGTAGTACCGTAAAAGTACTGTACGGTTACCGGTTGAAACTGCTACTGGTACCAGGTGTCGGTAGATCTAGTTTCAAGGCCCAAAGGTGCATGGGTTTGGGAGAAAAGCAAGATGAGCAAACAACAAAACAGGCATCAAGTCTCACTGCACCTTGTGGCTTCCTTGTATTGGCTGCTTACTTGGGCCCAGAGCCCAGAGTCGAGTCAATAGAAGAGTGACCGAGTCATGAGTGAGTGGGAGTGCTTGGGCCACCGCTACATGCCGCATGTTCGATTAGTACAGTATAAATTAACCACACCCCTACATATACATGCAGATACCGTACGGTAGATACTACCTTATTGTCTCCGTTGAAATCCATAAAGACGCGCCACTGAAGCCCATCAAAAGTTGGGGATGGTACCGGTACCGTATTTCCAGGCCTACAGATAGCTGGAAGCACGTGCAACCACAGAAGCATTCAGCAAAAGCATTCAGTCGGTCTACTCGCAATCCTACCGTATCTAAACCAGCCATGACGCATACGAACATATTTGTCTCTGTCTCAACGTGGTCAAGTGCTGCTACGCTCCTCCCATTGCATTCTTGCGATCCGCCGGTTTACCATACCGGTACTGGAACACAGACCTGCAGTGACACCGCTTACCGGTGCCGTACCACCATCCACGGTCGCCCCCTTCCCAGCAACCTGGCCTGACTACGCAACGAGAGGAGTGATGAATGACCTTCCGGTACATGATATACCAGGTACAGGTACGTCGCCAGAGAGCCTACATGAGATGCCGGCACCGCTACACACACTCCGAGAAGAGATTCCAGCACCGTCGGTGCGGACTACTAGCAATGCCAATTAATACGAACAATGATAGGTACAGAAATCAGTACAATGATGATGTTATTCATTTTATTTCAATAGTTAGATGGATTGGACACAAAACGTTTCAAAGTTGTGCTATCGTGTTGACTAGCCATATTCCGGGGCATTCTCCTTTGAGTTTACTGACACGGCTCAATTCAAACAGAATCGAATCAAGCGTTACCGGAGCTCTTCTTCGTGCGCTCGAACAAACAAAGGAAAACAACACTGCATTGCGGATCACGTCAATATCCGAATTTCTTTCGTGGCACAATGAGCCCGCTGCTTGCTCACCCCAGGCGAGTGCGTTTGTTTGGCTTGTAAGCAGCCTCCTTCTTTTCGTCGTCCTTGTCGGAACCAAAGTTGAACCCGCCTTTAAGGGGAGAGGTGTTGAATCCTCCAAAAAGGTACTGTCCAGTTGCGGTAGATTGGATCGGAGGAGGAACAGTGAAATCCGAGTCGCCACCGCTCGTGTTCGAGTTGAAACCTCCCGAATGAGGAAAGGCGAAACCGCCTTGATTTGGTGTTGGTTTGGGAGCACCCGAGAAAAGTCCCTTGGGAGGCGCCGATGCAGCTGGAGGACTGTTGACAGTTTCGGGTCCATTGACATGGTTGCTGGTGGTGAATCCGCCGCTGCTTGCGGCCATGTCAGGCTTTGGTGCATTTGAGAAGATACCCTGCTTGACACCAGAGCTTTCGACCGTCTCGACCTGCTCAGCTGCCTCTTGGTGCTCCGGAATTCCAAAGAGGTTCCTCTTAGCACTGGCGCGAGCGGCCGATGCGGCGGGAGGTGCATTCTGATGAAACCCAGGGGCTGCTGCGGCAGGAACATACTGAAATCCAGTGGCCACTGCGGGATGGGGCGCCGAAAAGCTGCTCGTGTCCTCCGGTGCATAATCAATGTTCTCAGCGTGGTTGCTTCCAGCAAAATGGCGGAAAGGCGAAGCAGTAGAACGATTCGCCGCAGGCTGACGAAGGTTTCCGGACACACGAGTTTGGCCCATTACTCTTTGAGCATCATAAAGGTGGTTTTCGGCAACTGGAATGTTGACGTCCACTTTCTTGACAAGCTCAAGCTTCCGTTCCTCTTCCACGAGCTCTCGCCGGATCGCTTCCATCTGCTGTCGCTTTTCTTCCATCTGCTGTTGCTTTTCTGCAACCTTGCTCGAGCCAAGTCGCTTTAGCACCAAAACACTCTGGCGCATGGACGAACATGACTGGTAGGGAATAGCGAATGTGTGAGCCCACGCCGACGACATCATCCGCAGTTATATCCTTCGCTTACCTGTAGCATTTCCGTCACTTGTTCACCTTCGAGTGCCATGGTCTTTCCACTGTTGACGATACGCGTTTTGAGGGCGGCCGGACCCTCTTCTGTGCTCCAAAGCTTTCGGACCATGGATCCATGTTTGTAGCAATCCACGTACGCTTTCTCCGTCGTGAGACTCTCCCATTGAAGCTCCAAGGCCGGGTCCTGAGACTGAGAGAACTGCCGCTGGAGCTGCGGCTGCTGGTGTACCATTTGCCCATACTGCGGCTGAATTTGCCCATACTGCGGCTGAAAGCTTTGAGCGTACGGCTGCATATGATAGTGCGCTGGCGAAGGCGGAGCACCGTACATGGGAGCACCGTTCATGCCAGGCGCGGCGAAGAATGGACTTGGTGGTGGTTGCTGCTGCGACATTTTCGGTTGTTTTTGTCGGATCTTGAATTTGGACCAAAAGGACCTAAAATTTTTTCGGTGGCGAGAGTCGTCCAAATTGAAAGCTTCTACAAGATGAGGGAACTCTCCAAGCAGTTGGCGAACGTCAAATTCAAGCAAACGATTGTCTCCTCCTTCGATCTGTTTGTGGATCGGTTGAAAGGCGACGGTGTCAGCGTACTTATCGGTCATGGCGACAATAAAAGGGCTCCGAATGATTCGATCTATGTTCACGTACGCTACAGCAAGGCTTTTGATGGGCTCTACAAGCTTCAAGACGAGGACAGAGTGACAGTCAAGAGGAGGCTTTGACGATGACGAAGAAGAAAGAGGAGTTGAGTGACAGTCGTTGAGTGACAGCGTCTTTGCTCTTTCTGAGAGTGCGAAAAATGAACCGAAGGGTGGTTTTTCAAACGACGATTTTGCTACGCCGCGAGGTCGAAACGCCGGCCTGTCATTGCACTCACGATTGCAAGAACCTTAGGACTCCCAAAACAAGCCCCAACACCCCAACACATCCGGTACTCGTACGGCACAGCTGTCCTGTACAAAAAGCAAAGCCCCAAACCTTTCAGGAGATGCTTCCGGATCTGCCATCATTGTCTCTGTGAACGACCAGCCAAGCCCGACCCCTCACCTGAATTGATCCTTCCTAACCAAATAGTTGTGCTGATTCCAGGACCCTTCGAACCGACCGGGCTCTAGACATGACATGCCAGAGACCACCAACTTCATGGTTTAGACGCTATTACGTACTTTTTTCTAGTAGATAGTATTGGTTGGACAATGGGGCAGTTTGCCCGACTTGAAGAAACGTCATCTTCCGTCCTGACGAGTTCGATTTCTTTTCTTGCAGTACACATACACAGAGGCGTCCCGTTGGCGGGGACAAGGCACGACACTTTTCCCGACTTGGTTCGACTGGCACTCGTCCAAAGATTCGTACATGACAGTGAGACGCTTACCTGATTCATCATTGGATTCATGGAAGGGGCTGGTTGAGGTTCGGAAGACGTGCACAATAGTTTCGAGCTTCGTTCATCGCGGCACGTGAGTGCTCGTTGTAGACTTCAATGAGAGAGAATGTGTCGTCAACGACCTTCTCCTTCCTCTTCGCTTCGTCAAAGGCACGTTGTACGTCATCCATGTCCAGTTGCGCATCCTCCAATGATCGGGTCAAAGCAAAGACTCGAGTCGAGTTCGCAGATCCTTCCGACAAGGCACGTTGCGCATCCTCCACAGCCCGCCGGGCATCCACCAACGCTCGACTGTGGGCTACAGTTTCGATTGAGGCTACTTTATTGAGACGAAATGCCAATTCTTCCACTTCGAATCGCTTGTCGTCACAATGTACCAACTCGTGCATCGCTGAGAGATATACGTCGCCGCCCATGTTGAAATTTTTCAAGTGAGCTTGACGTGCCAACTCGGAGGTGGTGATATCGAATACCTTCTTGGCATCAAGGGTTCTAAAGAGAGCCTCCGGCTTCGTCAAAGTATGGTACATGTTGTAGGCATGTACTTCTTCGGGAGTCGGAGGACGCTGCATTGTGAAGACTCCTCCTCCATTCGGGTTTGACGATGCTCCCGGCAGAGACAGACGAGTGGCCCCCAACCCGTACAGGAATCGAGGATCGGACCTATTTGGGTTCGGAGCTCCATTCATGTTTGCAGCTTCGTTGGCAAAAGATTGGTTTTGCGACATGGTGTCCTTGAAGAGATCCGTTTTCTTCTCCGAATGTTCCAATATAAAAGTATATTGGAGCTGCGCACTACTTCGACAGAGCGTCGTCCAAGCTATTGGCTGCTTGACGAAGATGGATCAACAGGAATTGAAGGTCTCGAGAGTCAACAAGCCAATTTCGTCCTATTCGTCCTGTGGCCTTGGAAAAGCGCGGCGAAAAGAACACTGTCAAGTCTAAAGAGCGACGACGAGGAGCTTCCGCCACGTTCGACCTGCGCGCTGTACCGTACGGTACCAGGTACCAGTACTGTACGTACCAAGAGTCGTCAACAAACTACGATGTAGACTACAAGCCCTTCGCGGCAGTGATCAACTATCCGGATACCGGTACGGTTCTTGTTCTCGACAAGCAAATGCACCTTTCTTTGTCCAACGTGCGAGAGTGTTTTTTGAGGACTATACCAGGTACCGGTACCAGGAAGGCCCGGTCATACGACTGAAAATCGCCAAAATCGGAATAAAGTCGCACAGGAGCACCAAAGTCGCATTAAAAGTCGTTCTTAAAGTCGCATGCGAGTCGCACCAAAGTCGCGTGCGACTTTCTCACACGACTTTGAAAGTCGCGCAAGTTGACTGTAGGTATGGCGATAAAGTCGCGTCGGATGGCTGAAAGTCGTTTGGAAAGTCGTACCAAAGTCGCGTGCAAGTCGCACGCGACTTTGTGAACGACTTTCAGCGATCCGACGCGACTTTGACCATAGCAAGAAGAATCCGGGACTAACAGTCGCATGACCAGGCCTTCCAGGTACAGTAATAACCACTCGCCCACCCTACGCGTGAAACACATCGAGTCGAGTCAATTGAGTCACGTTGCTTTGAGTCCAAAAAAACGAGTCCTTTCAAGACTGAATTGTTTTCAAATTTTGATAAAATTAAATTAATCAAATCTGTCAAATGGAGTCCCAAAAAGCGACGCAGCGACGCTGCGACGTCGCAGCGACGTCGCAGCGACGTCGCAGCGACGTCGCTGCGTCGCTTTTGCGGGACTCAACTGGAAAATGAATTTCTCGTGACTGAAGCAGAGTTTAGAATTAACCTTAAAAATTCAAAAAATTGGTTATGGTACAGTACGTCATCCAATCACAATCATTCCGTGGGGATGGAAAAGACGGTGGAGGCAATACTAGTACTAGTACGCAACACGTCAATCGATGACCAGGGAGTGAGGCGATTGCACTGGCATCTGAAGAACACCGAACAATCAAACAGAAAGAGCATCGTCAAGAGGAAAGCGGACATTGGGGAAGAGGAAAGGCGGTGAGAAGTCATTGTGTGCCAGTTTCGATCTATCAACTGGGGTGAAGGAGAAGGGCGAAGATACACTGGATGCCGAGAGATTATTGCTTTCTCCCCATAAAATAATATGGAAGCGCCAGTGACCATGGGGGAGTCACCCGATCCCAAGGCAGTGAGAGACTTGCCCTCCCTTTTGGCTTTGCCCGAGGAGTATGTGTTGGCGTTGGAAGATGTGTTGATGGTAGACTCATTGCAACAACATCTTCGCAATGGAAATCGGGGAAGCAGTACCAATAAAGGCGAGTCACAAGCACCGTCATCGACCGAGACAGAGCTACCCGATATCTCTGCTTTCACTCAAGAGGCACTGCATGACGCGATGTTTTATCACTCGTCCGATGAAGCGCTGCCACCTGGTATCAATAATAACATGAACAGAATCAAGGCTGAACCTACATGTACAACATGGAGTGACCACTACCCCATGTTGTCAGATGTCGGCCAGTGGATCAGTTTCGACGTACCCTCGGTATTGGCTGTTTTCGTGACATTCTGTCTCTTGTGTGAAAAAGGGTTGGCCAAGTACTTGAACACCGGCAAAGACAGTGCTATCTACTCTCAATCTGCCTTGTTTGCGAAAAAACAAGCTCTGGATAATACTAATGGTCATCTACCACCCATCAGCGAAGCAGAGGAGTCCAGTACTGACTCCGAGACATCGTACGACAAGAGGAAGACGATGAGCCATGGTTATTATCCTCATGGGTCGCCGACTGGCGTCATGGATCACCCGGGAAAGTGGGACGACCGAGGGGATCCATACTCGGTGATTGCCGCTGCGCAAGAAGAGCGAATTGTCAATTTAATGGCGCAAAACGGCTTGTTGCATCGAGCTCTGGAAGAACAACGAGCAGCCATGCAAAAGATTCAAAAGGAAATGCAGTGCCGAGCTCAGGGAGAAGCTGGTCGAGAACAAACACTCAAGGACCTGACAGCCCAGGTGAGTCTTCTCCAGCAGCAACGAGACAATGACCGACGGACCATCGAGGTGGAAGCAGCTGGACAGGGTGTCCTCGTCCAAAAGGTACAGACCCTTTCCGGAATGGTCAATCGACAGGACGATGCATGGACGACCATGGAATCGAGACAGGCAGCAGTCCAAGAAGAGGTCCGAACCAAGTTCAAAGCCCTGGAAGAAGCTACTGAGGCCAAGCTGCAAGCCCTCCACGAAGCGACCCAACGGGAGTCCAACATCATTAGCCCGACCGTTCAGAAGGACGAGGCGGAACAGGAACAGCTGCAAGCATTTCGAACAAAGTTGGAAGGGATGCAGCGGGATTTGGGGACCCGCTCCATTCAAATGACCAAGCTGGGGCAGTATCTCAAGGCTCGCGATGAACGCATGGATCTCAAAACGGCAGGCATCGAACAGCAGTGTGCGACGCTTGACACGAAACTGCAAGATTTGACCGAGGACAGTCAGTCCCAACGGGTTCATGTCACCAACATGGAACAGGAGCTGCAGACCAATAGACATCAGTCAGCTGCTTGGATGGACGAGATGGAAAGGAAACTTCACACCCACAGTAAATCTCATCAAGAGGAGCTGTCTAACTTTCGACAAAGCCACAAGAAGGCCTTCTACACTGAGCTCCAGAATCTGAAGAGTGCTCTTCAAGAAAAGATCACCATCTTGTTTGATGATTCTCGCAAACGACACTTGAGTTGTGAAACAGAAATTGCCAAGCTCAAGGCGCAGTCCAGTAGTCAAGGCAACGTTACTGCCAACATTTCAGATGAGATCGAACGGCTTACAGACAACGCCGTGACGCGCATGGAGCTCCTGGATACGATGCAGGTGCACGAGGAAGGCATGCTATCTCGAATCGAGGCCATGGTTCAGGAGGTGGTGCAGGATGCTGTCGAGAAGCAACAAGAACATCTGGAGGCCGAAACGAGTGACCTTCAAGACCAAATAGACGAGATAACAGAACAGGTCGAGACTGCGGAACAGCGTCAAGACTCCAATCTGAAGCTGCTTAGAGCAGAAAACCAGCAAGAGCTGAAAAAGGTGCTCGAGGGAATTGAGAACGACAGGGCCGTGCTTTATTCATCCGTGCAAGAACAAGCACTCAATACATGCCGAGATCGAATTTCTGCAGTAGAAGACCAATTTGCGGGGATTGTTGACCAAGTAGAAGGTGCGTCCATTGAAGTCCAAGAACGCTTGGATTACGAATTCGCAATTTTCAAGGCAGGATACAACGGTGAGGTCTCCAAGATGCAGAAAAGTCTCGAAAATCAGGACTGGGAGCATCGCCAGCGCTGTGTTGCCTTGGAAGAGAAGACTGCGGATTTCTCATCACGGACAAAGGCGTTAGCGGCCGCAGTCACCAAGTGCTCTCATGATATCGAAGAGCTGGGACAACGGCAGACTTACGCCAATAACAGTCTGGATGTCCTCTCATCAAAGACATCGTTTTGTGAAGAGGCTCTTGGCAAGTCCCAAGAGACCCATGGCTTGCTGGTGTCCAAGGTCGACGCAATGTCTTCCGACCTAAGCAAGGCCACCTCACTTTTGGCATCAAGGGGGCAAAACATCGAGAACACCAGGAAGGAACTATTTGCCAAGGCTGAAACGGCAGAAAAGAAGTTAGAACAAGTTGAAGCCAAACTGGATGAAGTGGAAAGCGAAACGCGCTGTGACTTTGAATCCACAGAACAGAAGCATCTCATACTTCTTCGGCAGGTGGAAGACCTATCGGGGCAGGTCCATCAGCAATGCGAGAGCAGCTTTGAACATCAAAAGGAGTATCATTTTAAGACGTCCGAGCTTTCTGGCTTCATCGAGCTCCTCAACATGAAGGTTGAAAATCAAGGCATGTTGCACAAGGAGAAACTGGACAAGGTGGTGCTTCGGGTGGACGAGCGTTTCGACAAGGTCGAGAATGAGCTGCAAGAATCGTCCTTTGGCTCCAAGGCGCAGGAGGCGCATTCTTCGAGATCTGATGGGGGAGGGTCGTCCAGCCGGCGGGAGTGTCAGCCCACACCAGACAACTTGTCGAGCAAGCATGCGGAAACTGCTGATGGAGATGCGGCTAATTGCCGCTCAGCTAATGAATCACATAGCTTGCAGGCTTCATCGATAGCGAACACCACAGACGTCTCGTCGATAAGCTTGGCGCCTTTGTCGGAGACGGAAGAAAGATATGTGAGCCTTTCGACAAAGTTGGTAACGTTCAGCGGAGAGTTGCAGCGTCGAGATGAAAGCGTTGCAGCCTTAGAGATGCACGCAAAAGAAAAGTCAGACTCATATTCGTCTAGAGCAGAGGTTTTGAATACTGAAATTGAACTGCAGCGACAGCAATTGAAGAAATTTGAGGAGACGACGCACAGGAGCGAAGCTCGATTGATTGAAGCACGAAAGAAGCTTCGCGAGTTTGAAATGAGTGTGAATCGATGCCGAGAGGAGCTGGTGCTTCGAGATGAGCGGGTCTCAGATATTGACGACGATTTGGAAGAGGAATGCCTGTCTACAAGCGTCAGGTCGCGACTTGGGAGTAGGCGACGTCAACAGAAAGAACATCGCGATGAATGGAAGAAAAAAGTGTCTGAAATGGAATCGTCACTCAAGATGGATAAGGCAGAATGCTCGAAGCTTGCTGCTAAGCAGGAGCTGTACGAAGGGGAACTTGACCGACGCCGCGCTGTGTTGAATGCTTTGAGATCTAGTTTGAGCAGTGTTTTGGAGTCAGTTGCGGTTGAGAGGGAATCCATTCATTCAGAGCTCCTTAGCCGACGCCAAGAGCGCGATACCTGGAGGAAAAGCATCAGTGATTTGATATGTGTCCTCGAGACGATAGAGGTCGAATCTTCCGGCGTCGAGCGGCTTCAGGCACTACCAGTTGTGAAACAAGCAATATGTGTTCGAAGCGGAAGAATTCGCCCCCCACGTGGAAGCTGTAGAGGCGTGAGAGACGAAGACCATTCGATCGATTCGGAAACTCTGCAACCACATTCCCAGGTCGCTGTTTTGTCGGAAACCACAGAGTTGCTCGGCCGTCAGCTCCAGGAGTCTAATAGCCAATGCCAGATATTGGCAGAAAAGGTGGAGCAAATGGAATTTGATCTCCAGCGGCAGGGAAGCCAAGCCACCGAAGTCGAGGCTCTCAAGCTCGATGTAGCGAGCAGCGAAAGCCAAATGGTTATGTTCAGGGAAGATCAGATGTCATTGAGAACAGATATATATACACAAGTGGATTCTCTCCGAAAAAAGCTCCAGGCGCTAGAGGAACAGTATCAAGCTACAAGCAAGGTTTCCGTGTCGCAACCAAATGACGCAACAAGCTACAAAGATCTCTCTGCAAGGGTGGAAGGGTTAGCTGCTCAATTTAAAGACCACGGCGATATTGTTGCACAAGTTGGAGCCCTGGTTGACTCCATCCAAGCATGTGAAGTCCGCCTGTCCTTGTTCGAGAAGCAACAAGACGACACCAAAGCTGATGTTTCTTCTATGATCGAATTCTTCAAGACTGATCTCCAATCGCTGAAGCAGCTGTGCGAGCAAGCGATGATGAGAAAAGACGCTGAATTTTCAGATCTCATTTGCAAAGTGGAGAGTTTGATGGTGGTTTCACAGGCACATGGCAAGCACCTGGAAGCGGTGGAGAGAGAAGCCGAAGAGAGCAGTATCGCTGTACATACTCAGATTCAAACAGGACATCTTGTCCAGCAGATGAAAGAGAAATACATCGACTTGGCGGCAAAAGTGGACCTTCTATCAAGCGAGGTTAGCGAGAGCAGCCAAGAGAGGGAAGACCAGGAGCATCGTGCCAAAGACAGAGACGCAATGTACCTGATGCAACTGCAGTCCGTGCGAGATGATTTCGACAGTCAGCAATCCAAGTACCAGCATCAAATACAATTGCGAATCTACAATGCCATGGTGTATCTTCTCCAGTGCATCGCAAAGCGAGAAGGGCGACCGTCAGCCCTTCCAGTTTGGAATTCTCGAGAAGAGGAGCTTGCGCTCCAACATCGCCAGACGAAAAAGGCAGGGGAGAGGAAGGAAGGAGACTCGAGCACGGCAACGTGGAGTCAGAAGCCAGGTTTGGGGTATTCAATGGCGTCTGGCATCATCAGGGCCAACATGTTGCGCCCTGTCATGCTAGCTTCGACCATGAACACAGGGGCTGCCATCAAGAAAGAAGAGAACTGACAAGACCCTGCGACCACGGATTACTTATGTTTCGTAAAGTAGTGTAAGATAGTTTGTGTTATATTTCGTCTCCAGGCGATTATTGTTGCGGTGTTGGTGTTGCTTGTGGTGCAGTAAGAAAGGTACCAACGGAACAAGGCTATGGACGGAAACCTACGAAGACGAGGTGTGCTCCGTCTCAAGCAGCATGACATGAGCGACACATTGCTCCTACAGGTGTCTCATGGGAGGCTCAAGAGGCAGGTGTAGAGATTCAAATTCCTTTGCAGTTCTCGGATGGTGCACCGAACTGTTTGCTTAGGGAAGGTGTGGAAGAGCTTGGGCTCCGCATCAAGAACTTGCCATACTTTCCCCAACTTACGGGCTGGGCTTCGCGAGACAATGCAACAGCAAACGAACCTTTGCCGTACCGTAGCTAGGAGATAGTAGCATCGGAGTGAGTAGGTCGCATTGTTTCTCGCGTGCCCAACAACTACTTCTGATTGACCTTGAGCTGGAAAAACGACGTGCATTGTCCCAGCCAACAAACTACGCGCCGGCTCTTTGGTGGTTTGGGGTCTGTGCCCAGCATCCTTTTGTTTCAAGGATTCGGCGGGGCAGGACACGTGGGATTTTCTAATAGCAACCTGTGTTGTCAGCCCAACTACGGCTATTCGTTTTCTCTCTTCCTGGCACGGTACACAATGGCCATTGCGGGAGACGGTCGTACGAGAACAAGTTCATGTATGCATTTTTTATCATTTGATTTTACAAGCAACTTGTGCCTTTGATATCGAAAATTCGTTTAACTCCCCCGTTCGATCGTCACCGTGGGACATTCACGTAGACATACACCGTCAACCTAACCACGCATGTTGCCTGGTTTCCCACCTTGGCTTCTTATTTCTGAAAGAGTGGGCCGCCAAACACCTTGATCCCCGACGTCATGGAATATGCTGTCGTTGTCATTTCATTTTGGGCTGCGATCGGTGGCAAGGACTCCAGACTGGCCATGCTATCCTGCATGTTATTATTGTTGCCACTGACGGTCCCGTGTGCCGTGACTACCCGTTCCATTTGGATCATGGCCTGACTAATCTTGTCGGCAAACACTTGCTGCTGCCTCTCTAGTTGGCGCTGCATTTCTCCCCGTAGAAACTCCATTTGTTCATAATACTGAGCCTCCTTATCCTTCAACTTTTCTTCCAATTGGGCATTCTGTGCATCACGATGCTTGACTTCTTGCGTGAGACCATCCAACTTGGTGGCCAAATGGACGCACTGGTGGTTCATCTGCTGCAACAGCTGTCGCATATCATGAGCATCCCTCATGGCATCCTTTTGGATTTGCAGTTTCAAGGCACTGAGCTGCGAATCCATATCGTCGTAGTTGGACACGTTTTTGGCCGCAGGCGCATCATCATTGCCAGTGTTCATGCCTTCCACTTTGGATGCCAACTGCGCGTACTGTTTCTCCATCTTGATGGCGTGTTCTTGCTGGAATCTCTTTTGATGCTGCAAGTCGCGTTGTAGCTCTCCCAACGTGGCCGCGAGGGACGGCTCATTGGGAAGCGAATATGCTGTAGTTGGCTTGACGACTGACACTTGCTGGTAGGTGGTCTGTTTCACCGCAGGCTTGTCGAGCTTGACGGCGACATGGTTGACCCGGACAACAGGCATGCTCATTTTGATTGGCGATACGATTGGTAAGGGGGTAATTGGCTTGATGACGGCTGGAATGGTCTTGGGCGTTGTCTTGACAACAACAGGAGCGGGGCTCACAGTCTTTGGGACAGGCTTGGCAACTGTAGTGGCAGTAGATGTGACGGCAGCATTGGGTGGTTGCCAAACGTACTGTTCGAATTGTGGGTCCTTGACTACAACTTCTTCCTCGTCGTCGCTGTCACTGTCGTCATCCTCCTCGGAATCCGGTTCGTCGCGATTCGATTTGACGCTGCGATGGCTGGATTCCATGCTAGCCAGCTTCATGGCATCGAGACGCTTGACGGCAGCTTGCACTGTAGTAAGCTGTTCTTTGAAGAGCATCAACTTGACGTCGAGCTTTTGCGACTCGATGCGTTTGGCGTCCAACGCCTCTGCCATGTTCAAGGTCTTCACTTCCCAAGCATCCCGGTCATTGCGCACGCCATCGACTTGTTCCCGGAATTTCTCAAGCTGAGCCTTGAAAAAGCCTTGCTGTTCTTGGATCTTGGTCTCCATGCTCTGCGCACGTAGTGTCCGACGTTTGTGCTCGTCTTGGAAGAGTGCATGCTTCGCCGTTAGACTGGTACACTCCTTGACCAATTCTTCCAGTTCTGTTTCCAGTTGCCCAATTTGAGTGCGAACGCGATCCCGATGACCCCGTTCAACTTGGATTTCGGCTTTCAAGTACTCCCTCTGATTGCCGGACAAGGAATTGTTGCCGTAGAGATTCACTTCCAGATCTTGTACCTTTTCTTCCAAGGGCTTGAGGCTCCGGTACGCTGCCTTTAAGCGCTGTTCGATTCGGTCCTTTTGCTTTGTCATTTCTTTCAATCCTCGTGCCGCCCGTTCGGCCGTTTCGGTGGCTCGTGCGGCATGTTCCTTTTGGGCGATCTGATCCTTTTGAAGCTTTTCCATCTGAGCCTCGGCTCGTTCTTGCTTGTCGACCAGTTGCTCCTGAACTTCTGTGACACGGTCCGAGCGTTTGGCCAATTCATCGCGAAAGACTTTCAAAGACGTCGTCAACCGAACCACATGGTCGGCCGCCTGCTTGGTTTTCTTTTCCAATTTGCGCGAGAGCTCGGTCCACTTTTCTTCTTCTGATTTTTGCAGTGTCAGTTCCTGATCCAACTGCTCCTTACGGTCATTCTTGATGTTGGCATTGGCAGCAGCAGAATCTTGGCCCCCATGACTCTTGTTGGAAGTGGCCAACTCTTGGCGGCTTTCGTAAATGTAGGTTGGTTCCTTCACGGGCGGTTCCACGATAAACTGCATCTCTCCTCGCAACACGCCCAAATTCACTTGTTTCCAAACATCTTCTGCTGATTCCAACATTTTGTAATACGCTTTTGTTTCGCAATTCAATGGGCGGGTTGATGGATTGTAGTCTTTGTGATGACTGGGCGGTATCAGGTTGACGCTGACGTGGTTCGGTCAAATGGGCCGTTGCTGTTCAATTTCGGCGAGAGTTGCCAAGGGACACTCACGTCTTTGTTTGTTTGTCTGAGTTAACTTTGAGAGTGATTTTTCAATGGCTTTGGTTGTTGCGATGCAGTTGCGATGCAGTGATTGTGAGGCCGCTCTTGTTGGAGGTGATGGTGGAGTGACAAATCTTGGGAACCTTGGGTCATTTTGATTCTGACGTCGATGTCAGAAAGTCATTCTATCAAGACAGCTTCTTCATCTGGCACAAATATTTAAGGGAAAAGAAGACGTGGAATGGTACGTCATTCGCATAAGCCAGCTTGTCGAAAGCTCTGCTCGCTCCTCACAATTTGGCCCATTCCAAGCACGAAAAGCCCTCGGTTAGCTACATACTGTAGCTGAGCCCTCCACAGCTCCAGTGCCAGTACCGGTAGCTGTAGCAGAGGGAGCTGAGGGTGAAAGCGGTAGAAGGCAGTAATGTGATTGGCTAATCAACCTATGACATCAGCAAGTGCGTCAGCAAATATTCAAATATACTTAACGTACCATTTATAGATATTACGGATACAGTGTGCTATAAAGTTCGAAAATTCGTTGTTGTTTTCGGAGAGGAAGAAGATTCCGTCGCGATCGACAATGACAACACCACCGGCAACACCACCGGAGAGTCATTATCTCAGCCAAAAGCAGCACCATCATGACCGGAACAGCAGCAGCAACAGCAGCAGCAACAGCAGCAGCAACAGCAGCAGCAACAGCAGCTACCACTCACAATGGAGGAATGGGCTGCCAAAGTCAACAGAGGAACTCGCAACAGAAGAGAGCTTATGAACTCGCCAAATTGAACAACAACAGATCCAAGAGAGCCAGAGAAGAAGGACCCCAAACGACACTGGGAGGAGAGGTAGCAGAAGTCTTTGATCCACTCAAGAAGTGTTTAAGAAGTGTGTCATCTGTAAGCCAGACATCTTGGTTCAGAGTCCCAAAAAGATCACACCACGTTCTCTGTATTAAGAATACAGTAACAAGAGGAAGAGGAGATTTGAATGAGCTGACAATGGAAACCCTCAGAGAGAGCAGAAACTCACAAGGCACTTCAGTCTCCTCTTCCATGAATGAAGAGGAAGCTGGAAGCACTCAACAAGAGAGAACGGGGAAGCCTTCTTTGGTCCTAGAACAAACACAGCCAAGAAACCAAACCAGAGCCGGCAACAGAAGACATCCACAACCAAGACAACTCAATGGCTCTTTGTCAAAAGGTCACCACTCTTGTAAACGATACTGCCTTTGTGGAACAGCACAAGACCAAAGGAGCACCACTGGCAATGCTAGCAATGCACAAGTAGTGTCAGAATCCATTATCGGCCAAGAATCACAATTTCCACCAACATTTGAAGGACTCACCATGACAGTTCCATCCACAGAGGAGCAATTCATCTCCCACACACCACTCCATTGTGGGCCAGAAACTCCTTCGTGGACTGGAATCGATGTGGCATTACTGTTGGTTGCCCTGATGGTAGATGTTGTGGCAAACTAAAGAATGAAAGAACAAACTGGTCTAAGAACAAAACTCTGTTTCCACTATTTGGTGTTACAGGAGCTCCATCTTGGTGCATAGTCATGAATATGAAGTGTGACTCTGCCAGAGATTGTTCAGTGCCAACAGTGCTGAAGTCTTGTGCTCCATCCCACAGCATGCTGCTCTCTCTATCCTGTGGAGTCAAAGTATGCACTCAAGAAGGCTTGTCACTTGGACAGGACTGCCACGAGACTTTCGAAACCATCATGTTGACCTATGGCAATGGCGAACTCTGCAGCCGGCTCATCTACAATGCAATCAACAGAGAGTTCATTAGGGCCATGACGTCATACTTCTCCTATTGGGAAGGAAGTGAAACAGAACCAGATCCCTTTCTTCAAAAGGATGGAACTTACATCAGACAGTATCCTCCCCTTGGTGACACCATTCGAGACCTCTATGATGAGGCTTGTGCTTCAAACAGGAATCCATGGAGGATCAGTGACAACCAAAGGCACACAAGAGAGATCAAAGTGTCAAGTGCAACAAAAGAATCTTCTGTCAAGACCACACCTTCAGGTGATCAAGAACTACAGCAAGAGTCTTGGTGCTGCTGCTGTTTGGGATGCTGCTACTGAGACTGGAGAGATTGCTTCAGCAGTTCTCGTTCCTACCACCAAGACCATCCACTCTCCCATGCTGCCATGCAGCTAGCAAGAGGAGCCACTTCAATCCAGCTGCATGTACAGTGACACCTGGCCCCACAAGATGACTACTGGGATTACTCTTTCCAGGTATTGAGGAAGACTTGGCCTGTTTCATTATGAGAAGAGGATCCTGTCAACTTTGAGGAAGGGTCACATTGATTACTTTCAAGCACTGACTGACTCTTGGATTGCTTGTATGAGTACTCACCAGATGACTATGAGAAGTCCTCCATGCATTGAACATGGCCTCTTGTCCTCCAATGGCAAGCACTACTCCATGGCAGAGATCTCCGACATGCAAGCCTCCAAGGTCTTCAGAGCTCGGTACTCCAAGTATCTAAGGAAGCAGATGAGGTCACCAGAGACAATGAGGCAGAGGTTACAGCAGTGGTTCTGCAGGTACAAGTGACAGCCAGTGATGTAGCCAGCCAGGACAGGGCCGACTCGATCCAGCCAAGAACTATACCTTGTTCACTTCTGATACCAAGCCAGCTGTAGAGAACTGTGTTGACAAAGCGCTCACTTGGCTGATCCCTGGCACTGGAAGACATGTATGACACCATCCTACCATCACCCAATTCCAAGCACAACCTCCCAGAGTACCTATCAAGGAGAGGAGAATCCAAGTTAGAAGCGTTCCATGACAAGTTTGCCCATTTTGGCAATGGTGGAATGAGAAGAAGCCTTGCTGATGCACTCAACTTGGCTGGAACTGCAAGATACAACCTCAAGATTAGACACAGAGAGCCTTCCTGTCAAGAATCAGTGTAGCAGAGAGGAGGTAATTCCAGCCGGATGGGAAAAGTTGTACCTTACTGGAATCATTCAGAGTTGGCTTACCTGAATCAGCTAGCACTGGCTGTGGGTGTCGATGAACCATTTCCAAATGCAGAGCCCTTGCCACAGGATAATGGAGAGAGGTTCTTCTCAGAGTTCATTGTTGGATTCAAGCCACAGAGACAAAAGTATGCACCAAATGATTGTTGTTTGTGTGTGGCTTGTACAGGACCACAACCACCGACTCCACCAGCAATCGAGCCACCAAATCCACCAGCAATCGATGCAACAGCAATGGTTCCACCGGCGCCGCCGCCACCGCCACCACCACCACCTCCAGCACCTGCAGTGCCACAAACAAGAAATGTTTATGTTGGCAATTTGATTCTATACCAGCAACAACAACAACTTCAAATGATGCAACTTGCCATGCAAATGCGGCAATTCCAACCAATACTGCCATCTCCTTTCCAGCCACCTCCTCCACCGAATGGCTGCTGTCAGAGATACTGCCAGTGGTTGACTCATAGGAGAGGAAGACCACCTCATGATCATAATTGCCAATCAAGATTGACTGGGTATGGGAAGTAGCAACAAACAGTCAATATTTAGATCCACCAAATTCATTTCTAATTTAGCCAGTAACTTACATATCATCTGAGTCAATGCCAATGAAATCAACAACCATAGTCTCACTCATCTCAGCCAATTTCTTGAAGGAAATCTTGTTGTTGTAGTCATACCAGTGGCAACAATAATAATGCCAAGCATCCATCACACTCTGTCCTTCAAGGGAGGACACCTCATAGCTCTCACTGATCCTTTCCCTCACCAACCAATAGATGCACTCAATGAACATGTCCTTCCTCTCACAGCCATCTGGTCCCAACAGCATTTCATAAAGGGTGGAGAGAACAGCTCTGTACCATGGCCGACTCTTCTGAGGTCCCCAATAGTACATGTAATCCATGATGTTGGTCATGTCAGGAGGAACAGGCTTGCATCCTCCTTGCAAGATCATCTCCTCAAGAGTGTGCCCTGTAAATTCGATTGCGCGAGCACAGTGGTGCTTCTCCTTGTTGCTGAATCGGCGATCTGGTGCATACTGTCCTTCGAAAATCACATACTTGCAGGTGAACCCATGCCTTGTTGCCCTCAGTTCATTGAATGAGTATCTCTTTACACTAAGCAGCCACTTGGAGAAGGAAGGACTTGTAGCGATCCTCATGGTCATGGTGGATAGTTTCGTGTTTTTGTTGTTGAGCGATCTCCGATCTCCGATCTCCGATCTCGTTGCACGCCGATCCGTCTTGCCAAGAGTACTTGCCCCTACGGATGTAGTCGCTGACTTCAAGACAAACGAAGCGTCGCACAAGGGAGTAGTGCTATTGTTGTTGGATGGTTGTTGTTGCTGCTGCTCCGAGAGTTGTTGTTGTTGCTGTTGCTGCGAGTTTCGGTCGATTTTCGAAAATAATGGGAAGGTCTGGTGCAAGCGAAGGATGGGAAAAAGAGCGAAAAAGAGCCAGTCAGTCTATCCGTTGAATCAATTTGAATTTGACAACGAACCTCTACTTCCTGACGTATTTTCCTGTTCTTCGGATGTCTTAGGGGAGAAGAGTTATGGGAGTGTTGGAGTCATTGCCGTTTCCCCTCTCTCAACGACCTCACAATGACTCGATCTTTGCCTGCTGGCTCGCAATTCGGAATTGGGAATCACAAGGTTAACCCTCTCCCTCTTCTTCTTCTTTTTCCCTCCCCCGCGCTCATGCCTAACCCCCCCATAAAGTCAGCTGCTGGTACAGAGCCACCAAAGGCAGCTGGACTTGCTTGCGGATGCCTTATCAACCACAGAAGGGTTCGTCGACGTTCGTAAGTTTTATTCTTCACACTGTACAAATACCTAGCTAGCTAGGAAGGCTGCTAACGCACTTGGAACAACAGGAAGGATGGAAGTCGGCTGCTGAATCATCCTGGGGTATCCGGGCAAGCATTCTCTTGCCGGTCTCGGGCGCTCTGCGTGCGGCACTGCTGATTAATCTCACTGGATTGAGCAATAGTAGAATGGTAGACGAGGAGGGTGCTCTTCCTCGTTGCGGTCCTTCGACGGGAAGCTCCAGGTGGTGCAAGAGTCAGCTATAACGTTCTCTAGATTTGCCATGGCCTGGCTGCGCACTGCATGCTAAATACATGTAGCCAGACCATGGAAGCAAAGCTGCTGCGAGAACCCCTTGTGTGTACAGATGCCGCGAGTCATTAGATAGATTTTATTGCAATTTTCTCTGCTAGTAGCTAGTAGATATGTAGTAGGCAACCATTACGTCGATCACTTACATCGTTCACTTACAGATAATCCAATCAAATCCAATAACCTTTTACCCAAACTGGTACAGCTCCCTTGTTCCTTTACGCCTCACAATTTGCAGGAGGCAGGCTCCTTGATGAGGAAGCTACATCTGCTTCTGTCCGGCTACTGACCGAACATACGGGGACCAAGCTTGTTCCTTTCCTCTTGCATCCATCTACTTTAGTTATCTAACCAGTAGTCAGTTGTGATGACCACCGTAGCTAGATGTATATTCTCTATCCCCACATCCAACAGCCCCGACCTACGCTCTCATTGAAAGAACGCATTCCTTGCCGGCTGGTCCTCTGTTCCTGCCTGTTGCTTTCAGGCTCAGCTCCGACGTCGGTGCCAATATGGTGACCCGTTCTGCTTTCTTCGTCATCCTCCGAAAGCTTCCGCTTCGGAGCTTTTTCAATCTCAGTCATTTTGAAAAGATCTAAAATGACCTCAGTGTCATCCAAAATTTGCGTTGCCGTTGTGTTGGGAGCCTTCGTTTGTTTGTTTGTTCGGGTTATGCTGTCAACCTGGCGCCCTCATTAAAAACAATGTGGCAGCAGGGGTCCGCAAAGGTAGTAGCTGCCATCCCATCCTATTCCATCTCAACTGCTGCTATCCATTAGCTACAGTCTCTGTTCAGTTGTTGGAGTCACTTCGTTGGTCCCTTCCTTTTTAATATACCTTGAAGCTAGCTAGCTACGGTAGCACAAACTATCTTTCTCACTGTTGATCTTCTGAAGCCATGACGTATGAAGAACCTGATGAAGAGGAGATTGTACTCGATGATGATGATGATGTCGAGGAGGAATCGGGACCCGTCAACGATATAGGGATTGAGGTCTATGCCATGATGGGAGACATTCAAGCCATTAGCAAGCCACGCAAGGGTCTCTTTCGGAAGATTGGAGAGTGGAATCGTCGAAGAAAGGAACAACGGCTCCAGGTAGAAGAGGAGCCGCCAGCGAACGATGAAGCCGCGGACTTGCTATCGGCGCTGGCACAGGGGAATGAAACTGATCTTCTGATGATGGACAATCAGACATCATCATTAGGTCAGGGGTTTGCCTTGTCTCCAGTCACAAGTGGGGTGGCTTCTTTGGTGGAGTCTTTGCGGGTTAAGAGTGCTCCTTATGCTGCCACAGCTCAGATACCTCTGGCTCTGGTGATACTGATGCTTGCCCTTAGGGCGTTTTGGTATTATCGGCAGTATCAGACCAAGGATCAGAAGACATTCGGGGGTGATAGTTCTGCCACCACAACGGATGCACGCAAATTGCTGGGCGAATATCCCAAATCCAATGGATCCAATGGCGCCGGACTGAAGCATGATCCCACTGCCTTTTCCAAAGGAAATGGTACCAATGGCCATACGGTGGTCATGACGGCTCAGACAGCTTCCACTACCATCCAGCACCCCGAGGAAGACAAGATCCAGTCTACGTTGGAGCGGGAAATGCGGGCGAGACAAGCTTTGGCGGATGAAAATCGAGCACTTCAATTGGCGTTGGATACCCACAAGTCGACGGTAGACAAGTTCTCTACGGAACTTCAGGCCCGGAATGAACGCTTATCCGTATTCGAGAATGAACAGGACACGGTCCGACGGGACCTGTCGGCACAAATTGAAGTCCTCAAGCAAGAATTGCAAGAGCGACAAAAGCAAGAACAGGGAAATCTTAAATCCAAAGAATCACTCTGCAATGATCTAATTACCAAAATCAAAGCACTCAACCAGGATTTGGAAAACCATGAAAAACTGTGGCAAGGTGTGGCCCAAAAAGCACAACAAAAGGAAACAGAGTCGGCCAAGAAGGTAATGAGCCTCCAGCAGTCACTCCGTGAAGACGAGGAACATCGTGTCGCGGCCTTGAGGGCCAAGGAAGAGGCGCGGGCCGAGTTGAATGCTCAGGTGTCGTCCTTGGAAAAACAGCAAAACCAACAGGCTTCCCAACAGGTGTCTTTGGAACAGCAAATGGGAACGTCTGTCTTTTCTGCCACGGAAGCAAGGCTTCAAAAACAACTCGAGGAGGAGCAAAAACTCGCAACCACCTTGAACACCAAAATGCAAGTCTTTTCAGCGGAGTTGGCAAGCCGCGAGGAACGCGTGTCGACACTGGACGCTAAAATGAACGAGGTAGAGCGATTGTCTGTGGTCGAGCTCAAACAGCTGCAACAGGAATTGCAAAAGCAAGTGGTCCAAAGAGAAAAACTCCAACAAGTTGCTGTTGAAATGACCCGAGTACTACAGGAGAAACGGGATCAATGTGTGCGTCTACAGTCGCAGTGGGAGACGTCCAAGGCAGAACTCAAGGCTTTGGATGAACGGGTGGCCACTCTGACAGCCAGTGTGGCCAAGCGTGAGGCCATGGCCAATTCAAGGATCCAAGCAGTAGAAAAGAAGCTGGAAGAAGAACGCCGGCAAGAGCAGATTTGCAAGCAGGCGACCGAAGCTACGAACGACGAACTTTTCAAGAAACAAGAAGAATTTGTGCAGCTGACGACGCGAATGGACCTCTTCTTGAAGGAACTGCAGTTCCGCGATGAACAAGTTGCTAGCTTGGAGAACAAGTTGATGGCGAAGGAGGAAAGGACCACCAGTGAAATCAAGGCACTCAGCGAGCAGCTTAGTATCCAGCGGGAACGACAGGATTCCTGGAACAAGACCACTGAAGATCTTCAGCAAATGTTGAAGGACAAGAAGGCTCAGGTGGTGGGACTAGAAACGCGGGTCGAGTTGTTTGAACGGGAATTGAAAAATCGTCAAGATACTGTTGCTGCCTTGGAAGCCAGGATCGAGGAGAACGAGGAAGAAGAGGCTGCCAAGATGGAACCCTATCGCAGGGAGTTGCGGAGATTGCAAAACGAACGCGACGACTGGCGTGAGAAGACCGAAGAAATCGGTCGGGTCCTGGAGGAGAAGATTGACCAGACCGAAGGATTGTCGACACGTCTCAGGCTGTTCCGAGTCGAGCTCAAGGCCAAAGACGAGCGCTTGACTGTTCTCAAGAGCACATACCGAGATAAGAAGCAAGCTGCCTACGTAGAGATGGCACCCGTAAAAGAAAAACTGGAAGAGCAACGAGAGCAACGCGATTTCTGGGCTGCAAAGATCGAGGATATAGATCGTGTGCTGAAGGAAAAACGCGCCCAATGCGTAGGCTTGAAGACACGCGTACTGCTTTTCGGCAGGGAGCTCGAAACCAAGGAAAAGCTCACTGCCGCTCTGGAAAGCAAGCTTGCTGACAAGGAAGAAGTTGGGGGTGCTGCCATTGCGTCACTCCGAAAGCAATTTGACGAGCAAGTGAAGGGGCGTGACGAGTGGAAGGAGAGCACTGAAAAGGTCAAGCAACTTTTGGTCGACAAGCGGAAGGAGTCCGCTGGATTGACATCGGAGCTCAAGGTACTCGTCAGTGATCTTCAGGGTTACCAGCAGCGTAGGGCAGCTCTTGAAGACCGGATGAAACAGCAGCGCAACATCTTCAGCGGTCGAAAGGTGGCCTTGGAAAAGCAGCTAAGTACGTGCAAGGCACATTGTGACGAATGGAAAAACCAAACTGCGGGCCTGAGCCGAGAGTGTCACAATGCTGAGCAGTCTATCGTGGGTCTGAAGACTCGCGATATGCTATTCAAAAAGGAGTTGCAGCAGCGAAGAGAAGCTTTGGAAACCCTCGAAGAACAGTTAGAAGAGATGGAGGAAAAGAGTGCTTCGAAGATGGCACGTTTTCGACAGGAGATGGCTGCGTCCAAAGTGGAACACGAGGACGGAGTTGAGATGACACTGAAGCTGAACAAAGAGCTCAAAGACACCAAGCGAGAGTGCATTGGGTTGACCACAAGATCAAAGCTATTTAAAGATGAACTTCAAAAGCGCGAGAACCTGGTTGTTGAGCAAGAGCAGAAAGTCGCAGATGCCAAGGAGCAAGCAGCCGACGTTTTGGGTCGCATGAGAGGCGCGCTAGCAGGCATGGAAGGTGAGAGGGACGAGTGGACGCAGAAGGCCGCCGACGTCGATAGACTCGTTGCGGAAAATCAAGAACAGACGGTGGGCTTGAGCACGAGACTAGATCTTTTTATGGCGCAAGTTATGGAATACGAGGAAACTGTCTCCCGTCAGGAGACCAAGCTTCGTAGCCGACAAAGCTTGTCGTCGATGGCCTCGACCAAGTCTGATCTTGACGCGGCGAAGACTAAACGCGACGATTGGACGGCAAAGGCAATCGATATCCAAAACAACTTGAAGCAGAGGAAATCAGAGATCACTGGCTTGAAGACTCGCCAGAAACTTTTTCACTCGGAAAGGGAAAGTCGCAAACAAAACGTCTCGATAATTAGCCAGAGACTAGTTGAAAAGGAGAGATTTTTCAAGGCGAAGATTGCACCACTGGAAGACGGGCTCAAAAACCTAATTGGGCAGCGAGAAGAGTGGGTGTCTAAAGCAGATGGTATCGACAAGATGCTTGCTAGGAAGCAAGAGGAATGCCTGCCAATTTCTGAAAAACGTCAGGCGGTCATTGACCAGCTGACCCAATGCATGCAACGCATCAAAAACCTCGAATCTCTTCTAAAGGATGAAGAAGAGTTCATTACCTACAAAGTAGTGCGACTAAGAAGAAGCGTCGAAGAACACAGGAACGAACTTAATGAGTGGGTGGAGAAAACAAAAGAAGTCCAGGGGCTGCTCCGTGGGAAAGAGGGCGCCGTTGTTGGATTGAATAATCGGTTGGTTGCCTTTGAAGGCGAATTGAAGGCACGAGAGCGTGCAGTTGCGATCGTGGAATCAAGAATCGCGGAGAACGACCGATTGCTCGCTGAGGAGACGTCTTCGATCAAGTCGCAGATCGCAGCGGCACACAACTTGCGCGATACCATCATCGAAACTACGTTATCAAAGAACCAAGAGTTGAAGAAGATGGAAGATACCTGCTCAGCCATGGAGGTTCGCCGAATGCTGTTCGAAGATGAGATGCGCATGCGCAAGGAGAGGGTGACGTCCTTGCAATCCAAGCTGCAGGAAAAGGAGGAAGATTTCTCTTTTCAAATCAAAGCTCTGAAATCGGAGTATTCCTTGAAAGCAAGGGACCTTGCCAAATGGAGGGAGTCTACGAAAGAGGTGGGCCGTCTTTCGAACGAAACAGAAAGAGAGTGCGTTGGCTTGGCAACGAGGCTTCAGCTATTCCTGGTAGAGAAAGAAAAATACGATTCTCAGGTTGCTGAGCTCGAGGTGAAATTCAAAGCGAAAGCCAACGACACCGTGGAAAGAATGACTCCAATCCACAACAGGTTGAGACAGGAACAGCGAGATCGCGATTCCTGGGACCAGAAAACGACTGAATTAAATGGACTTCTGCAGGCTACCCGTAGAGAAATTGTTGGGTTAAACACACGCTCCAAGCTCTTCAACAAGGAGCTGAAGCAGAAGGAGCGAGGTGTGGCCAAACTCACCGCAAGAATCAAGGAGAACGACGATGACTTTGCCGAGCGCATGACGCCACTGATGCTTGAGTTAAATGCTCAAAAACAGGGCTGTGGTGCCTGGGAAAGGTCAACTGAGAACGTGCAGCGCATGCTTGAGGCAACAATGAGTGAGTGCGCAAGCATCCCGACCAGGTTGGACTTGTTCCGCCGAGAGCAAAAGCTGAGGGACGATGCTGTCGCCCAATTAGAAGCAAGCATTAGCAACACAGACGATCTCGTGGCAGTACAGCTTGGATTCCTGCTGAACGAGTTGCAGCTTCAGCAAAAGCAGCGAGGAAAGTGGAAGAAGGTCACTTTGGAAATGCATCGTTTGCTGAAAGAGACTAGGGAACAGGTCGCAGTCCTAACAGAGAGGCTTGATAGCAACCAAGTGGCCCTTCAGAATCACGATGAAACTATCACCAGCTATGAAACAGCTCTTCGGGATGGTCGAGACATGGCGTATCAACAACTAGCAACGATGAAGAAGGAGGTCAACTTCCAGCGCCAGAATCGAGATAAGCTACGAAAGTCGACTGAGGAGCTTAGTCGCCTCTTGGAAGATGCAAAGGTGACTTGCAATGATTTAACGGGAAAACTCCAGTCTACCAGAGCCCAGGTGCAAGGGTGTACGACGGCCATTGAGCAGCTTGGAACCAGAATCAACGAAAAGAAGGCACTTGATGCGTCGCAGATCGAATCTATTAAGCAGCAACTCAAGGTGCATCTGGACCAGCGAACTGAATGGCAGGAGAACACGGACCAAATGAGACAGCGTCTCAAGGAAAAGCAACAAATGTGCGCCGATCTCCAAACCAAGATAACCTTGCTGAAAAGGCTTCAACAAGGGGACGTGCGTTCTAGTTTGTCACTGGACGAATCCGACAACACCAGCAACCCGTATCTCGGAGCACCAAACGGGATCTCGGCGCATCTGGACCGAATCAACGACATTACAACTGGGGCGACCAAGAAGAAGTTAAGTGCCGAAGCGCAACTGACGTCCAAGATGGAATCGCTGGAAGCGGAATTGAAAATGCAGCAAGAAGAAGAGAAGAAGTTGAGTGACTCTACGCAACAATTAGAACGGGAGTTGGGAGACAAGGCGTCTCAGGTTACGGCTTTGACTGGGCAGCTCCGATCTAGTGGCTTTGATGTTGATGCGATGCTGAAAGAAAAAGAGAAGCAGCAATCAAGTCTAAACTCAAGGCTGGCAAGCCTCACGGGTGAACTGCTCAACCTATGAGCAGCGTGCAAGTGATTATCAGTGTGAAGGTGTATTCCTGGGGTAGCTAGATAAAAGTATGTAGGTCAATTAATTGTATTTGGATTGAACTTGTACCGGTGGCTGCGTGTCCTTATGTCAGGATTGAATGATCAATCGAATCATCCTGTGAGAGAGCGGAAGGAACGTAAGGAGAATCCTTGCTCAGGACGCGATGCAGCCTTGCTGCTTTGATGCTCCGACACAAGACTAAAATCGCCGCGTGGCATTTCCATTTCCCTTGTCGAAAAAGGCACACAACTTTCTCCTTGGAAACAAACAACACATCAACTAACTAATCAATTTCGCAATGAACTCCAAGAGCAACAGCCTCGTAACACTCGGTACGCTTTGGATGGCAGCTGTCTCGGCGGATGCCGCTCGTCATGGGACATGGGGAATACCATCGCATCATCGTCATCATGGTAGGCGCCACATGCGACAAGAATCGGAGGACCATCCTCTGGTGGAGTTGGTGCGCGATATGTTCTCGGTCCCAGCCTATTCGTCAGTTATGCGTCCTCAGGGTTCCATCTTTGGCGGCGAGACGGAGATATCTTCTTCTCCTCGTATTGAAGTCTCGGAGGACGAAAATGGCACCGTGGAGCTCGTCATGGAACTACCGGGCGTGTCTGCTCGCGATCTGAACATTGAAGTGGAAAATGATCACGTCCTTCGAGTACAAGGCGTGCGCACTCGCCGCAAGAATGGATACCTCTCCAAATCGGAGTTTGATCAAACGATCCGCTTGAAGGACACGGTGGATGTGGATAAGCTCGAGGCAAACTTGTCCGCGGGGGTCTTAACGATTACGGTGCCGCAGAAACCTACCAAAATCAAGAAGCTATCCATATCCTCGAAGGATCCTGGCAGTATTTTGGATCATGCAACTACTCCCACAAAGAAGCCGAAGGGCTCCAAGAAGAAGATCGAAAAGAACGAGGATGAAGAAGTTGATTTTGACGATGACGAGATTATCTAGCTAGTCAGATACCGGTAGACCAACTTATCTTTTCATACACTGTGTAGTAGTTAGACGCATGCTCACTAGCTAGACTAGTAGTCTCTCCCTTCTCTTGAACTGTGTATCTTTGCGAGTTTGTCTACTAGCTAGTACCGGTACATGTATGATCCAGGGAAGGCCAACGATTTCCGAAGCGTTCCGGTGCGATTTGGATCTTTTGTCACTTCCCGCAAGACCCATCGTTTGTTGATGGGAAGTGGGAAGAGTGATTGGGTTGGAGGGAGGAGAGATCCTTTGTCGGCTCATGACAAATTATACAATGAACCACTCAACAGATTCCTCCTCCTCCTCCTCCTCCTCCTCCCCCGTGAGAATACGCATTGCTGTGATTGGGGCCGGTCCCTGTGGGATAACGGCAGCGAAGAATGTGATAGAATCAGGCCTTGATGATTTGGTGGTGTTCGAAAAGAGCGATGCCATTGGCGGCAATTGGGTCTATCGCAGCGAGACGCAACACTCCTCCGTCTACGAGTCTGCCCATACAATTAGCTCTCGTTATCTGTCGGAATACGAAGATTTTCCCTTTCCACCGGATGCTCCCGACTACCTGCCACACAAGTATCTGTGTCGATATTTTGAGCAGTATGCCGACCGCTTTCACGTGACCGACAAGATTCGCTTTCATACAGAAGTGCTACATGCCGAACCACTGGATGACGGATGGAAAATCCAGAGTCGCAATACGACAACCAACGAAACCAAAACAGAGCAATTTGCTGTGCTAATGGTCGCCAATGGACATCACTGGGATCCTCGCATGCCCCCCACATTGACCGGCTTTACAGGAGAACTGCTGCATTCGCATTCCTTCAAACACAACCGTCCCTTTCGCGACAAACGCGTACTGGTCATTGGAGGTGGAAATTCCGCGTGTGATGCCGCAGTCGAATGTAGCCGCGTGGCACAATCCACCCACTTGAGCATGAGACGAGGACATTGGTTCATTCCCAAATTCATTTTTGGCATTCCGACCGATGTCTTTCATGGTGGAACGGTTTGGATCCCCGTCCCCAGGTTTCTTCGAGATCTCATCTCCAAGTTTATCATCTATCTGATCCAGGGATCTCATCGGCGTCTGGGTTTGCAGACACCTTCCTATGGGGTCCTCGGGGGACACGTCACTATAAATTCGGAACTTGCCTATGCCTTGGGCCATGGAGCCATTATTCCCAAGCCGGGCATTCAAAGAGTCGACGGAAAGAATGTCTTCTTTCGCAATGGGACGTCACAGGAGTTTGACACCATCATTTGTGCCACAGGCTACAACATTAGCTTTCCATTTTTCGACAAGTCATTCATTGATTGGAAGGATGCTACATATGTTCCTCTGTGGCGACGCATGTTCCACCCGACACTGCGCAATCTATACTTTATTGGCCTCTTTCAACCCCTGGGGTGCATCTGGCCATTGGCCGATTATCAAGCCATGTTGGCTTGCCAAGAAATCTTGGGTCATTACCAACGACCCCGCAACATGGAGGCGGCTATTGACTGTGAACGTCGCCACCCGCACCATCGATTCATCGAGGCGCCCCGGCATTCGACCGAAGTAGATTATCATCAATATCGAAAGGAGCTACTGTTTGAAGTTGGGAAATGCGGAAAGAAACCGCATCGAGCAAATGCAGCCGCCCCGCTAGTAGATCGAACGAAACAGTTAGTGTAACAGAGTCTGTACAACAGCTGCTGGACGAGTTTCGCTCCTAATAAACTGACTTCTTTTGCTGATCCAAAGTAAACCCCAGCTTGATCCACTGCTAGTACATGAATCATTCTGATTTACTAGTACCTGGTACTGGTACCTCATCCTTGACCACACCGACAAGCTGGGCTTCCGCACCTCAATTCCCTCCGACGGCGGCAACTTTTTAAAAGATCGTTGGTATCTATTAAAATACCGGTACAGAACCATCCTAAGCTTGGACGGGGCTGAAACAGAAACCATTTCTAACTTCTATTGTACATTATCGTACAACTAGGCTGTTTGCCGTCTCCCTGCAAGGCATGCAAAAAGGTCCAAACCGTCCTGGTCCAATTCAGGAGTGTCCACGCCTAGCTAGAGCTAGCTAGTAGAAGAATGGAAAGTATGCCCAAAAGATAACAAAATGCAGTAGTTTATTAGTCATGTTGGGAATCTTATGGAGCCCTAGCTGAATATGATACCAGCCAAACAGCGAAGTGAGTATAGAGCTTTGCAGCACACATCCAGCAAAACAGCGATGGGAGTGGACCACGATCAAAAATTGACTGCTAAGCAATCATGAGTGAAAATTGGTTCATGTGTGACCGCACCTTTCTCCAGACCCAAACCCTAAAGATGGCCGCCTTATCTCCGGTCTTCGTTGCTGAAGATAGTTTATCATCGTCTCCGCCAGGCGCCCTAACATCGCCAATCTCAACGACCTCACTATTTAGAGAGTATTCCTTGCATGTTGTTTGTCTTTCAATCCGCCCCAACCACATTTCGAAAGAAAGCCTCAAGAAGAGCGTTGATCATATCATCATTAGCATTCATTACGTCGAGTCACTCGTTGAACGCTTTCAACTGCTTCACAGCCTATCGTTCAACGCCCACCGGGAAGGATCTGGCCCTCGGGTCAAAGATTAGTCATCCAAGTGCAATCAATACTTTGGACGAAGATAACAACACAACAAAGTAAGTCAAAAGCATCTTCTTCATTGCATCGGAATCCCCTTCGTAGAACGAGCCGATCGTATTCAGCGACAAATTGTGGTATCGAATTAAAATGTGTTTGGTGTTATGGAGCAGCCACTCACCCGGTTATTAGGGGTTCCACACGTGGGATTCGAATTATTTTGGTACGGGAACCAGCCAGTGCGCAGCGCTCTGAACGGCCGCGCTTGCTTTATGTGCCTGATCATCTTTTATATCACCAAACCACTCTCACGTAATCCTCCTTCGAAATCCTACCTCTTTATCATTGATTTCTCAATCCGTTGTTCGGTTCATTGGCTTCCAAACAAAGCTCCAAGCCGCCATGACGGGCACTCAATCAACGGCCGCGGAGGCGGCAACTGTCAAGAAGACCAAGACCACTCCTCCTGCTGTCATCACCGTGGATACTTCTACTGGCAAGGACGCTTCTTCGGCGGAGCAAAATGATGGGAAAACCACTCCGGGAGAAAAGAGCATGGGGCAAGCTCGGACTCCAAAACATGCCAACAAGGGACGTGAAGAGGATAACAAAGAAGCATCCGCCGCATCTTCGTCTGCTGCAGCAGCTCCTTCTTCCTCCGCTGCTGCTGCTTCATCTCATGGAGCATCCAAGTCGCAAATTACTCCGGAACGACACACTAGTCTCAAGTCTGGACCTGTAGATCAGTATGGTAGACCCATCGGTGGACCTCCTCGTCCTCCTTATGGTGGATTTTCTCCTCCTCGGCCGTATGAAGGCCGTCCATTAGGTGGAAATGGAGCCTTTCAGCCTCACGAATCGCGACAACCTGGCCGAAATGATCCACCGGCTTATTACGGTGGCCACGGCCGTCCACCAATGCATGTATCGCCACCTCATGGGCCTGGGCATGGAGATTACCGACCTGGATATTATGGAGGGCCACCGCCGGATTATCACCGAGGTGGATATCCGCCATATGATTCGAGAGGACCTCATTATGGGCATGATGGACCACCACCGCCTGGCTATCGTGGTCATCCAGGAGGTCAGTACAGGGGCCCACCATATCCTCCCAGTTACAGTGGGTATGAAGGTGGCAGCTGGGGTGGTCCTCCTTATGGTCATAGGCGTCCGCCTCCTTACCCAGGCATGGCACCCATGGAGTACCAACGACCACCAGCAAATACACATGAAGGTCGCTACATCGAACAGCCACCAGCAGATGGCAGCAGCTTTAGTAGGGCTGTCTCTTCTTCCTTTGGTAGTCGAACGGATGAAAAGCCAAGCGCCTCGGCCATGCCTAGAGACCCTCAAAATACAGATCAGAAAATGGACCCGCCACCAAGTCATCGATATGCCGGTGGACCGCCTCCGCCACACCCAAATTCGGCGGGCGGACCTCCTCCACCCCATGATGGAGAACATTCCGACGACAATTCATGGAGACAGCTCAATCAAGTGGCAAGTGTAGATGAAGGCGTCATGCGGGAACGAATGGTGAAACAGGAAGATAACTCAAGAGATATCAAAGTGGAGCAAGCAGCCAGCAACTCATCATCACTGACCAATTCGCCCACGGAAGCCCACGCCCACGAAAATGATGCAGACAAGAAGCGAGCATCCATCCCAACACCGTCCAAGTTGGCGTCTTTGGATTCCCTTTCATCGGTTGCCTCGGCTCAAGAACCACTGAATACAAACAAGGACGCAAAGGTGGCTGCAAATGCCAACCGCGACAACTCGGTGGGACACCTTAGTCCTGGCTCTTCGGCATCACTTGATTTGATGAAATGCTCGAGTGGCAGTAGTGGTCTGTTGCACCTGGCGAGTCAAGGATGGAGCGCCCCGCCGACGGATACTAGAATCGACTCGAAGCGATCACGCGATGAGGAACGAGGAGATGCCGACACATCCAAAACTGGAGAACACACCGAGCTACGACGGGCACCGACCACTGAGACAGATGGAAACCATGGAGAATCTACCGAGGCACGTCCCACAAAGAGAGGCCGCACCGACGAAGCCAGTGCAGCAGAACCTGGCAAGGAATCTGCAAAGTATAAAGAGTCACCCCTGTCAATTGCTTGCAGTCCACCTCATTCTCCTGGGAAAACCAAGAACGATCGAAAACCTCCTCCAGCTGCAGCAGCTGCTCCAGCACCACCGGGTTCTCATAAGGAGCGCTATTACCAGTCTCCTGGCCAGCTAGAGGGAAATTACTTTGACAAGGCACCGTCCTACACCTACTCCATGGACTCTGCCCCACCATTCCCCAAGGACAATCAACGTCCTGCAGGGTATCCTCCACTTCCCCATCGCCCTGGGTCTTCCTCCTCCTCAACCCTTACTCCTATGCAAGTAGAAGGGCACGATAACCATCAACCAAGCGGGGTGGGTCCATCTCTGCCTTCTTGGGAGATTCAGCAGCAAGACAGCTTTAGCGGGGGCAGTGCTGGCGGTGGAGCTCCGCTGATGAATAGCTTTAGCTTTTCGCAGGACTATCCCATGCTTTCCAGTAGCGGGAGCAACCTTGGCAACTATGACCACGGCCCCGCGATGCCTCCGCTTGGTTCTAGCCATCCGGGCAATCCTCCTCCACCATCAGCATCAGCATCGGGTCAGGCGCTTGAATCCAGAAATCAGTCATTCGAGGGAGGCCATTACCATGGAAGTTTCAGTCGCTCCGAGAGTATGGACATGAGCTATGGTAGCCAGCGACCTCCGCCGCCTTACAACGAAAACTACAAGTCCCACCACCCTCCGCCAGGTTATATCCATCATGCTCCATCGTGGGGTTCGCATGGACCACCACCTGGTGCACAAGGTCACTATGGACAGTACTCCCGCATCTCACATTCGGCAAGTTTTTCTCAGGGAGGTCCAGGCCCAGGCCCCATGATGCGCAACTACTCGGAAGAGCGTGTTTCTCCTCCACCTGGCCCGCCAGGAATCCGTCACGGCGCAAACCCACCGGGTCGCTCCAGTTTCCAGCCTCCTCCAGAGTTCATGGCTCCTCACAACCCTCACCTGACTAGGCGCCCACAGCAAGCTGTCTATCTGATGTCATCTCCACCTGGAGGACACAGCGGGTCATCCAAGTCAGCTAGTGGAACTTTTTCGTGGTCCAAGGAAGACGATATTCGCTTGACGGAAATCATGAAGAAGTACAAGAACCCCCGAGACTGGGAGCCCATTGCCAAAGAGCACGGGCGAGGTCGAACGTGAGCATCTTTTTCAGTGTAATGACGGTGGCGTCCTGTCTTGTCTTGTCTTGTCTTGTCTTTGTTTCTAAACCTTCTTGTTGTCTTGTTATTCTTTGCAGCTCGAAAGAGTGTCACGAACGTTGGATTCGATACCTAAAACCTGGAGTGCGAAAGGGTCAGTGGACGGATCACGAGGATGCAATCGTCATCGAGGCCGTCACAACTTCTTCGGAGCAACCTTTCACAAGATGGTCGGACTTGGCACAGCGACTACCAGGTCGAGTTGGAAAACAGATCCGAGATCGTTGGGTCAATCATCTTAATCCAGAGATCAACCATTTGCCTTTTTCTCGAGAAGATGATTTACTCCTATGGGATGGTCACAAGAAGCTGGGCAAGCGATGGGTGGAGATTTCAACCAAGTTCTTCAACTCTAGCAGGTCGGAAAACCACATCAAGAATCGGTGGTACAGTGCTTCCTTCAAAAAGTTCATCGCAAACGAGTTTGGGGCGGATGCATACAATGGGGGGAAGGGTTCAAAGAAGGAATCACCGAGCAAGAAGAAGAAACCACCCACAATCAAGGAAGAGGAGGAGGCATCTGAAGTCCAGGCGATTTAAGCAGCTTTCTATACACGCACTACTACAATACATGCATCAACAACATTGCTGGTGTCAGAGGTGACCCAGCACACTTGAATGGCACTGTTGATTTTGGAAATCAGCAGTTGGTTCGCTTTTATACAGACATGCCAAGAACCCCGGGTCTATTCCATGGGAAGAAGATTGACAATTGGGTTGTCAATGCTCTTTGTGCCAAGCCTCCTTTGCTGCAACTCCGAGTATACTATGTATGCGCAGATTATTGCGTCGTCCCGTGAGTTCGCAAGGAGGGTAGCGGTACCGGTAACAATTAGATGATTTGACTTTATACTACTGGACGTCTTTTGGTTGTGGTATCGCGTTTGGAACTCGTCGTCCCTACTAGCTCTCCACCTGGCATTTTAATCGTCAAGCATCAGTGCCTCTTCCCATGTTGCCATCGCCAGGCTCCAATCTTTTCTCTCAAGATTAGATGGATGCAAATGCCTCCAATCCAATTCTTGTACTAGAGCTAGACTACATGTACTACTAGTAGTTGCTGCTGCTTCATAATACAGCTCTACATAGTTGTAACTACTGAGACTTTAATAATACCAGAGCTGGGTCAAGCAACCTTAGTAGTATTGAATGAAATCTAAAACCTACCTAGCTAGATGCTGCCTTGCAAAAATGTTCTGATGTGATCAGGTTTTGCGTATATACGTACGGTAGCCTTTTTGCTTCCATCCTGGTCATTGTTTTCTCTATTTATTTGGTGAGTTTTCCCAAAACAACGGAACCAGCAAATGATGCAACGGGGGCAGCAAGTCCCAAAACACCCACAGCCAAAGTTTGTACAGCAACATTTACGGCAGTGTCATCGGGGACAACAGCAACAATTCCGGCGGCGGCGATAAGACTAGCAATTCCAGCAGCCTGAAGACCAGCAGGTGGGATTCCAATGGCAGCAGTCGCAAGAGGAAGACCAGCGGGAGCCAATTCGATAATGGTAGGAAGGATGGGAAGGAGATCAGGTCCAGATGCTTCCACCAAGATCAAAAGTTCGGGCTGTTCCGCGACATATCCCAAGATAGTTTCCAACTTGGAAAGGGAGATTCCAGCTGCTTGGGCCTTGGACAAGAGTCCAGACTTGGCGACAGCAGACAAAAGTTTGGATTCTTCAATTTGCGCCAACAATTCCTTAATCGCAATGTTGTTTCCAATGGCGTCGACCTCTGTGTCCAGTGATGCGGCAGCCAATGGCTTGGCAGCGAACTGTCTGGGGGCGCTTGCAGGAGCAAAGGCGGCAACAGCCGAGCACAGAAGAGCTGTGGAGAAACGACCAATAGGTGAGCAAAATTTCTAAAGGCAAAGATACCCAACACAAAGACCCCGACAACGCTGCTTCAAAGCGCCAGATAACCCAAGAAACAGCAACGGCATGTCTCCATGCTACCCCATTATCCTTATCTCCCTACCAACATCCAGCCGCAAAACACGTACCAGCGATAAGAAGGCTTAGCTTGACCATGGTTGCGATTGGGATGTGAAAGTTGAAGTTGTGAAGAGAGCGAGGTGTGCATTGCAAAGAAGAGGCCACCATGAGCTACATGCTTCGTCGTAGTACGTAAGCAAAGCGGAGCAAAGCCAACTCGAAGTACGAAGATCGCGGGAACGGAATGCTTGTTGTTTGGGAAAAAGAGTGTGCGTCAGCGAATGGAGCCTTGCTACAGTAAGGTTAGAAGTATCCAGTACTACATACATACCGGTAGTACTGGCACTTCGCCGGCATGCCGGCATCTCAGCCTTCATGCCTTCAATTCACAGAAGCTGAATCTCCAGAATCCAGAACATCAAGCCATAATAGGAGATAGATAGACTACATGTTGTTGCCGTGGTTTCAAGGTTGTTCTATTCGCCATATTCGTACCGTTGCCACCACCAGAACCTTCAGCAGCGCCATGACGAGTCTCTACGATCTATCCGACAAAAAGATTGACGGCCAAGAGGTCAATTTCTCGTCCTATCAGGGATCTGCCATCTTGTTCGTGAATGTAGCCTCCAACTGAGGCCTGACCAAGCTCAACTATACCCAACTGCCACAACTACATGATGAACTCGGAGGAAGTTCATTCAAGATTTTGGCATTCCCCTGTAATCAGTTTGGAAAGCAAGAACCAGGGACGGCACAAGAGATTCTCGAATTTGTCAAGCAATTTGACGACAAAATGGAGGAGAAACTCGAATTCTTTGAAAAGGGAGATGTCAACGGAGACGACGCTCGCCAAGTCTACAAATTGCTCACCACGGCGCTCCCAGAAGAAGATGGATCCATTGATATCCCTTGGAACTTTGGTGCGTGATTGTTCGTTTTGCCAACAGATGTTGCGTGTGTCTGCTTTGCTATGGAATATTCGTAAGGAAAGCACAACTGACCGCAGTGTATCATAATTGTTTGCATATTATGTGCTTCCAATAGCCAAGTTCCTGGTTGATAGTTCTGGAAAACCAATCAAGAGGTACTCGCCAAAGACTGCTCCCGTGGATATCAAGCCTGATATCGAGGCTCTTCTAAAAGAGGGATCTTCTTAGGCACAAAGAAACCAGACCGCGTACAGTATCAAAATGGGCTGTTGGTACCTCCAATCGGAAACAAAGCACTCTGGAATGACGGTTTGACTACACTTTCAGCTCGGTCAAACCTGAACAACAATCGTACTACCACCGACCAAACAAACAACAACACAACAAGGCTTTTTGCGTATCTTGGTATAGTTTGAGCAGGGCTACTAAGTTGTGTTGGAGGTCACTGAAAACACGATCAGAAGGCTTTGTTTTCATGGAGTTACACAGTCATCACACTGAACCGGCTGGTCCCTAATACTATCTCTGAATTCTCGTTATATCAATCATGACGAACGTTCGATGTGTTGAATGTATGCATACCCTCCGGACTTCCGCCCAACCACGGAGTACCGTACATAAAAAATAACAGCTAGAACCATTCTAGACATCATAGTTACCTAAACAAAAGAAATATCAGAAGACCCCCGGGATGCTGCCGAGCATCCGTTCCGAACATAGGCAGCAGCACGATCATGTGAGCTATAGCTAGTAGATCACCTTCAGCCGCTTCGAGAGTTATGTGAAGGGATTCATCATTTCCACACGCATCACCGGGTTTTTCCAGTCATATTCGTTTGCCTTGAGATCTGCAATTCCAAAGATTCCGCGGTGGACGTGGACAAAGCCTTCGCCGTTTCCTGCTCTGACATTATCGTCATCGTCGCAGGCTGACCCAGGAATGGCAGCGCATTGTTCGTTGTTGACCTCGGAGCCGGCATCATACATGGGACCCGTAATGACTAGATTGGGAATTATTCGCACACCATTCAGTGCTACAAAGCCATCGTTGGTGTTCAGGGCCATGCCAGCAATTGTCAAGTAGGGGAACAACGGGCGGTAGGGTAAGGTGACGAAGATGTCCATACCTCCACCCCACGGAGAACCCTCGGTATAGATTCCCGAAAAGAATACACCTTCTCCGTCAGCGTAGGCTTCAGCCATAGGCTCAGGGTCGCCATTCTCGGCAAGGATTTGTAACGTCTGACGAGGCTCGTCGCCCAACGTGAATATCGGGATGGCGTCAGCGTTGTGGACCATGACAAACAGGGGACCAAACGGTTGCTTGTATGTCAAGTTTGTTATCTTCAATGTAATCGTCAGTGTATCTCTGGCGATACCAAGCCCTCCCAAGTCGTCATCGAAGAACTCGTCGTCAAGAAGTCCGCTTCTCCCGCGGTCGAAGGAGCCGCTGCTCGCACCCTTGAGGTCTCTCTTGCGAAATCGCCTCTCCTTTCTACCCTTTTCCTTGTCATCAGCTGATATGGCTAGTATCAGAAGCGCTAGGATGAAACTTCTTATCATCAGCATCATTGTCGGTTTGTCCTTTGTTGTTCTCACGGTTTGCCTGACAACAGCTCTCGAGTTTAGCCGTTGGTTGTTCCGAAAATTTTGCTCGGCCGGAGCTTGCGGTGCACCTGCTTCGCGCACCTCTACAGTAGTACCAGTAGTAGCCTCGAGCAACCTTCGTTTGCCAGTGGTACCAGGTACGGTACCACCACCGGTCCTGCTCACAGGTACTACAGTACGGTCCTATCGGTAGTGCCAAGGTTTAAAAGCTAAGGTAGATTTCTGCATCGTCTACCAAGAGACAAAAGACCACCATCGGTGGACGGGTCGTCCTCCGCGAGGCTACGACCGACCCCCAAGGTTTCTGGTGAAAGACCATCTACATAGCTAGCTATCTACGCTGCTTCGCTAGCCAGCCAGCTAGTGACAAGTTGTTTCACCAAAGCAAGAGAGCCAGAAGAGTAATCTACAGAACTGTGCCTCACAATGCCAGCGCCATTCGCACTGGCAATTGGTGCCAAGTTCTTTCTGCGCCGGACATCTCTGTCTATTTTGCAGGAGTTGATCAGCTTTTCCGGGGATTCGATTCTCTGAATCTTTTCAGTACTCAAGTGACTCACTGTTGCATAGGCTGCAGTGTCGTGTCCCTAAAGTCTTGAAGTGCTGATTGGGTTGCCTTGCCATAGGATGCTCAGTTCGATGCTGTTTGTTAAGAACGTGAATGTCTCGGTTGAGTCAGAAGAATGATGATGGAGGTGCAAAGCTGCGGAATTGATTGGCGCAGTGTCTTCTGAGTCTGACTTGCATTTTTGTAGAGGAGACGCATGCCGTCAAAGAAATTAAGCCAGCGGAGCTGTGTAACCTCGGCAGAAAGGTTTCAGTGTAGAAGCAGATACCCCTATAGCTAGCTAACTAGAAGCAGACACCTCTAGTGCTTAGCTAGTGCTTAACTTGTGCTTAGCTAGCTAGAAGCAAATCCCCCCTAGCTAGAAGCAGATTCCCATAGCAAGCTAGAAGCAGACACCCCTAGCTAGCTAGAATACTAGTTATATAGCTTTCGCTGGCTTTAGAGTTTTTCCTGGTAGACGCAGATCCTCCTACTAGGATGGATGTAAATTGCTTTAGCTGGTTTGCACCATCCTAGCTAGTAGGATACTTGCTTAGTTTTTGCTGACTTAATTGTATTCTAACCCTAACCTTATACCTGCAGGGACCACCGTAGCAGGAAAAACAATTAAAGGGGTTGAGGGCTCTGGCAGCAAGACTGCCGAGGTAAATGTTAGTTTGTTTGGGTTTTGGTATTTTGCTGGGTTGCCCCTACATATCCTGCCCGTGCTTGTGAAAACTATTCTGCTTATGCCTCAGTTGAAAATGCTGCATGAAGGAGTTCTAGAAATTGAGTAACCCCCTACACAACGGAGAACACACAACAAGCACTAGCTACATCAACTACTAAGGGGTGGGGGTTCGTTAGAAGCCCAACCGTTCTCTACTGTCTGCCCCTACTGGTATTTGTCGACCAATTGAATTTAGATTATTGTGCTAACTCTTAAAGAAAACTCAAGGGAAAACTATGGCCTCTTCAGAACAGGGGTGCTTCCAACAGCACCAGCAGGGCCGGCGCAGAAACCACTCTCAACAGTACGGTACAAGTATTCCAATAAAGACGGATTGCTCCTTAGAACGCTCCAGCTTCGGCAAGCTCCAAATCTTCAGCAGCCATGACATCATAGACACACTGGTCCTTCAAGTCTCCCCAGTGTTCACAGGCTTCCTCGGCAGCTTCCATAGAAATGGTGGGCTTTTCACCAAGAAGACGGCGACCTTCTCTTTCAGGGCCAGGCATAGTGCATTGCACTGGGTGCTGGGGGAATCTGTTGCCCTGGAAGAGCTTGGGCTCAGTCCCAAGGACTTGCCATTCATTGCCAAATGCATCGGCATCAGTCATGACAGTTCCATTGCGGGAAAGCCACTTGCCCGTTCCAAACTCTCCCAAGAGACCCTGGCTGCCACGGTACTCGTCAAAGCTTGCACCCACAGTCTTGACACTGACCAGGTCCTTGAAGGATTGAATGACAATCTGTTTTCCTTCTCCAAGCTCAATAGTGAAAATGTCTTGCTTGGAGTTGACCTTCTCGTGGAGGACAGGGTACTTGTCATCCATTGTGTTCAGCTCTGCATTGAAGATGCCGTCCAACATGTAGCTACCATATCCACCAACCTCCAAAACACTGTCTCCGATTTGAACAACAGCAGACTCAATGAAAGAGTACTGGTAGCGAGCCTTGGTTCGAATGTGGATCGCCAATCTAGTTCCATGTCCAAACTTGGGGCTGTCAACAAAGACCAAGTCACATTCTCCATGGAAATCAAACCACTCTCCAACCCAAGTCTTGAAGTGGGGGTCACCTGTGCCAGCTCCATCAATGATTGGTTCACAAGGTTCGAGGATGAGAGACCATGACACAAGATTTCCAGTGTCACCTCCAAAGTTGTCATCGATGTGAAGTGACCAGTAACCTGTTGATTGCTGGCCATCGAAAGTAGAGAGAGTCCCTTCTGGCCGAATGTCTATTCCATCTTGATTACAAAGGGGAGTTTTGTGATCCGCTCCATCAAGAGTTTGGGTAGCGGCATCATCAAAAGTAACAACAAGATCATCAGTGGACCCACAATCGTTATGTTGCAGCTGAACAAGGGGATCAGTTGTTCCCGTTGGCGCATCTAGGCCGATGTCAATATCCAAATCTTCGGTCCAAGTATGTTCTATGTGCACCGCAACTTTAACATCACATACTTCAAAGCTGGCATCCACAAAAATGTTGGAGATGGTTGGTCCACTGCTTTGTGTGGGATCCAGTGGAATTCGTAAGTTACTGTTGGCAGCATCCGAAGTATAAGTAACAGCCTGAGCCTTGGTAGAAGACATGTTGCCAAGGAGGCCAAGAGCAAGGAGAGATAGCTTGGTGAACATGTTGGTAGTTTGGTTTTGTGGGAATTGAAATCTCAGTACTGCACCAGTTGTTGTTCTCGGTTCTAATTGAAGTCGTTGGACTTTCGAATTGTGAGCTTCTCCACCTGCATCAAATTCACCAAGCAATAACGTGACCATACCTACGAACATCTAGCTTCCTGGTAGCCAACCGTGGAATGCCACCGGTATGTACCCGTACATTGTACCGGCGCCATGCTGCCGATGTACCGGCACCATACGGGAAAGGAATGTTGGTCCCAGATTGTAGAAATTGAGATGCTCAACAATGCCGCCGGTATGGTACATCGTACCGGCGCCATGCTGCCGATGTACCGGCACCATACGGGAAAGGAATATCGGTCCCAGATTGTAAATCCGTGAAAGAAATTGAGATTGACCCTTACAAAATTTTAAAATAGTAGGACTCCTATCTCCTATCATTCTAGCTAGTAGCAAAAAGTGATTCGATTCGATTCTACTAGCTAGATCTAACTTTAGAAGTAGATCTTTAGAAGTTTACTCACACACTGCAGAATCGCAAAAAAAAGGAATAGTCGACTGCTGAAGGAACAAGGAACAAAGAGTTACGGTATGTTTGGAGTCCTACTAACCTCGGCAGTCTTGCTGCCAGAGCCCTCAACCCCTTTAATTGTTTTTCCTGCTACGGTGGTCCCTGCAGGTATAAGGGTAGGGTTAGAATACAAATAAGTCAGCAAAAACTAAATAAGTATCCTGGGATGGTGCTTTAAACCAGCTAAAGCTATTTACATGCATCCTAGTAGGGGGATCTGCTTCTACCAGGAAAAACTCTAAAGCCAGCGAAAGCTATATAACTTGTATTCTAGCTAGCTAGGGGTATCTGCTTCTAGCTTGCTATGGGAATCTGCTTCTAGCTAGGGGGAATCTGCTTCTAGCTAGCTAAGCGCAAGTTAAGCACTAGCTAAGCACTAGAGGTATCTGCTTCTAGCTAGCTAGCTCGGGGTATCTGCTTCTACATGTAAACACTGAAACCTTTCTGCCGAGGTTACACAGCTCCGCTGGCTTATTAATTAATAGCTAAGTACACCTAGTTTCAGTTTCAATCACGATACGATGCTTTTTACAGGGAGCTCCTTGGCCACTTGGGCATGGGGCAGAGCAAACGAAAAAATGTTATTGCATGTACCTAGCTAGTGTGTTCGCCTGTGCGACCAACCATCCAGTTTTTTCAGATAGAGGAAACTTTCGCGGTCTAGTGCGTGTTTTATGTGTGTATGTGTGTATTATTGAGCATTAATTAAAATGGAGGGCTCAAGTGAGATCTAATATTTAATTCCTTTCAGCAATTTTCAACAGATTCAAATGCTTTAATTCTTACTGATCTCAATGATACCAAATACTTAATTAAGGAGTGTTTCGGCTGGGTCCACGTGACCATTAGTCACCATTTGGCGATTCGAATGCAAGTGACATTTCTAAGCGACTTTCAGAAACAAAGAAGTAGTTTTCCAACAAGCCATTAATCGCCATCTAATTATTACTGTACAGTACAGTACTTTCCCACGGGGAATACTGTGTTCCTTGGTTTTAAGAAATGCAATAACATGAGATTAGCACGAAAACAACCTCTATCATCCTAATGCTCCCTGGTTGCATCGCCAAATAGACATACAATACCTTTGTTTTGGCCATTACATGTAATAGACTATCTTGTACAGTGCACTTTACTGCATCTGAGTATGCCAAAAGAAACATAAAAGAGGCTAATGCGTGCTAGTGCTTTATTGCCAAAGTTAACACCGTCACCGCGACAACCACGGTTTCGGAATACCAGCTTCAGTCACCGATTGTGTATATGGATCAACACATTTTATGTTTCTTTTATGACACTCTGATAGAGCTACTCCACCTCCACAAGGCATACTATAACACTCTATGTAAACTTGCCACTCGTGTGGAGCATGAATTGGTTGAAGGCAGCATCTCCAAATGGAGGTTTGTTGTTGTTGTCATGCTTTTCTCATGTTGTTTGCGAAGCACGACTGAAACTGGCCCTTACCCCGTGGGACATCCTTAAAATGCCAAAGCCCTTCGCACTGGCCAAGGTGCGGAAAGATGCTACTGTACGTTGTACTCCGTGGTATACCATTCATTATTTGATTCTAGTGAAAGCGCTACTTTAAAAAGCCTCAGTCTGTTTGAGTCCTAGTCAGACCTATCATGAGACCGCCTTGATTGTTGTCGCTTGAACTTTCACAATAACGAACGCTCAGTTGGCAAGGATTGGCGTCGTCCAAGTTCCGCAGCAAATACTCCCGCAACATAGGATTCGGAAGAGCGACATTCCCAGCCTGCTGCATTCGAATGACTTCCAAAATACTGTCCTGACCATTTGTGTCCTGCAGCTCGACTTCATCTCCATCCGCGTGCTTCATGATGTGCTGTACTGAATCATACTGGCCAGGGAATTTTTGAAGGAGGGAAGTAGCCAGCGCAATCATGATTTCTGACTCACTCAAGGCAGCACAGACCTCCTCGCACAAATGAATTGCTTCAATGGAGACAAAGTTCGCGCCATTGCTTCTGGGACCTGCTTGCATGTTATAGAAGGCGTTGGTAGCATTGGATGCCTCACTGCCTAAAACCTCCAGAACCTCCTCTGTCTTGTTTCGTAGTCGCTGAATCGAACTTTCAACTACCTTCACTTTCACAGCATCTTTAGCAGATGCCACCAGAGTATAGTATGAATTCGAAAACGTTACTGCCATCAGCTGGTTCACCATGATAGCCGGGTGCTGGAGAGCGTGAAACAAAAGCACAAGGGTTCAGCGTTCATGTGCAAACCAGAACTGCTATGGGCAAATCGGCCTTGACCTTACCATATTCTCCAGATAGTCCAGTGTCATTTCGACTGTGCTGAAGACCTCAAATAGTGGATTCTGCTCTGAAGCAGGCACAGCCGTAGCTTCGTCCCATGTATTTGACCAGAAATTTCTCGTCTCGTTTAGGATGTGGATGGCTTCGGTGGCCTTGTCCAGTTTGACTGCCACTGACTCAGTGGTTGCGAGACCACTGTGTGATGGTTGTGAATTCACTGTTGAGCTGCGTGGAGCGTAGTCCTCGAGGGGGTTCCCAGGATTCCCGTACCAGCTGACGAAATCCTGAAAGATTGCTCCAGGATTTGCGGCTTTGAATGCGTTCATGTCGCTGAGAAGCTTTGGTTTTTGAAGCCGATAAGCGATCTCGAGCCTCTGTTGGACGGGCACTCGGGAGGCTTCTGAAGCATCCAAATCCGATCCATCCATGTCGGATCCAGCTAGCATGACGCGACGATCCAATATCATGTCATCCGTCAAGGGCTCGGGTCTCAGTAGATACGGAGCATAAACCTGATCCCCACTTGCAACGAGGCTGCACCCGTGGAGTGGACATCTTGCTCCTTTCCTGTCAATCCTGTGAACCACAGTGGTTGCCAGATTTTTTGAGAAAAAGGAAGCATTCGAGAATATGCTCATGCCGCATTCTTCTGCGTCGAAAAATTCGCTGTCGACGCTGTCAGAAGCTGTGGAAGTATCTTCCTTGTCGACCGGTATGGGCGCGGGCTTCTCTTTCATCAACAACCCGTCGATAATAGCATTGTTGCGGCTTCGACCCTTGAACAAATCTGACGGCAACTGAAAGGAGCTCAGCGAGGACATGCTTCCAGCCATTCCACTTGTCGGTGACTTCAGCTGAGCCTCTTCCTTCGAGGGAGCCGGGGTCAAACCGTCTGAAATCATGCTGACCAAAGAGGTGGCCCTAGCTGGCATTTGCACTGATGAGTTGGAGCCATCGTTCATCTTGTCAAGGTCAGACGACGTGGGCGAATCCATGCTTTGTTCAGTTGGGTCCTGATCATCAAACGATCTCTCTCTTTGGGCTTCCATCGCAGTCATCGTCTCAATCCCTATGTTAAATACCTTTCATAAAAATAAAACCACAGTCAAACACGCAATGTGAGTGCTTGGTCATAAACTTTCGGAGTGATTCTATTCTACGGGGTCACTACGCACCTGCAACTTTTGTCCAATCAAGCAATGTTGATCATCTGGATCCGGTTCGGAACAGTTTAGGAATGCCGCCAAATCTGAAAACACAAATGTGAGCGCTTCGTCGTTCACACATGCTTGCACGTCCATCTCATCTGATTCATTTACGCACCTGCCTTGACACCAATAGTAGACCACTTGCGACGTTCCGCCAAAACCGTCGGGGATGGATCCAAGCCAGGGACAAAGCTCATATGCGGCAGCGGCTCTCGAGAACCCCATCGATGGCGAAGTTCATGGCAAAACGTGCTCCACAAGAGCGCCATACTGCACGGAGTTCGTAGCTGCGCCATGCGTGCACATAAATCGGATAGCAAGCGACCAATCGGAGCTGACTGAAACAACGGTTCCAACAAGGGGTGCTTGTTTTGATTGTAGAGACCTTGTTGCCGAGAAAACATGTCATCCGGAGGACTCGGGAAGCCGTACGAAGAGTTCCCCTCAAATACTTCCGTGACGATCTCTTGGGCTCGCTCTGTCGCGATCATTTCTTCGGCGCAAGTTTTCCAATCCATGACATCCACCAGTGTCATGGTGGCGTCTCCCACCTTTGCCCTTTGTGAAATTTGCATGGCAGCGCGGTCCCCCGCGTCATGGTCCCAGTCCTCGACAATGTCTTCTTCCCAGAGAAGATGTCGTAGCAAAGTAAGAGGCGCCAACGTACATGTTCGGATCAAGCACGCCAGAACACATCGTTGCGTCGTAGCCAGCGTTGGCTCCAATGCTTGACTATCCAGGAATGCCTTTAACCGAAAGGAAGATGCTCGCTTGGGATCCAGCAACAAGTGGGTCGAGTCACTGCTGGTCGGAGAGGGAAATGACGCCAGAGCCTGGATGGTGGAGGACGACTTTTTGTCGTCTTCCACAATGCATTCGGAATTCCACACCACTTTGGCGTGAACGGCCTTGATGGGATCATCTGTCGGTCCCCACGCATTCCGTCCAGTGCCTTGTTCCATGATTTTCAAGGCATGCGCCCGACACGCATGATGATAATCTTCAATCTCTTCTTGCTGGAACGGGAGCGCTGCCAAAACTTGCTGTGTCGGTGGATTGCTTGCTTGCTGTTGTTGTTGTTTCCAGTACTCTTTTGGATCCATTCCTCTCCACGATTGTGTTTCCTCGGCTGGGACCTGATCTTTCCACCAGGCATAGACGTGTCGAGCGCCACTGAGTACGACTACCGAATTGTTATTATTATTACTGTGGGTGTCGTCGTCACAATAGCGTAGGAGCAACTGTCCCCAGGTGGACATTCGATCGACCGCCACTCCGGTTTGCGGCAATACGGCGCAGGTGAAATTGGCATAGACATCGGTGGTGGGAATCACAGATCCCGTCACCAACGGTGGAATGTAGGCTGCGTTGACATCTTGCTGAATTGTCTTTTGTTGGGAGGACGACGTTGCAATCCCCATGCTCCCCGTCGACTTGGATCGTCGTCGGGGAGAAAAGGGTGTCAATTTGCCTGACGATCGTTTGTGTGGTCGCTTTTGTTGTTGCTGCTGCTGTTGCTCCATGGTCATGACAGCCTGTTGTATCTGTGCGTTGGCTCTGACTGTATCCAGCCACGGAGGAAAGACGGGAATGAGTGCCTTGTTGCATGGTTGTTGTTGTTGTTGGACTTGTAATGAGCCAGTACTACTAATGTCGTCGGCAAAGGAGGCGTAGGAAGAGGACGCTGTCAAAGATGATGGTTGTTGTGGGAGTGATGGGTAGTGTCCCCATACTCCAAACACGGGAAGACAGGATTGGCAATTCATGGCGGCATTGTTGAGTGCTGTCTGCAGCCATGTGGCAAGTATCTGTGTCAAGACTTGACGTGCCGGTTGTGGTTTGTGTCGGCCTAAAAGGGACTGGCAGAGTAGCGCCAAACTGTTGTTATTGTTGTTGTTGTTGGGTTGCTGCAGTTCCATGTCAGGTTGGACGGGCGTTAGAGTAATGTGTTGTCCAATGCCAAAGAGAGTGGAGAAGTTGTCAAAGAGCGATTCTGGCAAGTATGTCAAGTCTTGATCATGTTGTGGTCGTTGCAAAGATTTGGGCAAGTGGCTGTACTTTTCCCGTTTCTTCTTTTTCTTCTTGGACTTGCTGTTGCTGCTTTGACCTCTCTCATCTTCTTCTTCTTCGTAGTCATCTTCATCATCATCGTCCAACCAATCCGTGCAAGTCGTGTGGTTGCTGCTGTCCATATCATCGTCCAAACCGATGGAGAACGTATCTTTGATATCCTTGAGTCTCTTGTCCAAGGCGCATTCGTCATTGCTGACACTGGATCGTCGACTGCCTTTCTTGCTCTTGTGGAGGACCGACTTGAAGAAGCCTCCCTTGGTTTTCTTACTGGGGCTCTTGGGACTACCACTCTGGCTGCTTTGATGATTTCGATTTCGTCGACTGCTCTTTTTCTTTTTGCGTTGCGGAGCTCTCGAAGCGGGTCCATCCCAGAGAGACAATTGGAGTGGGATGGAGAGGTTGCCATGGGCCGTCCATGTCAAGCGTTCCGTGCGGAGTTGACTGAGTCCATTCCTGTCGGTGTTGACGGAATAGTGGCGATCGCAGCCGTCATGAATGTGCCACGAACGCAGCAAGGACTCCACATCTCTCGTCAACCGTTCCACGGATGTACTGCACGAGTAGTCAATGTACTCTTCCTCTTTGTGAAGTGTATTGTTGCACATACTGTTGCCTGGCGACATTGGAAGACAGACAGAACCAAAAGATCAGAAATGAGCAAACTTGACACAGCTCTGAGATGATGGTATGCTATGGATAGAGAGAGAGAATGTCCTGTTGGTGGCAACAGTAGACTTTCTTCTTCTTGATGGAGGGATGCGTGTGTGCTTGGTTTTGCCAAAACTGGAGTCAAATCAAATCAGCGATACCAACAACGTCAAACTGATCCTTGCCAATTCAAAAATGAGGCTCATGCAACTCTTTAGACTTTTAGTTAGTTAGTTAGTTAGTTGTCTTCTTGTATGTTGACGTGGTGCAACCAATGGAACGCCACGGTGTCGAGCCTTCACGCGAAGATCAAAGCAACGCCCCAAGAAACCAAGAACCAAACAGCTGCTTGTCTTGAAACTGCCTTGTCTTTTTTCCACACTCTTCATCCAAGAACTGCGCCGCCATTCTCGCCCATTTGAACTTGCCTCGAAGGGGCAATGCCAAACCGTCAAAATAAAAATGGCCAGGTCAGACGCCAAAGTCGATAAACCAATCAAAACACACGCCAAAGAGCTCAGTCAGGCCATGGCGTTATTTGGGTTCTCGCACTTCTTCACTTCGTAAATCAGCTGAGCTTCTTACTTAAGTATCGTGGAGCTCTCATACTACGTGGCACAGTTCGGCATTCCTATTCCTTAAAACAAGTTCTCTGACGAAGAGGAATCATAAATCAAAATCTTGCTGGCACGCTTCGCTATTGACTTTGGATGTCAGAACATTTTAAGCTTTTAAAGCTACCTTACATCCTGGGACTGTCATTTATTTGTATCTTGTACTATTATAGTATCTCTTGTATCCGCATCATGCCTTTCTCTCGGGAGTTCATTCCATCAGGCCCATCTATCTTGGCAGCAGAGGAACCACTGACTGTACGGTACCACTCTCACTCTACTCACTCGTTTCTGTGGTGGTGGTACGATTGTCATCCAAAATCTTCAACGAAGCCTCCAAATGGGCGGGGGGAGTGACTTCACGGACCACTTCGTACAGGATGGATTCGGTAACCTCGCCACAGCCATGAGCTACCAGACCGTTGTCAAGACCACTGCGCGTGAAATGGCGAAACAGAAATGGGGTAGCACCAATTACCTTGTCGTGCATCACTTTGGAGTTTTCTTTCCAGATAAATGAGGGAGACATGATGCACCGTATGTTTAGTTAGATACTTGGCTGGTTGGTCTTGGCCTGGCTGGGGGTCGTTGCGTTGCTCGTTGGGTTAGGTCGTTTTGCTAGAGTGCGTCTCGAGGCAGTGGCTGGATGAATTATGTGAACGTCTCTTGGAGGAGTCGTTCGCTCTGTGGGATTCAACGACTTGGTCTCTCCGTCGTGTATGAAGATCTTCTGGGCTAGAGCTACGTGTCAGTAAGAGTGGCAGCAACGACGATTCAATCATTCACGACATGATGTACCGGTACCACAGCTACTACCAAACGCAACTGTAGTACGAGGTATCCTCCACATGGCGTCCATTAGGCACATCAATGATTCAATCAAATCAGCAAGACGCAACCGCCATAAGCTGGGCTCTAGCTAGAGATCCAACAAATGTCGATTCGGCTTGGTGGATCGAGCTTTCAGTCGTCAGAGTAGAGTGGGACTGCTAATCACGTATTTACGAGCCTTTTTCTGAGGGTACCGTACCATTACGACTGTACCTCGTAGGTTTCTGATGACTCGAGTACAAACAGTCTTACTGTCGAAGGTTCTTCAATTTGTGCTCAGGATGGAGTAGATGTTCAGCCAGACCAGCCTCTTTCTTCCTTCGATGGCTACCTATCAACAGGTTTTGGACTCTGGATATCACTGATGATGATAGTGGTGACATAGGAACACTAGACTATTGGGCTGTGATCCTCACTGCTTGCACTGAAAGCCACACCAGCAGTCCAACATCCTCCCCCACTGCTGCTCCTACGAGTAGTCCAACCGCCTCCCCCACTGCTGCTCCCACGAGCAGTCCAACCACCTCCCCCACGAGCAGTCCAACAGCCTCCCCCACTGCTGCTACAGAAAGTCCCACGAGTAGTCCAACAGCCTCCCCCACCAGCAGTCCAACAGCCTCCCCCACTGCTACTACAGAAAGCCCCGCAAGTAGTCCAACAGCCTCCCCCACTGCTGCTGCAGATGATGGTGTTGTAACTGGAGATCCTCACTTTAAGACCTGGGCCAGCAAGTGGTATGATTTTCATGGAGAATGTGACGGTCTTCATCACCAATCCCTTGTTTGCAGGAGGGCCTGGCCTGGATATCCACATTCGAACCAAGGCCCGTTACCAGTACTCTTTCATTGAGTCGGCGGCTGTTCAAATTGGAGACAGCGTCTTGGAGGTTGGTGAATATGGTGGCTACATGTTAGATGGTGTCTCAAACGCAGAGCTGGACACAATGGATGACAAGTACCTGTCCTCCACGAGAAGGTCAACTCCAAGCAAGACATTTTCACTTTTGAGCTTGGAGAAGGAAAGCAGATTGTTATTCAGTCCTTCAAGGACCTGGTCAGTGTCAAGACAGTTGGTGCCAGCTTTGACGAGTATGATGGCAGCCAGGGTCTCTTGGGAGAATTTGGAACTGGCATGTGGCTTTCCCGCAATGGCACTGTCATGACAGACGCTGATGCCTTTGGCAATGAAGGGCAAGTCCTTGAGACTGAACCAAAGCTCTTCCAGACAAGTAGGTTCCCCCAGCACCCAGTTCAATGCACCATGCCTGGCCCTGAAAGAGAAGGCCGCCGCCATCTTGGTGAATCCACCATTTCCATGGAAGCTGCAGAGAATGTCTGTGAACACGGGGGTGCCTTGAAGGACCAATGTGTCTTTGATGTCATGGCTGCTGGAGATTTGGAGCTTGCCGAAGCTGGAGCGTTCTAAGGAGCAGTCCATCTGTATTGGAATACTTGTACCAGACTGTTGAGAGTGGTTTCTGCGCCGGCCCTGCTGGTGCTGTTGGAAGCCCCCCCGTGCTGAAGAGGCCAGAGCTTCCCCTTGAGTTTTCTTTAAGAGTGAGCACAATAATCTAGATTAGATTGGTCCACAAATACCAATAGGTGCAGACAGTAGAGAACGGTTTGGCGTCTAAGGAGCCAGTGATGTAGTTGGTATTTGTTGTGTGTGCTGTATTGCTCAGTTGTCTAGCTAGGCCAACAGGCCAACTCCCTTTCTAGAGCATGTTTTTGGTAAGGTATCAGTAGAATAGTTTGATCTCGTCAAATCTTCTAGTCTAATCCAATAGCATGCTCTCTTGCAATCAGTGATTCGGTTCAATCAACTAATGTAGCTACTACCAGGTAGCTACAGTGTAGATAGCAAGGCTCAGACTCGATGGGACGGAAGTATCCATGTCACTCGTGCTCTCCGCCGCATTCAAGTGGTCGAGTAAGCCGAAGCCCATGTGCCTCATCAAACCTTGCAAGCTTTGTTAGCCGATTTGAGGATATCCCTGACCTTACCATGTGGAACGCAGCTGTAAGTGACAGCGGCGGCATTGCGTTGCTAATTGGAAAACCTGTTCTCGGAATCCCACCACCCTTCCGCAGCCAAAGCACTGGCAACTCCGAGAGTGTTTGTCTGCATTGGACAAAGAGTACCGTTAGGTAGTCCATGGTAGTGAGTTTGTGTATGTAGGTTTGGTAGAAAAGTAACGGCGAGATCTTTGCTTCGTTGTTTCATCTCTCACTTCTTTTGCGTCGACGACGAACCTTGGAGGGACGTTGCCCCACTGGCCGTTGCTTTTCGTCAGTCAACTCATTGCTTGTCGTGCCATACAACCTTGGATCGATCGATCGAGTACTGTGGAAAACAAGTGCTAAAGGAAGCAGATCAGCCAAACACACCGCTGCACTAAGCTGGAGTCAAAAGCAGGCTGATACCCCCCAGAGATTGGAAGACTCGACTGGGTAGTCGTAGAAACCGTTTGGACCGCCGATCTCTCGTCAACAAAAGAAAGGATTCTATTGGCAAACGGCCAGCTGACATACCTCTTTTCATATCCCACAATAATGAACGTCTACCCTTATCACAGCGAAGATGTGGAGTGTGCGGCAGTCTCCCGTGCTACTATGGTTGCAACGAACAACAGCCATCCGGTAGATGATATGCTTGGCATCTACTCTACCAGTGAAGAAGAGTTTTCGCATTCCGCCGGTGGTACCAATTCTGTTTCCACTTCCTTGCTGGTAGGGACATTCTACAACCCTCACAATGATTCCTCAGACACCAATTCATTCGTCAGTAGCCTCCAAGATGAACTCAGCAATCGAGATCCGCAAGAGACGTCACCGGAAGACATGCCGACCCCCCGTGCCAGTAATAATAATAATAATACTGCGCGGGAAGAAGGTGTTCCCACGTGGAAAGACGAAACGAGTCCTGAGCAAGCCCTGGGATTGGAACCCACGCCAAGGCGTCGTCTTTGGTTTTGGGCGTTCGTCTTGGCGCTCTGTATGTTGGTTGGAATTGCCGTGGCCATGGGAATTGTGATTGGAATGAAACATGAACAAAACAAACAGGCTGTAGTGCGTCCACCACAGTCGATTGCGGCCAGTGATGAAACCAATCCCAACCGTGGTAGTAGTGTCAGTGCTACACAAGAAGAAGAAGATCCAGATACCAACAAGAATGAGACAGGAGCATCCAATACTACCGATGCCCCCACATCATCGCCTGTCAACAACATGGACCAGCCTACTACGTCCATCCCTCCGCCTCCGACACTCGAGCCCACTATGATTCTGGAAATCAGTCCTGTGACGACGACGCAATGGATCAACGAATTTGTGAGCAGTCTACCCGTCTACACACGACAAGCCCTCGAGATTCCAACGTCTCCTCAGCAGCGAGCTCTCAACTGGGTGACCACGGATCCATACTTGACATCGTACAGCCGGGAACAGTTGCTTCAGCGATACGTGTTGAAAACATTCTACTTTGCGACAAATGGTGGAAACGATGAACATGATGATACCGAAGAACAATGGATCTACATGGAGGGATGGCAATCATCCTCGTATTCCCAACACGAGTGTCAGTGGCATACGACACATCAAGACGAGGAATCCATGGAACCACCCTGCGACGAAGATGGCGTCTACAAGATCTTGGCCTTGCGGCGGAACAATTTGCATGGATCCCTTCCTCCCGAATTGGCCTTGATGACGTCTCTTGCCACGTTGGATCTCGAATTGAACTCGATTCAATCTCAACTTCCCACCGAACTCGGGCTACTCACACATCTGGAGCGCCTCATCTTGGGAGGCAACGACTTGACTGGACCCATTCCAACCGAGCTGGCTTCCATGGCCAACTTGACCCACTTCGAGCTGGAGGACAATGCCTTTAATGAGTCCATCCCCAGTGAACTTGGACTATTGGCACACGTGGAGACGCTCACGTTGGATGACAATCAACTACGAGGCCCCATTCCATCGCAGCTAGGAGAACTTTCCCTCTTGAACCAACTTTCGTTGCATGGCAATGCCTTGACTGGGTCGTTGCCGACCGAGATTGGCCTCTGGACTTCATTGAGGTCACTGTCGCTGCGGATCAACATGTTCTCGGGAACGTTTCCAACCGAAGTTGGTCTGCTGACGGAGCTCGAGCGCTTGTGGGCGTATCAAAATGAACTCGAGGGAAGCCTCCCGACGGAACTAGGGCTTGCCACATCACTGACGCTGTTGTCGTTCTCCCGCAACCTCATGGTTGGATCACTGCCGACGGAACTAGGCCAACTGATGGAGCTCAAGAATTTGTGGTTGTATCAGAATCTGTTTACGGGACCTATTCCCTCGGAGCTCGGTTTGCTATCAGAGCTAGAACTCTTGCAAATTCGAGACATTGGAATCACAGGATCAGTGCCTGCCGAAGTTTGTGACATCCCCACAGCAGTGGTAACCATTGATTGCTTGGAAGTGGCATGCAATTGTGGTTGCACATGTTCTCAAAACGAAGAGAGCACGGATGACGGGAAGTAAGTATCGATCAGTCATCATTAGTTCTTTGGTGGTCCAGTGGAGATCGACCAGCGGCAGCGAGACATCCATTCTTTCTGCGCTACTGTACGTACTGTATGTTACAAGAACAATCAATGCACCCCGGCCAGGCCAAGATTCTATGAAGTGCGGCGGCTTATTGTCTGGCTCGTAGTTCGTTTTTGCTTTTACTATATTATATGATTCGAATGATAACTGTTCAAGTCTTGCTACGCTACTCTTTTATACGTGCGTCCTCTTGAAAGATTGAAAGACGTTTGCCGCATTCGGCGACGAGCAAAGTTAGCCCATACCATAGGGCAACGTTCCGGTATCCTCGGATGAGCACCAGATAAAGACCGAGGAACCAGCGGAGAGTCACGCCACTTCAAAACCTTCACCGCACAGTATGATCGTGGAAGCATAACACAGCTCCGTCCAAGCCTCGAATAATTCTTTCCGCGTGCGCTCAACTTCAGCTTTCGTTTTATCGTGGCGCCTATTGTGCTCAGCTAATTGTTTTGTCAATCTGTTTCTCTCTTCCTTCAGTCCTAGTAATTTGTTTCGGAGTTCTTTCACTTCGTCAAGGTCGGCAACGTCGTCATCCACCTTGTAATCGTCGGCGATTTCGGGCTTTTTCGCTCTTTCGTCATTCTCTTTGTTTTCGACGGCGCATCTAGTTTTCTTCTGACATCCTAGCAATCCAAGAACGCGACCATAAACTTGGCTGTTCATTCCTTCAAGATAAATCGCCAGTTTCAAAGTGCAATGTCTCCAACCACCACGGTCTTTCCACTCCGGATGCACTGAGTTGTCGCAGCTGGGGAAGAAAAATGAGAGTATTCAAAAAGATGCCTTCACGACATGCAAGTACCGCAGCAACTCACCAATATCTTGCAAAGCCGCCTGAACTCTTTCCATCTCATCCTTGTCATGCTTGTCTTGTTCGGCTTTGTTGATGTCGTAAAGGAGCTGTTCCACTCTCGAGACGTGACATTCCCATTGATGCCGAGATTCTACAACGCCAAAAGCCTCGAAGAGGGCCAGAGATACAAAAGAAATGCCTTTGTCGTAATGCTCCTTGAGGAGCACAATGAATCCTACAAGCAAAGGGCTAACGGTACATCTTTGGAGATCGCTCATGTTGGAGAGAGAGAGAGGGGGAGAGAGAAAAGTATGAATGGGTAGAGAAGAAGGCAAGATTGAATTATGCTATTCGAATGCGGAGAACGGCCGAGTTCAGGTGTTCAAGTATACACAAGTGTGCCGTCTATTACCGGCTATCTATGATCTGCTCGATCCATCACACCTTGTTAGGGATGCCGCCTGGTTGAAATTCATCAACAGTCTTGAATTGCTGTATGCTATTTGAATGCGATGCGGGGAACGGCCGAGTTCATGTGTTTTGATACTCTGCTGGTCCGTACCTGCTTTCTTTTGAAGTCGTATTCATCGGGTTTACTATGGATTAGAGAGAACTAAGATGAGGATGGGGACAGAGCTCGAGGGGAGGGCACGACGCAGGAACGCACGGCAAGCAATCAAGTGCGCAAGCAGGGCAACATGGAAACCAAGGAAAGGTGTGAAGGCAGGAGTGCAGGGAGGAGCAAAGGAGCAAGACTAGCCGAAGAGATCGAGGGCACCACAGTTCTTTTGCATCTGCAATGCTACTCGAACAGATCCATCACACCTTTAGCAGCCGGTACGGTACCAGAGGGATCTCCTGGAAGATATTCATGCATGGATGAACGATTCCACGTCTAAAAGAGATTATAGGAGACTGTATTTACTATCGCTCTGAATACCGTTTGCGAAAAGCAGCAAACAGATCAAATCGTGAAAATGGTCGGGGGGCCATCCAAGCAAGCAAGTTCCAAGGCAAGAACATCACGATAATCACGATCACGCAACCCCCAACAACCGGCAAAGAGCACCCTTCCTCCCCACACTCACCCCTCCTCGTTGCTATCCTGGCTTGCTAGTCTAGTTGGAGCATTATCTTCTCCAGGTCCTGCTGCAGCGTGGCATCAGTTGCATTTAGTTAGGAGTAGCCACCTTCGATCTGTGCCTACCGTACCTTTCTTTCAATTGCACATCTATCGCTTTTCAGAACAACGACCACGATGACAGCGTCGTTTTCTTTCTTGGGGCTGATCACACTGAGCCTTGTCACTTTGATGGTTGAGAGCTCTTTGGTGAATGCCAAGGAAACCCCAACAACAGAGAACAGCAACAACAATCGTAAATTGGTCCGCTTTCCCTTGTTGCCAGGCGACTCTGCCGAAGCCAAACGGCGGCGGCGAACACGACGCACCCAACGGCAATTGCGACACCACAATCTACGAAGAGTCGAAGAAGAGGCCTCTTCGAAAGAAGAAGAGCCCGAAGAGAATCCTCTGGAACTCAATATCGACGCGCTCTATGAAGGCTACGGCGTCCACTATGTCGATTTGTGGGTGGGACAACCCACGCCCCAACGTGTCACTACGATTGTCGACACGGGCAGTTCTGTCACGGGCTTTCCCTGTACCGGTTGCCAACATTGTGGAGGAAGTGCGTCGAACGATGACCGACAGCAGTATCATACGGACCTGCTCTTTCGACCCGAAGATTCGACAACCTTTGCGCCTGTGACGGCGTCCGATCAGTGTCTGGTGGGCCTGGAAGCCCGAAAGGCAACAATGTCGAACCTTTCGCCATTATTCCGAAGGAAGTTCCTGGGATGCCTACGAAGCTATCGATCAAGTCTACACGGGAGGGAATCATGCCCTTGCCGACGAAATAAGAGTCAAGGAAGTGTCGTTTCCACTTCATTTTGGATGTCAAGACAGTGTCACGGGGCTTTTTGAAACACAGGTATGTTACATACATAATGTATTTTATATTATGGATAGTCGATCCATTACTGTGAACTCACTGTATTTTTTGTAGTTGGCAGACGGTATCATGGGTCTGTACAATAGCAAACCCTCCTTTTGGTATCAAATGTACCAAGAAAAGAAAATTGAAAACAAGGCATTCAGTCTCTGCTTTTCCGATCCGGGACATGTCGATCGACAAGGAACACCGGCGGGGGCCATGGTATTGGGAGGATCCGATACCCGATTACACCAAACACCCATGGTCTATGCGCAACAATTAGCCAAAGAGGGAAAATTCACCTTGCACTTGGAAAAGGTATTTCTACTAGCGCCTGGAACTGGGGAATCCACCGAAATTCAATCGGATCAATGGAACAAGGTACAAATTTTTGAAGAAGATCTCAACAATGGAGGAAACATCATTTTGGATAGTGGAACCACAGCAACCTACTTGACCAAACAATTGCTACGTCACTTTGTAGAAGTCTTCAACTCCATCGTGCCGGAATCTGTCATGGTCTTTGATCCCGATCAACATCGCTACGAATTGACGCAAAATCAAATCGACCAGTTTTTGCCGACTATTGTGCTGCAAATCAAAGGGTGGAGGCCGCAGCAAGGCGACAACGACAACCAACAGCAAGCGGACATTATTCCCGGTACGAGCACCCAACTTCCCGGCACGGTCGGAACCGATTTGGACCCCAAGCGTGCAGGAAAAAGCATCCTGGTGCCCATGCCACCATCGAGTTATCTGTCGCGGAGAGATGATGATATTGACCCTCAAAAAGAACCCGAGGAAGTTTGCCAGTATAAATTCTCCTTCTTTTTCAACAAAAGGAGGGGCAAAGGTGGTGTCCTGGGTGCCAACTTTATGAGAGGTCTCGACGTGCTCTTTGACATTGATAATTCGAGAATAGGGTTTGCGGCCAGTGATTGCGAGTTCTCCACGTTAGCGAGTGATGAAGAATCGGGTTAAAACAGAATCAAGAGATGGCATCGGTCGGTTGTGCAGACATTGGTGCCGGCATAGTGGCGTCTTTGGACGATACGTTGTGGATGGACGGGGGTATTTCATGGTTTCCAAAATGACAATCAAAGTAATCACATCAAGCTTCCAAGCTTGCGTATTAAGAGAAGTTGGTACAGACTACTAACAATCTACTAGGTGGCTAGTCACAACAATCAAATTGCTCCCAGCCAAATCCGTGCTCAAGCAACGCTTGGCTTTCGATGCGTCTGAAGGAGAGATTGCAAATCACCCCGAGTACATTGATGGCATCATAGAACACGCAGTGATGGCTAGAAATGGCTAGAATTCGCGTACTTGAACGTTTCGCCCAACGTTGTTGTGGTGAAGATGCTCAAACAGTCGACCCAACGGGAAGACACTGTTGTGGGGCGACTAAGCACCATCGGACAACCCCGAAAAATATGGAGACATGGGTGGTCGCACTAGCTAGTGGACAACTTGACACAGCTGACTTTATGAAGTTTTATGGCCTACGGTAACGACGAAAGATCCCAACAGCAATAGAACGGGGAAGGTTTGAAGAGCCCAACACGACAACTCCTTGCAATCCTTCAACGAGTCATGATATACTTGCCAATGACCGAAAGATCCGTCCCTTGCAGTTTGGCAACGATAGAGTGGTATTCCAAATGGGCTCCGAAGCGAAGGGCCTTTGAATCAATTTCGCTGTTGGGAATGGTGGCTACCTTGGTCTTTGCATCTGGCAAGTCGAACGCCTGCTGAAAAATCTCGGGAGTAACCCCACCGCGGCGGTACGTGATGGTTTTCCAGCCTTCCTTGAGAGATGGCTCGTACCTCATCTCCTTCTTTAAATGGCGACAAATCTCGGGCTTCAACTTGTCTGCCAGGGCTCGGTACTCCTCATCCGTTTCGTCTTTCTCTGCTTTCAAGTGTTGAAGCTCTGCAACCTCTTGTTTGAGTTGGACAAACTCTCTGGCATGTGCCATCATGCCTTGTGGGCTCAGTCTGCAAAGGTTCGTACACAGTTGGCTGGCATCTCGAACCAAACAGAGGTCTTTCAACAAACGGTTGGCTGCCTCCAGCTGGGACGAGAAGAGGACTTCTCCCGCTGCCTCTGGCCAAACCTTGATTGCACTTTGAGCCTTCTTGATGGCCCCCGAGAGATCATCCGCTTGATACACGTTCCTGGGCTTGTCAACCAGTGACTGAAGATACGAGGGGGCAGCTTGATTGAACGCTTTGCTCCACTCCAACAAGGCATTTTCGTTTGCCTCCTTGTCGGCTTTCATATCCTGCTTTGCTTGATGCAGCCAAATACACAACTGTTGGTTCGGGTTCTCTTTGTCCTCGATACAATGTTCGGTGTTGAGGTTCACTCGATGCTTGACCTTGTCCCATTCGGACCTAATAACGTTCGCATTGGAAGGATTCCGGCCTTTCGTTTTGGCATCTTGCACGAAGAACGTCTTGAAGCGAATATAGACGGACTTGTTGGTCGTCTTTGGGATTGGGCCAAGGAAGGCTTTCTCGGCTGCGCTATGTGGGGGTGGCGCCATGCTGACCACGTTGTTCATGTTGCTTCAAGGATGGCAGGAATGGCAATCCGAGGACTTATTTGCTGCTAACTAGCTAGCGGCTTTTGGAAGATGTGGTGAGATTCCGATCCATGAGATGCAAGTATGCGATACACAATGATTTGAATTCAGTTTGAATAAACTGGAACTTTTGGGTGAAGAACATTTATTTGAATTCCTTCAACAGCTAACTTGAGCCATCAATTCAAGAGCTATGACACAGCATAGCAGGACGGCGACAGAACGTTTCGCACAAAGAATGGTCAGGGACCTGGGGTCTGGGGTCTGGGGTGACTGACTGATCATCCCCTAGCCCAAGCTCACTTTTATTTTAGCAAAGGCAGTCAATTGTGTGTTAACGGTCCTTGCCGGTTCCGTAAAGCTTGCCAACATGGGATCCCAATCCCAGGCAGAGGCTCTACGAGCACCTGGACACAGCATCACTACGAAACGATTAATAATAAGAGTACCTACATCCCTTTTGGCCCCCGTGTTGCTCCTCAATTTATCTCCGCTGATCCCACCGGACCTACCGAAATGCAAGTCTGCTAGCTAGTACCTGGTACTGGTAGCTTGACTATTTTAACATAATACCCAGTAAGTTTCGCCTCTTCTTTGCCGAAATGCCTTGCTGGCTTCTAGAGTACGGTAATGCCCCGGTGGACTTCCGAAGAACGCAAACGCTCGGATCAAGGTCTTTGCGGAAGATCCTTTTCTCATTCATGGTACGAGTACCACCACAACACAGTTTGGCTTGGAGTTGGGTTGCCGTGTTGGGCAACCTGCATCTGACCAACTTTGGCTTGGCGAAGTTGCCATTGCATTGTGGTCATAAAAACAAATCAACAACAATAACAACAACAACAAATCAATAACAACAAAACAATCAATCAGCATGTCAAACAAAGCAGCAATCAAGATTCTCTAGAGCACCACTTGGTTTTCCAAGTGCAGCGACGAGTTGGTCCAAGCATTGGCCGCCAAGCTGGAGCTGGTAGATGTCGGTGAAGGTCATGTGTTTATCTCGGAAGGTCTTCCCATGGACAAGTTAATGATTCTTGAGTCGGGCAGTTTGTTCCGCACCAAGATGCATCTGGTCGATGATGATGGTTCCTTGGAGGTCAACAGTCGCAAAAACAGCCGCAGAGCCACCATCAGCCAGTCTTTGCGCAACATGAAGGCTGCAGAAGTGAGCAGTACCATTAAAGAGAATGCCGTGGTGGTGGATATTGTGGAAGGCCGTGGACGTGTCACGGGACTGTTACACATTGTCTCCGAGGATGCATATGCCTTTGCAACTGTCACCAGTAAGACCTTCCAAAGTGTGGATCATGTATGCCGAGGATTTTCAAGAGATTTTGAGGTCCAATCCAGTCTTTATGTTTGATATCATGGGAAACATGGCCACCGAACTACGAACGGGCAGCAAGTCCTTGCGAGCCATCATGGGTCAACTCCGTAGTAAGGGTGTGGGAGTTGAGGGAGAGAATCAAAAAGAAACCCTGCGAGTATTGTGCTATGATACTACCTCGTGGGTATCGGATGCATTTCAGCCTGCTGTCAAGGCATTCAATGCAGATCCCGAAAATTCCTTTCAGATGATGGTGGACTTTACCACGGAACGCGGGTAAGTGCAGGACTTTGGTGTCACAATGCCATTGTTATGTAGCTATGGCAGCATGCCGCTCACACAGCTATTCCCTGCATCTTCCAGGATATGAGGCAATATGCACATTTGTCAATGACACGGCTGACGCCGGTACCATCCAAACTCTCAGTCGTTTGGGGGTCAATATGATTGCCCAACGAGCGGCTGGTTTTGATCGTGTGGATACCAAAGCAGCACGTGCATATGGAATGACAGTGGCAAGAGTGCCCGCCTACAGTCCCTATGCTGTGGCCGAGATGGCCATTGCATTGCTCATGGCAGTAAATCGCAAAACGCCCAAAGCCAGCAGCCGAGTCAAAATGGCCAACTTTTCCCTGGATGCTGGTCTCCTTGGAGTTGATATTCACGGCAAGACTGTTGGTGTCATGGGCACTGGAAAGATTGGTCAAATTCTTTGCAACATCATCTTGGGATTTGGAGCAAAGCTTATCTGCTACGATGTCTTTCAAAATGAAGAAGTCAAAAAGGCTGGTGGTGTTTACGTGACAAAGGATGGAATTTTTGCCCAGAGCGACATATTATTCTTTATGATGCCCCTCTTGCCCGCTACACGACATACTCTCAACATGGATGTCTTGCCCAAACTGAAAAAGGGCATGATGCTCATCAACACGTCCCGTGGTGGTCTGGTCGATACCACAGTCTTGTTGCAAGGACTCCGCACTGGTGTCATTTCTGGGGTTGGAATGGATGTATACGAGAATGAGCAAGAATACTTCTTCCAAGATTGGTCTGCCAAGAGCATTCAAGATCCAGATTTAACTGCCCTGTTGGGTGAACCAGGGGTGGTTATGACAGCCCATCAGGCCTTCTTCACCAAGGAAGCCGTCAACAAAATCACGCAGACAACAATGGAGAACCTGAGAGACTTCAAACTGGGAAAGCGTGAATTTGATCATCCCAACAACTGTATCCCCAAAGACAATTAATTGGCATGATTGACCCAGAGATATCTTGCAGCCTTTCCTGCTCTTGACGAAGAGGAGCCTGCATAAAATTATTAATAGATCTTCAGTTAGAAAAACTCTCAGATGAAACCTTGGCCGATGATCTCACATGACTTAATAACTTTGCAGCTCCAACAGATTTGCTAGAGGGCCAGTGGCAAGGGATGGGCCATGGGTTGTCTTAGGATTGAGTTCAAACCGTAGCTAGCCGCTTAAGACTACTATCATAATGGTAGTACTGTACCTTCAAAACAAATGTTGTCTGTCTTCCTATGCAAATGCGTTCCCGGGGTGGACCCTCTCCATGGATGCAAGCGACCCTTCCTCAGTCCTGATTCTGTGCGTCGCCGTATGTAGCTTTTCAGAAGTTGTTGGAACTGAACTTCGCTGTGCATTTGTTGTCCCTGTCTCCAAATCACCTGCACTAGAAGGCCCCGATGACTTGTTTCGCAAGTCATACTCTGCCATGACCTCTGTACTTGCCAACCACCCTTCCATGGTGCCAGCATCTCCCATGGCTGCCAACAGTGGACTAAAGAGTCCATGGAATTCAAATGGTGAAAGTGCATACAGAGCATCAGCTCCTTTTGTAATCAGCCCATGCTCCCCTAGCAGCCAGGAAGTTCAAGGCGTGAGAATCATAACAAGCAAAGACCTGGCTGGTGCAGCAATGGTTGACCTACCCACAAAGTACAAGGCTTCAAATGCCACTGCCCGAAATGCTTTCCTAGCTCGGCGTGGAATGCACCATTTCTCTGCTGTGTACCTCAAAGAATCAATCGTGACAGAGAGCGTATTGTCCTTGATTTCAATACTGGATTGGAACCCCGCGATGTCCGTGGCAATGATCTCTGCAAAACGCTCCTGCACCAACGCTCTTAATGCAAATGAGGGCTTCCTCATTGGCTCATTGCTATTCCCCAGCACCGGTTTCATGACAGAAGACCGCATGCTCAAGTACCTTGAATCACTGCCTCCAGAGTTGATGGATTTGTGCACTGCTTTGATGACATCCTTCATCGTGTCCATTGTTTGGCCCTTGGGCCGAAAGTCATTCTGACCGCCCTCCAGGCTGTTCTTGAGAATGCGTTCCCTTCGGTTGAAGACACCAGCACCCTCTCCTGGAGATCCAAAGAGACTAGCTCGAGAACTTTTTACAACAGGTGATGTAGCAGAGGCATCCTTTGGGCTGGTGGGGAGGGCATCAAAATCTGTCCGGCGTCGTTGCATGTGCCGAGGCAGGGGCGATCCATTGGAGGATGATGCAATGGATTGTTGTTTGGAAGTAGGAGTCATAGTGACGGGCGGTACCAAATCATCCGAGTCGGCGGACGGAAAGGAATGAAGTTCCAACTCGCCTCCATGAGCTTGCCCGTGGTAGGCTCTCTTCAATGCTTCTGCCCGTTCGAATTCAAACTGCTCCTTGGATCTAGCCAACCGACGCCTCATTCTTCGTTCGATGCGATTGATGTTTTGTGCACTCAAGCGAATATAAAAGGTTGCCACATTCTTCAAAAACATTGACATAAATCCGATCGAGAAAGGGAGCCATGCTATACAAAACCAAATACTCGAAGCATGTTTGGGATAGTAATCACCAAATCCCACAGTTGTCAAGCTAACCACAGCAAAGTAGAGGGCCTCAACCGCATTCCAACCTTCAATGGGTCCAACAATGCAGGCCCCCACAGCAATGAGTCCTGCAAAGGGCAGCAAAACAGACAAGGACCTTCCATATTCATTGTAAGAGAAGAAATGCTTGGCACGTTCGTAGTATTGCATGACGGTATCTACAAACGCCAAGTCCTCGAAGAACATGCCATGCTCATGAGTGAGGACACTAGAATTGGCCACACTGGCTTGACTGGATGGCACCGTATTGCCTTGCGATGGTTGTTGTTGCTGCTGTTGCTCTCGATTGTTACTGTTTCGATGATTGAGCACATCCAGTCCTCGTCGTGCCATTTCGGTCTTGTCTCTGGAATGTTGGGCTCGTGACGCCTCCAGTGCCAGGCATTGATATATTTGTGCTACCATAATGGTCAAGGTTGCAATTCCCACAAAAATGTAGAGAATGGTAAAGGATTGGAATCCCATTTCTTTGGGAATGGCTTGATTGCCATAACCAACTGTGGTGATTGTGTAAATGGAAAATAAAAGTGAATCATGAAACGTCCAACCGGCATAGCGCATGAAAAAGGTAGTGCCGAGCCACAAAAAGATGAGCATGAACACCACCGAAGCGCAAGCCGCTTGTCGGACCGATGTGTACCGAGCCATGTACCCAATTTCTCTCTCTTCCAGAGCATTCTCATATTCATCATCGAGTCGCTGACATATTTCCATGTCTTCAATGGACAAGTGTTGTGGACCTGCAGGAGATGGATTTGGCGGCAGTTGCATTCGTGGAGTGCCCACCACTGGAGTGCCAGTCGAGGAGGAAGGTCCATGAGTACTATTGATAATGGAAGTATTGTTGCTGGGAGTCTTGGGCGACTTGGATTTGGTTTTGGTTCGTACAATGGCAATGGGAGGAGGTTTGTCATCCTCAACGACAGAATTGTTGTTACTGTTGTTCTTGCTGCTGATCCCTGTACTACTAGGGGGTGGTGTTTTGAGTGACGAAATTTTTCGTTGTGGAGGAGGGGTTTGATGCTCTGGATGATCCGGATCCTCCGTAGTACTGCTTTCTCCATCGTCGTGATCCTCTTTAATGGCACGTCGTGGCGTACGTCGTTTGCTGCGTGTTTTGCGACTGCGTCCAAACGACACAATTGTGGTGGCTGCCTTTTTCATGATTGCCGTGGAAGAAGAATCCTTGGGTTTGTTGTTGGGCGATTTGGGTCTAGCAATCACTGGCTGATGGTGCATCAGCCTGGGAGACTCGTCATCGGACGACCAGTAGGACTTTTGCTGGAGTGGATTTCGTTCTCGACGTCGACCACCCTTGCGCTTGGCGACTGCCTTCTTGCTCTTTTTCTTGGAAGGAGTTGTCATGGGTTCGTCCAAGAAGACCTCTTCGATCAAAGCTTCTTCCGATTCCTCGTCGTCCAACAAAACTTCTTCTGGATTCACCAATGGAGTAGTGTTTATGGGATTCCTCGCGGTCGACGCAGAGAGTTGTTGTGGCTGTGACGATGATTCGTGTAGAAGTAATGCATCCACGTTGCCTGTGTCTGCCATTGATGTTGTCGTTGCCGCAGTTGCCGACAGAATAGCATCCAATGGCTCGCTTGGTTGGTTGAGGAGATCCACACCAACATCATCGCTCAGAGGGTGCATACCATGCGACATGTTAGCGTTAGTTGCTTCTGATGGAGCGCTTCCATCGGTGCCGTTGATGAGGTCGTCCATGGTCTCGTCCAAAGGAGTGTGATCTTCAGCACGCAACCTGAACTGCGGGAGCAAAGTAAGCCCGTTGAGCTGTCAATGTCAACTCCTTCAACCAGTCACCTTGTAGATCCCTCTATCTGGCCTCTCTCTTCTTCTGTCGTATGCATGCTTTTGGTTCAAAGGCTTGGTTGTTTCTGTATGATATGTCTGGATTCCAGTCAATCCAGACCACAAGATGGCCAACTATCCGTTGCCTTCATCATCATCTGCAAGAAGCCCAATGGCGACCTGTGGGTTTTCTGTCGTTGGCGCACAAGCTTGGCCGCGGTGGCTGGTAGACTTTTCCCCTTCTACAGTAGCAAATTGGATCCTAGCTAGTAGGTAAGTAAAAGTGATCCAAGTCTCTCTCAGTCTAGATAGCTGCATATATATGTGAAACTAAGGGAGAGTTTCACGAAGAACACATTGCGACCTACAGTATGTAGGAAGATGGAAGCAATTGGAGCGCGATCATTTTCGTTGGCTGTGGATGTTTCCAGGATTATCAATACTGTACTTGTAGAATGCTCAAACTCCACTTTAGAGGTAGCTTTCCTTGAAGTTGATGTGTGGCAATAGAACATGTCTATTATTTAGCCAGCTACTTGCTGGAGCTTTTTGGGGTGGCTTTTGTAGGGGAGGGCCGAGCAAGGAGCCAGTTGAGCTGCTTTATAAAGCGTACTAGTACCTTTCGTGGTCGTGAACGCGTTGAGAACCAGAACAACAACACGAAAGGCTCTCAGAGAACTGAGCGAGCACCACACAACCAAGAGCAAGCAAGAAGAAGGAAAGGAAGGGAGACCAAAGAAGATAAGGAAAGGATGTCTCCAGAGGAAGCCAGATAGATTGTACTTGTACATATACGTTGACCTCCCATCCCCAGTTTATTAGTTAGAGTGGCGACGGGTATCTGAGCACCAGAGGAGAGATTCGATTCCCGTGTCTGTTCTGGAATCTGGCCTCATTCAACCACAGTCTGTCAACCAAGGAGAATTCCCTAGTCTGATACAGTACACTCTCTATCTCTTTATTCAGGAGAACCATGCCATTTCTGATTCCTGCCTTACTGTCGGGGGTTTGCGATGCTCTAATTTTGGTTTTGCAAGAGCATCGGCTGGAGACGCTTTGGCTTTTGGAAGATGAGTCCGCATCATTATTACTGGACAATAACAATGGCACCTCCAATGAAACCTACTACAATCCACACCATCATCATCGTCATCACTATGATACCAATCTGGAAGAATCTTTATCTGCATCATCTCTGGCGTCCATAACGGTTCATCGAGTGCAGTACTTGGCCATTATTGCCGTGGTTCGGTTACTGCTCTTGCTGTTCCCCTTGCCCTACCATTCCTACACGGGAACCGCCATTCGATTTCCCGTGTTCTACCATTATCTGTATGGCATGACACTCGCAGCTGTGATACTTCATATGCTGGCATTGAGCATGATTGATCCAGATAGTTTGGCCACTCTGGCGGGTATACACCATCGCAAAGAAGGGACTCTGCCTCCTGAGGAAGATTCGGAGGATTTATGGCAACAAGAAACAGAACTGGCCACACAGGATATGCTCAATCGAAGCTGTTGGTGGATTCTGTTCCTCTCTCTTATCAGTGTTTGCAGTCACATTGTCATGCTCATTCATGTCCGATCCACAGCACCTTCACCATCCTACTTTTCCTTCTCGGGAGGCAAGAAGAAGAAATTGGTATACTACTACAATCAATGGAGAAACGTCAACAGCAGCAATACTTCTCAACTAGATCCAGAACAACCACAACCATTACTTTCACAACAACCAACTGAGGAAGAAGGAAGAAATCCAGTCGTCCCCATGACACCGGAAAATAATGGCAACAACCTCAAGCGAGACATTCCCACCAGTCCCATTCATAAGCTTTCCTCACAATACGACGAATTCATGTCCGAAATGCAAAATCAAATATCCGGTCTCAAGAAAGATTGGACGCACAAACTCGATGATTTCACACAACGACATTTGAGGAGCCTCAGCGGTGGTGCGGGAGGAAGCAGAAATGCAATGCAACACAATCCACTCTTGCCATTGACGCCCTTTCGCGTATTATTGCAGCTATTTGCCTACGAAGATGTCATTGACAGTGGAAAACTCGATGCTGTCTTTGACATGGATCAAGGCCAATCATTGACGTTCTTTGTACCACAGTTATTATCGTTTTTGCTACATGGAGCCTACTACGAAGCGGATCCCACCAAATTGGAACAATGGATTCTGGACAAGTGTGAGAGGCATGCTCATTTTGCACACAGATGCTACTGGTTCTTGAGGGCCTGGTCGCTCGAACAGCCGGCGTATCATCCGACGACCAACAACTCGACATCGCCATTTCAACAATATTCACCTGGGAATTCCACGGCATCACTGCAGCAGCAAGGCACAACGCCAAGCAACAACAATCATCAGCATAGAAGGAATCAATCCTCCGAAGAAGATGCCGCATTTATTCTGTCCACACCACCACCAACTGATGCAGGCCGGCGATCCAGAAGCAGTTCCTTTGCCTCGATCGGAGGGGCAGTGGGCAATGCGACTCATCAGAAACTCTTGCCGGAAGAACGAGCCGTCGTGGAAGGCCTCTTGTTGAAGGTCGTGCAGAAAGGGGGGGCGGCGGCACGAATATTGCAATACGGGAGACCCAACCACAAAGTCACCGATGAAAGGAATGGCGGAACCCCCCAAAAGAACGGAAAGAAAAAGAGACGAGGCAAGAGAGACAAGGTCGTGCCACGAAACGGAACGAGCAAACCAGAAACACAACAACAACAAGCCAATCCAGGAGAACCGATTCCAGCGGGCATCTTCTGGGACGAGGATGTTTGCATCGGTAGCGACAAAAACTACAAAGATGACACGGACTTGGAAGAGAACCAGCCAATGTCTTCCACTTCCCTGGTCTCGGAACTGGTCTTGACGCCCGAAATGGAAGCGTCTTTGCCAGTAGATCCCAATACAGGATTCCCTTCACATCGGCATCTCGATGCCCTGATGGTATCGCACCGCTATGGATTTGTGCCACTGGTAACTGCCAAGCGAGAGCGAGAGCAGTCCATGGTGCCTACTAGCACTCCAGCGTCGTCAGACTCGTTTCAAGCAACCCCGAGATTTCTGGATGCGCTGCTGTCTATGGCGGATGGACTGTTTCTGGTACCGCGGGAGCAACGAAAACGGGAACTGCGGCGACAATTGCAAAATATAGAAGTGGAGATGCTGCCATCCAATGCTGTTTATGGTGAGTTGGCGAACAAGACTTGGCCACCACGTTGTTCAGTTTCGTGTGCTCACGTGATCATCTCTCGTCTTTGTACAGTTCCCATTTCAAATGTCTATCATCGAGTATGGAGAATCGTTTCCGAAGAAAGCATTGCTTTGAACACTAAAGAACGCGTACCTTGCATTATTCTCTTGGAGGTGGTGGACTACGAAAATGACTTGCAACGCAAGGTCGACAAAGCGAACATATCTGACGACGAGGAAAGCACCGACGAACTAGATGATGTTACAGAACCATGGGACAGCAAGAGAAGTAAAGAGAAACGGACCCTGGAGCTACCGAAACTTGGGATAGCAAAAAAAAAGACGAGGAAAGCTGACGCCCCGATCAGTGACAGCAACAACTTGCAGGCACCAACCTTGCCAGGTTCGGCTGCTTCGGCCTTTTCGTTGCCCTATTATACCTTGATGGGCGGAATGACCGAGGCCGAAATCGTCAATCACTGGAGATTCGCGAAGCGAGACCCACACCGTGGTGAATCTATCCTCGATAAAATCGCGCTGCCATTGGATATGAATCGCATGAAAGAGAAGATTCACCAGCTACGAGACAAACAAGAGGCGATCCTTCACGATTTATTGCATATGACCATGCCGGATGATCAGAAGCACAACGCTGGGAAACAAAGCGCTGTCGAACAGCCAGACCATACTTCGGCCTCTCTCGAACATGATACAGAGGTTGCGGCTTTTCTATGCAATGATGCGTACGAAGGGACAAAGATGCTTGGGAGATCCGCCGTCACAACAGAACAGGATGAACATGCTCGAGATCTTTCGCCCGACAGACATCCCACGCCTGCTTCCATGGGTCAGTGGTCATCTCCGATATCTGGTCGTCGCCGCACCATTCTTCTAGACGACCTTGAAACTGTCGTGGCGGGGAATAGCAGTGGACAAGACAACGACAACCTGACACCTGCTGCATATGGATCCACCTACCAGGGAAGGGGGAAGGGAAATGGCACGAATGGACTTCCGCCTCGACCAGATTCTCGAGTGGGCGACACCACGGACTCCCCCAATCGAGGTGCAAAATACACCAGCGCTAAGAACCAGCCGCATAAGGTCATCTTTCGAGAAAACTGGCAAGCAAAAGAAGAGAGGTTGCGCAAGAAATCCGCTTTCGGAACTCATCGAGGATGGCGGGTGCTGCCGATTCTTGTTAAGGCCAACGATGACCTGCGGCAGGAGCAGTTGGCTTCGCAGCTGATCCAGCGCATGGCCTTTATCCTAGCTCGGGAACGGGTGCCTGTGTGGCTATGCCCTTACGAGATCATTGCCATCACCGACACAGGAGGCATCATGGAAGCGATTCCCGACACGATATCGCTGGATTCACTGAAGCGAAACGACCCAAACTTTATCGATCTCAAGGCGTTCTTTCATTCCTTTTTTGGCGACAACATTGAGGACCTCGCGGATGCCAAATCCAACTTTGTGGAGAGTTTGGCTGCTTATTCTATCGTCACCTTCCTTTTGCAAATCAAGGACAGACACAATGGGAACATTCTGTTGGACAATCGCGGTCACATCATCCACATCGACTTTGGCTTTTTCTTTCTGTCGTCACCAGGAAAGAATACTGGCTTTGAAAGTGCTCCTTTCAAGCTGACGAGGGATTTCGTGGAAGTATTGGGTGGACCCGACAGCCACGCATTCCGCACATTCCGAGAGCTCTGCGTTCGATCCTTCCTTGTGTTGCGACGTCATTGCATGGAAATCATCTTGTTGGTGGAAATGCTGAAAGCAGGCAACGAGGATTTAGCTTGTTTTCGTGGGCGTCCCGATGACGCGATCAAAGGTTTGAGAGAACGCTTTCGCTTGGATCTGAGCGACCGAGCTTGTAGAGAATACGTCCACGCTCTGATTGATGAAAGTCTCGAGAACTGGAGGACCAACTGGTACGACAGATATCAGAAGTATTGTGTCGGTGTTTTGTAGGCTTCCAAGCAAAGCCTTTGATTTTGGGGAGGAGGGTCACATTCAAGTCAACAAACATGCGTCAATGTAGTGATAAAACACATATCATCCTTGCCGATTGCAAGTCATGTGATTACGAGCAAGGAGTCGATACAAGGCAACGAGAATGTGCTCTCTCTGTTAGCCCGCAGATGTGGGAGTGTTGTCGATACCGAGATGCTGCACTGGTACTGTAACTGAAACCTTGTCACGTTCTTCCCATCTGAGCAGCAACGTATCGTGCTGATTTGAGCAATGTTACAAGCTACTTAGTGCGTCTTGAGTTCTTTGGTCGCTCCTTTGCTGCTCCTGATCCAAGAGTGATCTAAGTTTTAGCTTGGGACGAATGCCGTGACGGACCCCATCTACATGTATGAATACTCTGAAGGGCGATTTCGATGCTGGCATTTGAACAAGCGCCCACGCTGCCATGTACTACATGGCATCGTACTGGGCGAAATTTTCCCGAAGATACCGAGGCACAATTTTGGGCGATACTACTCCTACACCTCACGAAATTTCACGACAATCAATCAAGTGTCCAGTCCACGACATCTCATTGCGCTGCCTTCATCGATGCATAGGCTTTTAAAAAGCCACTTGAGCACCTAACTTGCTTGGAGGACCAGGAACGATGCCGCGGCGGCCGAATAGAGCGAGGGCTCCGCCTCTTGCCCCTGATCAGGTGTCCAACTTTCACGCTTTGATTCAAAATGGTGACGTCGTTGGAGTGAAAAACCAAATTTCATCAACGCCGCGCCTTGCCAATTCAAAAGATGCTCGAGGTTACACGCCTCTCATGGCTGTCGTAGCTTCAGAATCACCATTGCAGAGCCAGGTCCAACTCATCGACAGTCTCATGCAGAAAGGAGGAGCCTCGCTTGGTACGCGAGGCCCGGACAGATGCAACGTCCTGTTGTTGGCATGTGAAGCAGGGTCTCATCCAGAGGTCATTGACTGCCTTCGTCGGTGGAACTCCAAGCGAGGTGGAAACCAAGTGCGTTGGAATCAGTGCAACGATTGCAAAGACGGGCCAATAGTTCTAGCTGCGAAATCCGGATCGTTTGCTCTTTTATCTCATCTGCTCTCCCTGGCTGAGACTGACACATCGAGCGATTTCTCTGGAGGATCCGATAGCAACGCCCCCGTTAAGGTTTTGGATGCTGCCATCAAAACAGACAACGAGGAGATGGTTCTGTTTGTTCTTCGCCATAAAAGATTCAAAGACAGAATCAGTGATGTAGAGATCTACTACGACGACGACTCGGACGACGACTGCTATGGCAGGGGTACTCCTGACTCTGTCACTGTCGATGACTGTGTTCGAGAGGCTTGCGAGCGCAAGTTGTTTGAAGCCGTTTGTGAAATCTCAGCTCAGAATCTTCACAATCAGATGGTCCGTACTCAGATCTGGTTGTGCTGGCGTAAGACCCAGGTTGAGCTCGAAGCCCAAGGTGACGCCGCGACGGAATCGACCACTGAGATGCCCCCAAGACAGATCGAGGATGTTGCGAGGAAACGCCAGGGAGATCTCGTTCACAAATACAACCCAAAGTTGCTCCCTCTTCTATTGGCAAGATCGAGGTACTCGAAGGGTACCGCGGTCAGCATGGGCGACGAGCTTGCCCAATCCATGGCAAAATGTGAAGAAGACATCTTCCGTCGGATTGCAGAATACTGTTTCATTCTGAGCCCAAAGAAACTTGAGAAGGAAGTAGAGCGTGACATTCATTTTCAGAAGCACGCCGAATGGTGCTGTGAATGTGAAGGATGGTTCTTGCCATGGTCGTGCGATTGCATGCGGTACAATGGGTATTCCAGCTGAATGCAATCAGTTGTTGGAAGGACAGCCTCCCCGGCAGAAGTGCTTCCATGTATCTGATATGTTCCTGTGCACTTTGTTGACCGTATAATGGTTTGTATTTTATGAGTCATCTAATCCATTCCAGAAGCCTGCTTGCTGTGGTCTTTGTGTCTATTGAAGTTTGAAGGCATCATGGCACCGGCTGGCTGTGTCGTTGGGTAAAGCTATAGTTTAATGGCTCTATGCGCCTCCGTGCGTCTGAGGTATGCCGGTTCGTTATGGCACCGTTCAGCGGGATTGTCCAGCGAGGTGTAGCCTATAAAATAAAACTTCGTTATTCTTTCAGTCTGGGCGGAAAACTCCTCCAACCGCCCATTCCAAAGCTTGTCTTTACACGAAGAAGGGTTGTCGGCCTTAGCCTTTTGGATCATTTCAAGATGTCCTCCTCCTCTGGGCAATGTCCACAAGCAAGTTTCTTCTACTGTACCATGCTACCACCATTGCTATCTAGCCAGATGGATAGCCACGGTACAGTAGCCTAACCCCCTCATACGGTACCTGGTACCGGCAGGCGTTTCAACGCGGAGAATTCAATCGAATCGAATCGAATCTCAATCGAATCGGATGAACCAATCGGCTCAGCCCAGTCGTGCATAAATCAGCAAAATTGATTGTTTCTGCCAAATCAGCCATTTCCATCAAATTTCCGTGAGAAAACAGCTGAGAAAACACAAAGTACTTTTTTTAAAAACCTCGGTGATTAACCTACCTACGCATGACTCGGATTTAAGTGGCGGATTCCTGGCAGAATGCTGTGAGCGAAACCGGAGCTCCCCACACCCGAGGAAGAGGAAGGAGCGCAGCGCAAGCTCGTAAACAGTGCCACCCTTGAGAGAGAGCAGAAGCAACGGAGCAACCCCACCAGGAAACATAAATTTCGAAGCCGGGATCAGCAAGTACAACGCAGACAGCTCCAGCGGCCTCTTCTTTGCCATCTACCAGTGAACGGCAGCAAGTCTAGGATAGGTGCTCCCAAGCTCCCAAGGGAGTCGAGTCTTCTCTACCAGTGTTTTGGCATCATGAGATCATGCTCGATGATAAGGTTTCTGGCCCTCTTAGTTCTAGCCGCCTCCCTCATATCAGTCCAAGGAGGTGACCTGGCTGTGTATCCCTCTATCCCGTTCTCTTCGAACATATCTGTTCGACAAGATTTGTGTGGTCGCTGGCGGCAAATCGAAAATGCACAAATGGAACTGAGAAATGCACTGGCAGGGGTATCATTGAATGCCATTTTTCTCGAGGACCAGGAAAGTTTTGTCAAATACGATCCAACTACAGGGATTGACCCCAATGAACCAGGACTGGTCATAGAAATCATGGATGCTCTGGCAGAACGAGCAAACTTTAGTTGGCGTAGTTCCTTTGCCATTCAGAAGGAACCAACTGCCTACAACACTAGCTATGTAAGGAGGAATCACGGGAGGTTCTACTGCTGGAACTTGCGTTGGACAATCTTCTCATACACCATTGTTCTTCCATAACAGAGCGAAGTTTTGCTTTGGGATGTCGAGCACTTTGACATTGTTGTGAGCTGGTTTGACAAATCTCTGGTGAGATTGGAACGTGGGATAGCGTTCCCACAACCATGGTATGATGGAAGCCTGATTCTCATTGCTCAGAATTATCCTGCAGTCACCGAAATTGACCTTTTCAACTGGTCAAGGCCATTCGAACCAGGTGTCTGGGCACTTATCATCCTCACTATCTTCCTCGCAGCTATCGTCTATCAGCTTATCGAGTATCTGAACGATGAGAGAGAAGACAGAGGCATGTTCCAGTGGTTTTCCGACAATCTGTATCTGAGCTCTCTGAACTTCACCCAGAACTTTGAATACGCGCCCAGCTCCGTTGCCGGTCGAATCTTTGGTGTGACTATGTGCATTTGGGCACTTGTTATCACAGGTACGTACGTGTCGGCATCTTCTGTTGTGCATGACGCTGCGTTCATTTTGAGCATCAAGTCGGTACCGGTGGTGAAATAGCTACTCTCATCTTGGCATTTTGACTGCATCAATTTGACAGCTACCTATACTGCGAATTTGGCTTCCTTGTTTGTGGGGGACCAATCGTCCAGGGCGGTTGCCAGCTCCCTGAAGGATGCGAAGCGACTGCAAATCCCTGTATGTGTCTGGGGAGGAACCAACCATGAAGAAATACTTCGGAAGAAACTCGTTACGACAGATTTGGTGATGTCACAAGCGAGTGAGGCCGATGGACTTCGAGCATTGAAACGCGGAGAATGTGGACTGGCCGCCGTCGCCCGGGACAGCTGGCTCACCTTTGAAACGCAATCTTCTATCAACCCAGGTGAGTACGGTGTGCCACGCCCGTAACAACGGCATCATAATGGCAGCATGCTGCTCACATATCGCTTTTTCCTGCATGTGTCAGATTGTGATTTGGAGTGGGTGGGAAGGGAAGTGAAAAACATTGGCTCTGGCTTTGCTGTCAAAGCAGATGCCGGCTACCTCTGCACCAGTTTGATCAGGGACGTGTTAAATTTGCATCTTTTAGAATATATCTCTGATGGAGACCTGGAAAAAGCATGGGAAAGGCACAGGGCACGATTTCGAGACAATGAATGCGGTGATGACGAGGATGACACTTATCAAATACGTCGTCACCTCCTAGAGAAGCAACCACAATCCGCTCCGCTGGGCCATCGTATTTTGAAAACATCGGCTCGCTCTGCTGGTAGTATGGTTGAAAGCAGTGGGGACGATAGCAGTCAAGCCTTGTCTGTGGATCACATGATTGGCACATTCGCGTTGCTTTGGTTATCGATGGTCTTTTCCGTCATGATCAGCGTGGTCCACGTGTACTACAATAAATGGGAACAAAGGCAGCTGGAAAAAGACGGAAAGTTCCGTGAGCGCTTGAGGTTTCGAATGCATGGTCCCATCGTTGGATCGCCACCACGGACAAATACTACACTCATTGCAGATATCAGCACGCGCGAAGACGGATCATTGGAGGTCAAAAGTAAAAGAAGCACCTTTGTTGCTAGGAATGTGGCGGGGCGTGATCGCAGACCAATAGACAGTTTGGATGACATCAAGAGTCACATCCGTGAGTGGGTGAACAGTGACCCGGACTTTTCTGCTAACAGCGGAGACACGAGCTCTAGATGGCAACCGCAGCCAAACATGCTTCGGGGGCCCAGCTGTTTGACAGCAGTTACTGAACTCGATGGGCATTCCGAGTGGCTGAAGAAGAAAAGCAGTGAATTTCAGGAGGAGAAAGAAGCATACACTAGAAAAATCGACGGCGTTGAGGAACGAATGAAAGGCGTCGAAGAAAGAATGGGAGGTGTCGAGGCACGAATGGGGGTCGTTGAGAACAGGATAGAGACAATCTTGACACTTTTACAGGATCAGCAAGCTCATCAAAGACAGCAAAGCCAGCATGTCGAAGAGATGAGAAGGTTCATGATGGCTAAGCAACAAGGGGGCGGCGAAGGATCAGAACGGGTCGTGGAAGAAGTACCTCAAGAGCGATGCGACTCCCACGACGACATAGCGGTACCATACCACTCCTCTTGGGTCCATTGGGACGGTACTGGTACAATCGGAGCTGGAGCTCCCTCTTTCAAAAAGCCCTAGCCAACCAGCTAGCCAGTAGCTGGGTTAGTTTTGCATGATCGGGAGGACTGTCACTCCCAGAACGATCGCACACGATCGTCTGTGTTGAGGTTGCATAATCAGTTACGTTACACCCCATGGTAATTAGACTAGCTCTAGAGCTGGAGGTGGTCATAAAATTTTATTGTGGTACCGTACCGGTAGTACTCCCAAAGAGAACTTTCTTCGGATCGCTTTGGAAGAGATCTGGTGTCACATTGCCAAACTGCTGAATTTCTGATGTTCCAGCAAAAGATCACCGCTCCCTCCAAGGCCAAGGCACCAAGCAATCCCACTATTATGCCATACTAGTACTCTGTACTCGACGCATTGTCCCAAAGAAAGTAAGTGTGAGGAGATAATACTATGGAAAAGGAGACGAAAATGGATGCCACGACGAGCAGTACCCGCAGCAGCGGCACGGTTCCATCTTGCTCGGACAATGAGTCGTCCGCTTCCGTCGGCTCTTGGAAACAGAACTTCTCGGTCCTGTGGGCCAAGAAGGACGACGAGCAGGTGAAGACGACGTACCAGCAGACGGACAAGACGGCTGCCAAGGAAATTTTTTTGCAATTAGCAGAGCGTCGTCGCACTCCTCAGGCACTAGCCCGGTCTGATTCAGTTTGGGACTCTGTGGATGAAGCTCTTCTAAAAAAGGCGCATGATAAGCTCCCCACTACTACCCCGGAAGACATGTTTCGTCCCTCTGACTTTCGATTACAGACCAAACTAGGTCAGGGTGGCTACGGCTGCGTCTACAAGGCCCTGCATCTGCCTTCGGGTGGACACGTTGTGGCCTTGAAGGAATTGACGGGCAATACTAGCACTGTCGAAACATTGGATCACCGTACGTTGCCTTGGGATTGTGGCGTGGTGCCCTGTTATGGCACCTTTCGGGCGTTTAGCATGCATTTTAGCGAGCAGGATGATGAAGACGATCACGACGATCATGACAAAATCACCGCCATTACCACCAAAGAAACAGCGGCATTGGCCAAGGATACCAGCAAGCTCAAAACGTGGCTCATTCTACAATACTGCCCACAAGGATCGTTGGTCGATCGTATCTTGTCCGACAAGGGTGTTCTCTCCGAAAAGGAGGCCGGACGCATGCTCAAACGCTTGGTCAAGACGCTGGTCTATTTGAAAGAACACCATGGCATTGTGCACAATGATATCAAGCCGGCCAATCTAATCTACTCTGATGAGGATGATGGTACTCTCTTGCTCTGTGACTTTGGAGCGGCTCAAAAGGGACTCTGGCGGACGGATCGCATCGGAGGCACCTATTCCTACATGCCTCCTGAGAAACTGAGAGCCCGCAAATTGGTGGGATTTTTGACGCATTATTGCAACCACGAAAAGCACGACGTGTGGGCCTTGGGCGTCTCCTTATTTGTGTCACTCTATTGCAAACATCCTTTCAATTGCAAAGATCTTGCCAAGTGTACCACCATTACATCGTCCGGACAAGATGCCGCCAAATTTTATGATCTGGTAAGTCTAGTGCACCTCTGTGGTTCAAAAAATATCAGAAACGAATGTCTAACGCTCACTACGTCCCTTCAGATGGAAACCAATTACGATACCATTCAATATCCACCGACGGCTCCCGCTTGCTCGGACGAGCTCAAGGATCTCCTGCAAGGCATGCTAACTCCGTATTGTTTGGAACGCATGTCACTGGAAAGCATCAAAGAGCATGCTTGGGTCCGTCGGGGAGGCAAGTCTCGACACAGTTTACTGCAGACTCTCAAAACCGCGCTTCGCTCGCGACGAAACAGCACGCATATCACAGAGGACCAAGCCTTTGCCAAGGTCCTCTGGCAATCGACTGCCAGTCTCGAGGAAGAAACAACCGCCAATTCGAGCAGTGGCACCAGGCAAGATTCTCCTCGAACACGGCAAGCCTTCAGTCGTCAGCTCTCGAGCAGTGTCGAGGGCACTTGTTGATCGAAGTGCATGCCCCCAAACATTTTTTCATTAGCCTCTGCACAGTTTTGATTTTGATTCCTTTGTACATGTACACATTTTAATTAAAATGTATATTTTTGCCTTTAAAACTAATCGACACTTCCTAGCCAACGCCATTCCCGGTGGCCCGTGAAGGAGCACATCTCGAACCCAGCAAAATGCTGAGTCCCTTCACATGAGCACCTTGGAACCAAAGCAGATTCAGGAAGCACGAAACATAAATATTATATTGAACCCTTGGGAACTGTCTCCAGCCAACTACATTGATGAGCTGCCCGAACTTATCATGATGACAACCGGGCAAACCTTTTCGGCTACTCACAGGATGTAAAAGCCCGTTAAGCTGTAAGTAAACTCCCACCAATGGAGACAGCAAACTCTCTCTGTTCTCAAGATTGACACGTTGCAAATTGGCGTGGATCTTTCTCGAAACCCACCAAAGAAAGCAAATCTTCACCGGCTACGGCAACGAAACAACAACCGGCAGCAATGCACATTTTGAAGTGCTCATCTCAAGCAAGCAAGCAAATAGCAAAGCAAGAAACCAATCAAGAACAGACCTAACCGTTATCCCTTCTCCGAGATAAACATCTCTGTTCAGAGAAAAATCAGTTTTTGAGTGAACACGACAATCGACCATGACGCTTTTTCTGATATCCACATCGTCACGTCGTTCTTTATTATTGGCCATTGTGCTGCTCCTGACGTCCACGACAATCCTCGCCTTTGAATACTATCAAACTTTGGGCTTGCGAAAAAAATGTTCTGACAAAGATATCAAGAAAGCATATCGTAAGGTAAGCTTTAGTAAAGGAGGCAGCCACTGAGACCTTGGCCACCATCCTCACGTCCACAAAATTCTACATTGCGTTTATCTTACAAAATTTGCTTCAGCTCGCATTAAAATATCACCCAGATAAGGTGCCAGAAGACCAGAAAGAAGCGGCAGAAGAAATGTTTCTCAAAGTCAGCGAATCCTACGCCGTGCTCAGCGACACCGAAAAACGAAAAATCTACGACCAGTATGGAAAACGAGGGGTAGAAGCATACGACAAGGGATGGAAACCCAGTGAAGGTGGTGGTCCTCCTCCTGGAGCTGGAGGTAAGCTATGGATTGCATGGATGCATGGATGGCAAAAAGGTTCTACTTTTGGTTGCATTATCTGATTCATGTACCCTTTTTTTAAATTAATTCTAAAGGTGGTGGCTTCGGAGGTGGTGGTGGCGCTGGTGGTTTTGGTGACTTTGGTAGCGGTGGGGCAGGTGGTTTCGGAGGTACGTGCTTTTTTCTGGGAAGACTATGACATGTCTGATCAAACTCTCTCTGACATGCTTTATCCTTTCTTGTGCCAGGTTTCGATGTAGGTTTCTTCCTGGGTTTACTTTCGTGTGAAAAATTTGCTTCTGTCGACTGGTACATGTACCTTATTGTTGATGTTTCATTCTGCCAATTTTCTTTTCTTTGCAGGCCTTCAATATGTTTGAACAGGTGAGTTGAGGACTGATTGGTTTTCAGTATCCTGTCATACGTCGAAAGATGTATCGTTGCTAACTTGTTCCACTCTTGCAAATAAATATTCCCAAAAGATGTTTGCCAAAGGAGGAGGAGGAGCAGGAGGTTCCAAAGGTGGTGGCGCAGGTGGCTTCAAATTTCCTGGAGGTGGCGCTGGTGGTTTTCAATTTCCTAGCGGATTTGGTGGAGGCGCTGGAGGATTTGGGGGCGGTGCCGGTGGCTTTCAATTTCCTGGCGGATTTGGAGGCGCTGGAGGATTTGGAGGGGCTGGTGGTTTCCCAGGACAACAACAACAACAGCAAGAGCTTTTCCCCAAGGGAGGCCCTGTGGCCAAGCTTGGAAAACCAAAGTTCCCAAACAAGGTAGGTCAGATACGATTATTTTGTGTACCAGCTGTATTGGGCCTGGATGAAGTCTGCTGACATTTCATCATCCACTTTAGTCGAGCAAGTTCATCTGGTTGGTTGTTTTCTATGCCAATCAAATTGAAGCCTGTGCCAGAGCCAAACCCCATATCGATAAGCTAGCTGAAAAGGTAAAGGATTCATTCAAAATTGGAGCCGTGGACTGTGCAAGCACACCACGGGAAGGTCAATTTTGCCTGGATGTTGGTGCAGACGTGGAAAATATGCCATCCTTTGCCATGGTGATCGACGGGAAACTAGAATTCTACTTTGACGATGATGAGGATGAAGGAAGTCAACAACAAATACCCACAGCGAAACAATTGCACGAGTTTGCCGTGGACCACATGCCCAAGTCATTGGTACACAACATCAATAATGAAAAGCAGGTACAAGACCGACTCTTGTCCAAGCAGGAGTTTCTGGGATCCGTCTTGCTCTTGACTGACAAATATGAGACGGCACCATTGTATTACAGTTTGGCGTACCACTACCGTTCAAAGTTTGTCTTTGGGGAATCCAGGGCCAAAAACTTGAACTTGGGAAAGCAGTTTGGCGTCAAAAAGTACCCTCTGCTTGTGGCTATTGTACCCAAAGGAAAGGGCCAGGAGAGTTTCTCTGATACCCATGACTTGATTAGATATACTTCTGAGAAGCTCAAGGGCGAACCCATCATCAAGTGGTTGAATGGTGTCGTTGAAAAGATTGAAGGCAAACAAAAGAAGAAGAAAAAGCCAGCAAGTGGAGGCGGTGGCGGCGGCAGCAATACGCAACAAAAGAAGAAGAAAAAGCGAAGCAAGACAAAGGATGAGCTATAGATTGTTCTTTGTGTTTTAGCCGAAACGTTGCACTTCACTGCATTTGCGACGACTTGGTATTGCTGGGGCTTTCGTGTTTTACTGCTGTGATAAATCTAATAGACAACTATATTCCTTTCATGTGGGGGTACCACTTTGGCCCCGTGTTGGTGCTCAATATGTGCCCCTGATCCCATGGATCCAAGAGCTACTAGGTACCAGTAGTCCCCAATTCCGCCTCTAAAAAACTCTTGACCAGTAGCTAGCATATGGGCGAACTTGCCCAGCTAGCTAGCTAGCTGACGGATTGCCGGAGAGGATCCTTGTGCTAAACGTGACGTCAATAAAGTGACTTATCGAGTCGAGTCGAGTCTCAGGATTGCGAAAGATATTAAAGGACACCGGAGGTGTAATAGATATACCGGGCGAGCTGACTTAAAAGATGGGCCCACATAGTAATATTGTTGAAGTTTGGCTGAAGGTAGTGTCATTAGATTTTCCGTCTGAAAAAGTGGTGTGGTAGCTTACGGGAGTTTAGAGGTGTGCAACATGAGACTTTAGATTTTCCGTCTGAAAAAGTGGTGTGGTAGCTTACGGGAGTTTAGAGGTGTGCAACATGAGACGTTAGATTTTTCCGTCTGAGTAAGTGGCGTGGTAGCTTACGGGAGTTTAGAGGTGTGCAACATGAGACGTTAGATTTTTCCGTCTGAGAAAGTGGTGTGGTAGCTTACGCGAGTTTAG